CCTCTTCCTCCTCCTCTTCCTCCTCCTCCTCCTCTGCTTCTTCTGAATTAAACAAACCAAGACCATTTAACTTACAGCACAATATAGCTGTTTACTAGTTAATAAGAAATAAGTTAAACCCATAATTCAGGTCCAATTCAAAGCTTGTAATTGTGAAGTTTCTGTCATCTGAAAAAGTTTCCCTTTATACAAATCTAAGTTTTACCACAATTTAACTTGTCACCATACACACTTGGGGACAATTTAACAAAATTATCTCCATGTAGTTACAATTTGAGAATTTGGAACAAGACTCGCCTTCTTCTTTGGCATAGTCCACAGGTCCAGTTTCCACAATGACTGCAGCTGTGACTTTGTCTTCAACTTTAACCTTTTTAATAGGTGGTTCCTAGCAATCAAACAGCAGCATATCATAAATAAATCAATTTAATTAACAAAATACTCTGCATTAAAATGTAGGCTAGAAAGTCACTCAAATGAAGAAGTACCGCACAAAGAGTACAACAAATGACTGCTATGCTTTTTCTTTTCTTTCAAATTTGACAAACTTACTTTCCGGGATTGTTCAGCTGTGTTCGAGTCTATTGATAAGCTGGTCCTTCTAAATCTGGAAAACATTTGTAATCTTTTGTTACAAACCACAATGTTATCACAGATTTTGTGTGTAAGGTAGTTATGTTCTGTGCAGTGAAAATTCAAACTTGCTCCTGACTTTAGATCATGTTTCAACTCAATTTCATTAATAATAGGAGAAAATACATATTAAAAACAAGGACAGGACAAACTCCAGAGTATTGGTAGAGAGAATGTGCTAAAAGAGGAGAGAATACATAACTGTGTGTGTGTGTGTGAGAGAGAGAGAGAGAGAGAGAGAGAAGGAAAATTGATATAAAGAAGAAAGGGAGCCAGCCACTTCTACCTTTTACTATCTGGGGTTCCTATCCCAGACTTCACTGGGGTACTGGCACCAAGGACGGGCTCCGCCACTATAACCTGCTTGCTTTCAGACACCCTGTTCAGATCTTTGAGAACTTCATAGTTGATTTTGTTCGAGAATTTCTTTTCATGCAGCATTTTCTGTATAGCTTCCTCTGCACTGTTGGCTGGGTATTGTTGCTTCTTCTTCTTGTGTTGTTTTTTCTATCATAAAAATATGACAGTTTTATATAATTTATGTATTACAAAATCTTAAACAAGATAGTAGAAAAGTAGAACATACAATCATATCTATATGTAGGAGCCATACATCATAATGATAATCTTACTTAAGATATTTTCTTCAGTGAAAACTTTTCTTCAAAAAGAATGATTACCTTTTTGGGTTCAGGCTTTGTTATTCCTAATTCTTTTTCTCTTGCTTCTTTTTCTTCTTTCTCTATAGGAATGTGAGAAAAGGGAGTTTTAGTAACTTTATGAAGTAATATGGCATATACTCTTCATATCAGGACACACAACAAAAACAACACAATTTAAAAATAAAAATTACCAATATTTGTCTAAGGTTTGGTCTTAAATAAATCAATGCAAAAATTATATTCTTACTGTCTGCTTTAATCACTGTACTTATAGAAGGATTGTTCTAAATTGTGAAAGAGATTTCACCTTTTTGCTCCTGTATATATACTGCATTCAGTTTTATCCACATTTCAGTTTTCCTTTTCACTTCCTCCTCGTTAAGGATAAACTGAAAGGAAAAATGATTATGAGGGTTACTCAAAAATATTGAAATAACAAAAACAAAGAAATTCAATAAAACAAAGTAATAATAGTGATCTTAAGTTTGCTCTCTTTTTCTTGAACAATACAAGCATTTCTGTTCTCTGAGCACAGTAAATTCAACTTTATCAAAATAGTAACTGAAATATACCTTTTCCAATTCGTCATCATCTATGCCTTCAAGATCCAACTCACCATCTTCTTGATCTCCATCTACAAAAGAACAAAAATAAAAAATAATTATTATCATAATAAGATATAAATATTATCTTAACATGACAAATGCAAACACACCTGCAGAATCATAACTTCACAGCTAACATTGAAATAATCACACTTTGAGCTACTTATCAGGAGGTTAGCTGGAATACACTCCTTTGTAGACCAGTGATTTACTTGATCAGGATATAACTGACAGTGCTACAATTATAAAGTGTCAAGAGAACAATGGAAGTTTAATTCTATATTCTCTGGCCAATCACTTAGATGTTTGTAATGATGATGATGAAGAGCAGGGTCCTTTCTACCAAGATTGGTCTGAACTTTTAAACTTTGACCATAGATAATCAACAATAGTCCAATTGAATAAAAGGCTAATGTTTCAGACTCAACTTTATTTACACAGACTACTTTAAATTTATCTTCATCTTGAACTGAAGTAGACCAAATATTGTTTGAAAAATGAGGACAAATTTTCTGTACAAAATTCTTTTATGAAACTGAATACTGGCTCCAAGTGCAACTAACTCTCTTCTTCTTCTTTCTCCACAGAATCCTCCTCCTTCAAACACTCCTGAACACTTTCCATCAAACCTAAACTAGCCGCGGTGGGTCGTAAAGAGGCCAGTTTCTGTCCGGGCGTCAAATACGTGGGCGGTGGCATCAATAAGCTATCCATTTCCTGTTTTTCTAAATTATGTACATCAGTGTCAGTGCTGTCTGTTGTGTCCTCACTTAAATCTGTAAGAGGTTCCGAAGACGTGACACCCTCCAGTTCTGAGATTCCATTATCTGAGGTAATTGTGGGGTCGCTGAGTACAGCTTCGATTGTTTCGTCATTGATTATTGAACCACATGGAATGAGATCCTCGTCTTCTGCTAAGCAATCTTGGTCCTTTGATGATTCTACAAGTGAATTCTGCATTGCTTCTGCTTTGGCTAAAACAAAAATTTCATTAAAAAAAGATTATTTCTTTTTGGAAGCTTGATCTCCAGGTTCAAAAAGTGGTAAACAAGGTAATATCTTTTGAGTAAATGTTCCAAAATGCAGTCTTATATGTATACATATCTAAATGATAACCACATTTCTACATTTTGAAAAATGAGCTAAAATGGTTTTTTAAGTTTTAAATGAAATTCTTGACCATTATCCTAAGACGAGAAGTTCTCCATGAATTCAGTTAGTAAAAACTATTGTAGGAGTAAAGGAATGCTTTTTAAACTATCATTTCTCATAAGAATGATAATGGTGTCTTACCCATCTCTTTTCCCCATCTCTTCTTCATTCTAGCTTCCAGTGCTTGTTCTATTTCTTTCTGAATGCTGCTCACTTCACTGACAACCTCTGACAACTTGCCACTTTCCTCCAGCTGAAGGCAAAAAATGTCATTAATTTAACAATACTTATATAGTTTTTTTATGTGTACAATAAAGGCATTACAAATACCTTCTGATGCAATATTGGCAAATATTTTGAAGATAATGACAAAAACATCATGTAATTTCCCTTCTTAATCCATGTCAATTTCTTCACTTTCAAATCACACTTGTGCACATTACAATTTGGCACCAAGGACACCATAAAAATAAAGAAGCTGAAGAAAACTAACCATGCTCTTTGAAACACTAGCAAGGTACTTACTGATGCTTGCTCCTTGGCCTTTCTGCGACTTTTCTTAAAAGAAGGTGGGTCCTGCTCCTCCTCCAGGTCTATCCTCTGGAATTCATCTATGGTCAGTTGACTAGTGGGTGTGTCTTCAAACTCTGTTAATCTGGAATATGGAAAAGGATACAGTATAATGATATCATCTGCATTGTGCAATCAGTGTACATTGTTTGTTAAAGACAATCTGACTTCTCACACCTTGGACATTTATTAATTTTGTGATACTGTTTTTGATACAAAATAATAAGGATAATTCATGATTATCAAAGAGGACACTTTAAAAAACTCTGTTAACTGGCAAAAAAGAATAAAACAAAGCAGAAGAAGCAATATGCATAAAAAAGCAACAAATACATTCAAATTAGTAGAACAACACTATTTTTTCATCTCTGACTAGTTCAGCAGCCAAGTTTTGCCCAAGCATCATTCTGAAATTTGAACTAGCCTCACCTCTTCCTTAACGTAGCTTCACAAACTTTGACTACTTTGATTATCTCCTTCATTGTGCGGTAACATTCATGAATTCTGCAGGCAACAAACAGAGCTGAAATCCAAAAAAAAAAAAAAAAATTAAGTTATGAGATTAACGTTACTTAGAGTATTCTCTTCTTAAAACATGTCTGACTTCCAACATATACACTGTAATCTATTTTTGACTTATGAAATCAACAAAATACCGAAAAAGAAAAGAAGTTTTTGATTCATAATTCGTTTTTCATAATTCATATTTCTCTCTCATCATTTTCATTTATCATATTATCATGCTTCCTACCTGCCCCGCATAGTCCAGATGGTCGTCTGCCAGTTGCCATCCAATCTCTTTTCATTCTCTGTACAATTCTCAGTGCTGTCATCGATACATCATGTGTCTTCTCTTCAAAGTCCAGCTTGTGGGAGAATCTTTGAATGAGTAGGCATGGATCTACAAAACAAACAAGACAATATTGTATAAAATTTATATAAAACTTAAAATGGAAAATATAAAATAGAAACTTAGACCATAAAGGGAAAAAGATTTTAAAAATTGATTGTAAAAATTTAAGTTATTTATTCAGTTTATACACACATTCACTCCTGTTTTTCCTCCACTTTTTTATTTCATAAAATTAATTGAAGAAATGTAATTAAGAGAAGTATTTGATAAATATTAAGCAATAAAGTCAAATAAGAAAATTTATAAACACAAGCAAAACAGGCATTGATTAGTTTTGCTCTAGCCTGATAGATGGCGCCATCAATCTCACATTATGCTAATTGGAAATAGTGCATTGTGGGATACTACATGGATGAAAGAAGATGGCTGTCAACTGAACACTGAACAGAAGTCTTTAAAAAAACCAATTATGTATACTGACGAGTCAATGCATGCCTCCCATACCAGGTAATTTATATTCTATGAATTTAAATTCATTCACCTGCCCCCTTCTATACCCAAACAAATGATCTAAAGCAGGTAAGATCCATGTTATAAAGTTGACCTAATTAAGTTACAATTTGATACATTTTCTAGAGGTGAGTGCCCCAGAAGGGTATGTCTAAATTTGGAAAATCTAAGTATCTGATTACCTGTAGCTAGTTGGAATTGGACTTGATTAAAGCTGTAAGTGTTGCTCTATGACAAACAATGATGTGTGGTTGTAATTACTGTGTGAAGAGAACAAGGTTTAATTCTAAAATGATCAGAAGTAGATTTAAACAACTCAAGTAAGTACATCACTGGTTTGTATCATAACTTATATGTTACAAACACTTTTCATAGCAATGACAAAAGCACAGAGAAAGGGGCTAGTGTTATTAATCAAGCTGACCTGGAATCAAGGTAGCAATTTGTGATGCAGAAGGGTTGGTCTGATAACATTTCATCTCCCAAAGGACTAATTTATACACACTATCTGATAAGTTGTAACATATGAAACATATCATTGATTACTTATTTACAACTAGCACATGGGGCATGGAATGAAAATTCAGTCCCTATATAACTATCAAGTGTATGGAGAAGTATGAGAATAACATATCAGTCGACATAATATTGAGGAATTTATGATAATCTTCTTAATCAAACAAACTATGATCTGGGATAGCAGGCAGAAACCTCCAGGCTGTTTATCAATGTCCAAAACCATGACAGGGTGAGGGAGATAAATGTTATAAATAAATCCAGTCATATGATTCTGAACTGTGAGAGCTAGTCTATATTTTCTCACACCTAGTATCAAAATTTCTCACTCTGATGTCCAATAGAAAGATGTCTAAGAGTAATCCAGACATATTTGTTATATCTGATAGGATGCAGTATATTGATGATGATGAGGTCAACCAAGAGGTCCCTGAAAACAAGGCAGGAGTGAGTCAGACCATGGGCATCAGCCGCCAGCCCAGACCTCGTCTTCCGGCTCCCAGACCCAAATCCATGCACAGTACAAATGAACTCAACTGGCAGTCCAACTACACCAGTGTTAAGGAACGCAATGCTGCCATGTGTAATAATGACCTCATGGCAGACGTAGTGTTCATTGTGGGACAGAAGTCGACTGGTGGTGTACAACGAATACCTGCTCATAAATATAACCTGGCTACAGGGAGCTCTGTATTCTTTGCTATGTTCTATGGTGGACTGGCTGATGGGAAGACAGAGATAGCAATACCTGATGTGGAGCCTGCTGCATTTCTCAATTTACTCAAGTAAGTTGGGCTATTGTTTCAATTGTCTTCATTTTGGTTAGAATCATCTAAATGAACAGGGTCTTATACTGAAGACCTACTTCAGTAATGCCTGATCATGGCATGTATGCACTCACTAGTGGGCCAGATTTGGTCTTAAAATGCAATTTAAGTGCACAAGTGATCTTACACGATCTTAATCATTACAGCAGTAGTCTTAAAATGGACTGAATCTGCTTTTAAGATCAAAAATGATCTAACATCTACTTAAGTGGTCAAGCAGTTTCCTCCCCTCACAATGGGGGATACCTCCCTTCACAATGGAGGACACCTCTGCTCACAATAGGAGAATGTGTAAGGGGAGACAACTTAATTGGCTGTCAAACTAGAATTGGTCTTACTCATGTTTTAAGATCATGTAAGACTATTTGTGTTCTTAAATTGCACTTTAAGACTAAATCAAGCCCACTAGTGACTTATACTGGCTATTTTCACAATTTATAGATATACTACTTTGTGCTTACTGTTTGAACTGGAGTTTTTGGACATTGAAAAAAAATTTATCATGATGTTGCTACTCACTGAAAAACTCATTTCTTTAAAAGTAATTTAAGAATGCAACAAAATTCATTTAATTATTACTAATAAACAACTTTCAAATAAATCAATTAACAGTAATGAAAGAAAAGTATATAATTGGTTTTAAAGTAAGGCATTTTTCTAAATGTGTCTTCAAAACAAAACTTCGTGTATTATTTCAGGTACCTATACTATGATGCCATAGACTTGGAACCAGACACAGTGTTAGCCACCCTGTATGTGGCCAAGAAGTACATAGTACCCTATCTTGCTAAGGCTTGTGTCCAGTTCCTAGAGACCAGTCTTAACGCCAAGAACGCCTGTGTCCTGTTGAGCCAGAGTAGGCTGTTTGAGGAACACGAGCTGATGCTGAGATGCTGGGAGGTGATTGATGCACAGGCTGAAGAGGCACTGAAAGCTGAAAGTTTTGCCGAGATTGACCACGAAACTCTGAAAACTGTCCTCTTGAGGGAGACGTTACATTCACAGGAGACATCCATCTTTGAGGCAACATGCAGATGGGCTGAGGCCGAGTGCGTTAGGAGAGACTTGGAACCGACCAATCAAAACAAGAGAAAAGTCCTTGGCTCAGCTCTGTACTTGGTAAGAATACCATCCATGAAGTTGGAAGACTTCGCTAATGGCCCTGCTCAGTCAGGGATTCTCACTCTTAAGGAGACTAATAATATTTTTCTGTGGTATACAGCAACACACAAGCCTCAGCTTCCTTTTCCTGTTAAGTCGCGTGTTGGACTAAGACCCTTCAGATGCCATCGTTTTCAGTCATCTGCTTATCGCAGTAACCAGTGGAGATATAGAGGGCGTTGTGATAGCATACAATTTTCTATAGACAAGAGAATCTTTGTCGCAGGGTTTGGCTTATACGGCTCTAGCAATGGATCTGCTGAGTACAGGGTTAAAATTGAGCTCAAGAAAAATGGGATAATTCTGGGAGAAAAGACCACCAAGTTCTTCTCAGATGGCTCCAGTAATACATTTCCCGTGATGTTTGAGAATCCCATCCAGGTGGAGCCTGATGCTTTCTACACTGCCAGTGCAATCCTGGACGGGGCGGAACTGTCATATTTTGGGCAGGAGGGAATGGCGGAGGTGCAGGTGGGAAAGGTGACTTTTCAGTACCAGTGCTCCTCTGACAGCACAAATGGAACAGGGGTTCAGGGAGGACAAATTCCTGAGATAATTTTCTACGGGTAGACCTTGGATAGCAGTTCTCACACGTGTACACAATGCAAATGTTGTCAAACTGTACAAATGTTGCATAATGTAGTAAAATGTATTAAACGTACGATTGTTTTGAACATGCCCAGCACAGCTTCATTCCAACTTGAATTTCATTTTTAAGCATGTAGTTTCTCACCCCTCCTACGTAGGCGTGGTTATAACAGTGAAATTGTACTTAAAACGGGCACATATCAAGAGTTGTCAATAAACTGATTACCTCATCTTTTTCTGTACACTTGCATGCAGGATGCATGATATTTATTTATAATTTTCTTCTGTTTGTTTCTTCAACAGCTATTAAATTTAGAGCTGTAATTGCTGCTCAATGTAAAGGAGCAGTGGCAAAGGTAAGAGGCATGTAGAATATGTGGAGCTTTCTTGTATATAGGTGGTAATATTTATATATATATTGTGATATACATTTTGTATGTTCAATATAATTCCTTTTCAAATAAATATTTACAATTAATAAATTAGAAGTAAATAATTGTTAACTAGTAAACATGTTATCAATGTATTTATTATACAGCTAGTATTACTCAAGGAAATATCTCTAGTATTCTTAAATTGCATAAAATAGTATCATTCTACATAGACACACATGGGATCTTTTTAAATCTTCCACCAGTTTATTTTAATTGTTATCTTGATTACAATGAATTGATAGTTCTTATTAGCAAGGTCCTATGCACAGGTGGTTTCGTTAGGACTTTTATTCTTCATGTAGAAGCCAAGATGGTACAAGTGGGCAAAATATGTGGATCATGTGATACTGTCAATTACTTTCAAAGTTGGGCTTTACTTTTCTAATGATCTGACAATATCTGTATATTTAATTCATTGAAAGTCAAATAAATACAGTGAATGTTGACTTTGGCAGTTTTGTTTCAAGTGAAATTATATCACACTTTTAAAAAGGTGGACTCCAGATAAATTATATATCAAATGAATTATTCCGAAATAACTAGAATAATTGTAGCTTTTTCTATCTACTCATTTTCACCGGTGTCAATATTTTCAACACAGGGGGCAAATTTTGGTGACATATACTGCTTGTAATTTATCTTAAAGGCATTTTAAATCATTTTCCCTGTCCAACATCTATTCCACTTAAAGCATTCAACAACGTACCAGATTATCTATTAAATTCTACGTACCTCACAAGAAAATCACTAAAATCTCTTGTCATTATATGCCTACTTGTACATCAGATTTGGAAGTTTTTGATTTCTGAACATAACATATAATTCCTATATACTAGTAATGTGGTAATGCCAAATAAAGCATACGTAGTAAATTTTAGAAAATTTGTAAATTCTGAATTGGATACAGAGAGAAAAAGAAAATATTTTTTTCAGCATATCTATCATTGATTTATTTCAAAACATAAATCTGACTAAATAAATTTTGGTATTTGACCATACAAAATTTTATCCCAGTGATAAATATTAGAACTTGCTAAGTTTTGGGAAAAATAAATAAATACATAAATAAACAAATTATATTTCCCCGAACTGCCTATATAAAGAAATGTATACTCACCAATAGCTGGTGCATTTATACACAGTTCTCTAGACAAGTGGAGATATGTTTTCCCCAGTGTGTACACATTGACTTGGAGTATATCACTAAAATCCAACAGCATATCTAATGCAAGTTAAGGATTTTTTTTCCAAATCATCCAGTTAATAAAATGCACTCGATGGATGTCATTTTGACTATTGATTTGCAAGATCTGTGGTTTGACATGATAATACGGTTGATATGCATACTAGTAAGGATTTCACCATACACATTGAAGAATTGGAGGATAAAGTACCGTTTTACAGCCAGGTAGCCTAATTAACAGGATCACAGAGTTCACAGCTGGGCCTGGAACTTATTGATCTGTTAAATCCTCAATTACTCTTACCTCCCTTGGTATTTCAAGTACCACCTTGATCAGAGTTACAGAGCTAAACCAAGCCAGCTGAACATGATTATCAAATTCACAGAAAAAAAAGGATACGTGGGGTGCCTTCTGTTCTGCAAACTAAATATAAACAGGCTGCTATAACGTGTTTGGTTTTTCTTCCCCTTGTCAGGCGCTTACTGACAGCCATTTTGAAGAAGTTGTAACCTATTTCTATACAATGTTGATTCAGCTTCAACTGTGAGGCCAGCTGTTGGATATTTCTTTTTCCTGTGAAAAAAGGGTTATCATCAATATGACATAGCATCAATAAATATCTAAACATTACTGTGTGTAATGTGTCATGTCTTAAGATGGGGACCATTAAAAAGACAATAAATAAATAAATAAATAAATAAATAAATAAATAAATAATAGCTACATACAAACATATACATATATAAAACTATCTGGAAGACAGGTTGAAATGGTCTACTGAACATCTGAATTCTTCATTCTTTTAAACTTGACACAAAGACCACCTTATATGTACTGACAGTCAATGAAAACGCATCAGAAAACTTTCTTGTACTATTTTACCAAGAATTGGTTCCAACCATATAAATGAGTACAAATGCACTTGTTTGGTCATAAGAGAGTCCCTTATTTGACTGAATAATGGGTCATATTTCACACGAAAACTGTTATTTTCTTAATGTTCCAAAGGAACTTGAATATTATTTATAAATAATAAATTTTATGATGCGTTTATAAAAAAATAAATGATGCGTTTTCATTGACTGTCAGTATACATATATGAAATTATGCATGCCTTCCAGGTATTAAAACCTTACCATTTTGCAAAGTGACAGCCCGGGATTCCTTTCCAAAACCATGATGGAAACCACTGCCCATGCTGTGCGACTTGTTCCCTAAATAATAATAATAATAATAATAATAATATTAATAATTATATTGAAATGTCTAAACCTTTATTCTTATGGCACTTGCTTGGTTCAGTCACTCTGGCTCCAACTTATTCAGGTGTAAGTGGCTTTCATCCTATCAGTTTTATTATTCTCCAGTACATTTACCATAGTTGCCAACATTACAGTGCAAAAAAAAATGCATAAATTTATAGTTAAAGATATAATTAACAATAGTGCCTTTAAACACAAAGAACCAACTCCAAAATGTGCATAACGACAATAACATTACTGGTAAGATTTGGGGAAACTCATTCACTGATGAAACTGGTTTCGCAAGGGTTTGATATTCTCTAGGGAAGTGAACGACCACAAACTTCACCTCACCTTCTGCAGACACATACTGCCCAATGACAGAGGTGCCACCTATTGAGTTTTCTTGGAACTGGACCTCTGAGACAATGATCTGGTCCTCCAGTACAGACCCACAGCTGGTGCACACGGCGTCACCACGGGCAGCATCCGTGTCGATCTCACTGCAACCGCAGTGCTGGCACACCCGACTAGACATTGTCTGCAACTAACAAGAGGACATGCATTATATTTTTCTTATAAAATGCCATATAACAATAACGTACATTAATGAAATAATTATAATTATAATTATAATTAAGATTACTACGATAAGGTGTTGACTGCAATATTATGCACTGATAAAAAGAGTGTGATAAGGGATACCATTATGCAGCTGGGGTTCATATCTGGTTCATTGACCCAAAGCACAAAAGCATTGTTAGCACTCACATATTCTTGAATAGATTTTACATTACTGGTCTCCACTTTTAATGGTACAGTATCTCACATTCTCAATCAATTATGTAACATTCCCCATAGAGTTGTTTCTCTCTTAAAATGCTCTCCACCTGATCCTGTTTATATGGCTGGTATAAGGGTTGAGGTAAAATACAACTGTCCCAAACCAAGCACTTAGTCCCTTCTCTGTCCTCAGCCCCATAAATTATCATATATAGTTTTACATGCTAACATAAATTTAGTAATTGAGATACCATCTGTTCTTTCAATCTTTGTGCTTATAAATATGAACTTGCCAGTTGTGATATTTTAATGAAAATTCACATATAACAACATTTTTCTATCTTAAATAGTTAGTGTTACTTGTTTTAAATGAGTCTATTTCGCTGTAAAAATAAAAAGAGAATAATTGATGGGCAAATACGTGGAATTAAAAATACAAAAAATATTTAGAAATATTTCACTCTCCAGTGAACTGCTTCTGCAGTTTCCTTCATTACCTACAACATTTACCTTCTCTTTAATCCTCTAAGACACAAGGGAGAAATTGCTACATTGGACAGGCAATGGCATCTCACGTGGAAGACATGCACGGTGATTCCATCTCCAACAGCGTCATGTTGCAATATGTGAGCAACTGTGGGCAACTTCAGACTCTTCCGATAGGTGGCGCAAATGTCCCGGAGACATATTTCACGTGTAAATTTGGGAATTGAAATTTATAAAAAATTATGATATTAGCAGTATGTCAAATGTATTAAAATAAAATCCCTGTAATTACTAAGAGTGATACTATACACATGTTAAAGTATTCAATTTACTCAAGTTGCATTCAAGAAGACAATTTAAAATATATAAAGTTTTCTTCAACTTTACGTAGTGTATTATATTACCTTCTAAATGATGTCATTAGCTAAGACAAGTTGATGACGATTTGATGTATTTGTGTTTATGTGCAATAACATGACCGTGCAAGAGACCGGTAAGCAATATTATAAGTAGCCTAGAATACGTACATTGAAGTAATATATTCCGATTGTGGCATTTACGCTAGTTAATTGTAAAACTGATAGTATTAAAACGTATGTTGTATCAGAAGCAGCAACCAAATGTTTTGTCACGTTCTTGTCTGTGTTCACTGTTTCATCGCCAAGAGAAACAGTACATGTTGAGTATATGTAACGAGTCACGTAATAACCATATCGTATACCAGAGGTAAATAACCTAAGGCTGCCAGTACGTATACCATTTTCCCAAAATTTTGACTGCCCCAGTGCCTCACTACCACTCGACTCTGCAGGCAGGATTTGCCTTTGTTAAAACTGATTAGTAACTTTCTTCTTATTTTATGTTTATTGAGTGCTGTGCTTGAGAATCAAGCATTTCTTTGTTGTTGGGGGTTAAAAAATAGGATAGGGACTTTAAGACATTCAACCCTGCCTCGCTCTTAACTTAACAAGTCACATACTGCAGTGGCATGAAGATTCCTGTGTTAGTGGTGTGTAAGCATTCATATTTACAAGAAATTATGCACTGGTTAGAAATGTGGTGGATGCAGCCAAGCCTTCAACAGACTTTTGAATCCACAGAATTGGTAAACCCATGATGCAATTTGTCCATATGCTAGGAATCAGTGCTGTGCAAAATTGACAGTGATGGAATTTGTTTGATCAGTGTAATTAGGGTGTGCCTAAATTGTGCAATACAGAGCAACACAGCGGAACACACTTGAAAAAACCAGACCAATCACAAGTAAACATGGGAAAATGGTCATTCCAAACAAAATAGGGTGATATCAAATCAAAATATATTACTAAGTAATTAATATTATCAATACAATTTGTTCATCATTGGGTCAACTTCCTTGTTGGCGAGTGGCTCTTCTTGGTCAGTAATATTGCCAGGAACAGCTTTGATTTAGATTGGATTTATTAATGAACTGACTTGTTTTCTTGGCACAAACCTATCTTTAAAATCATAATTTCATTACTTCTGATCACTATAAATATAAATATGATGTGTGTGTATATTAATTTTGTCATCCAATCCAAGCACATTTCAGTATTTTCTATAGGATCACCATATCTGGTCTTAATGGAACCTGTATCTCTCTGTCTATATTGTAACAATAAGGGATACGTAAAGTGTAAAATAAGGAGTACTGGAGACAAAATATTTGGATTGCCCATGGGAGTTATAAACAAAAGAAATTTAGATATCAAACAGGGTAAGTATTTTAACCTCTGTTTTAATTAGGCTCCATAAATGCGAAACCAAAATGTGTGTAAGAAAATATTTTAACATTTTAATTTCAATTCCCAAGTGTCATGTGAGAGCTGATGCAAGTCAATGAGTGGTCCCGACCCCAAAAGACGCTGCATCATGAATGACTGCTACGAGGATGGTTTGATTGAAGATGTTGCTGAACCCACTATACGCCCTGAACATGGTGTCAAAATCCTGCAGGGCTTGAACCACCTCAAAAGAGACAAAGTACTGTGTGATGTGACATTAATTGCTGAAGGTGACTATTATATTTTGTTCAAAGAAAATTTTCTTTTTTAGAAGTATAAATAAAATGATAGTCCATCATTAACATGTATTTGTTGACACATTGCATAAAGTTGACATAATATCATTCCACTTAATGTTACAATTTTTTATGCAAAGGCATGTTTAACCTTAATTATATCCAGTAGATTTATATTATTTATATTATAATCATTTATATTGCCTATTATGTTCCATTGTATAAATGATCCAGTAATATCTAAAACCAAACACAATTATTTTGCAGCTCAACGCTTTGATGTCCACAAAGTGATTCTGGTATCATGTTCAGATTACTTCCGTTCCATGTTCACGAGTGGGATGAAGGAGAGCACTCAGCGGGAGATCGAGTTGAAAGGGGTGACCGCCAGGGGCTTGGATAAAGTGCTGGAGATAGTCTATACATCAAGTACCACTTTAGACGGAGATGACATATTTGACGTCACGGCAGCTGCCACGCATTTACAAGTCACACCAGTGATTGAGTTTTGCGAAAAGAACTTCCTAAGTGGCATGACCACTGGGAATTTTTACGATTTTATAACCACTGCTAAATTATACAACATGAATAATGCTCTGAAACAGATTGACAGTTTTATCTCCCAGAACTTGATGCAGATTGCTTTGGAGGGGACCCTTCACCTTCTCACTTATGACCAAATCTTGAGCTGTCTAAGCTGTGATACTCTAAAATTGAAGGAGATAGATTTGTTTCAGGTGGCATGGGAGTGGATTAGGATGGATCAGAACAGGGAGAGGTGTATTGTAGCTCTGATGACCAACATCAGGTTTCCCTTGATCAGTCCTGCTGATTTGGTTCAGAAGGTGCAGAGTATAGATGTCATGATGAACATCAAGGAACTGAGAGAGATGGTGTTGGAGGCTTTAAATTATCACGTCGTCCCTCACTCTCAGCCTCTGCATCATTCCAGTAACACTCACGTGAGGTCATTTGAAGAAAGACTTATTAGCGTAGGTGGTCGTGAGATTCACCCTTTTCCTGGTCTGCATGACGAAATTTTAGTCTACGACGCCAAGATGTCTGCCAGTAGCTTGATGAATAGACGTCATATGGCGAGCTTACCACATGCTCTCAGTCACATGCAAGTGGTCGTGATGAACAATTTTCTCTACGTCATGGGAGGGTGCACTACGCAGTGTGCGCATGGGGAGTCCGCGACAAACTCTGTCATGAGGTACGACCCTAGGTTCGATGCCTGGTTTCAGGTGGCTCCCATGATCAACAAACGGGCATATTTCTATTCTGGAGCCTTGAACAATAAACTGTTTGCAATAGGTGGGAAATACAAGGAAGGCAGCCTGGCCTCGGGAGAGATGTATGACCCTGCTGATAACTCCTGGACCCCAATCTCTGCTATGCCCACATCGTACCATGCTCACGCTGGGGCAGTTTACGGAAACCATATATTTGTAAGTGGCGGCTACAGCAGTAACCATTTTACACCAGACATGCAGCGTTACGATCCAACCTTGAACCAGTGGGAGGACATGACCTCGATGCTCTCCCCGCGTGCATGGCACGTCATGTGCATAGCTCGTGATCGTTTATTTGTCTTTGGAGGGTGCAACCTTAACGCCAACCAGCAAGCACAGCCTGTGATGCAGTCTGAGTGTTACGACCCTGACACTGATCAGTGGACAGTGATCGCCCCAATGTCTATCTCACACAAAGAGGCCAGCTGTGTGGTGTTCCAAAACTCCATATTTGTCCTAGGAGGGTATAATGTACAGACTAAAACTGGACAGAAAATGGTTTCCAAGTATGATCTGACCATGGGGACGTGGGAGACGCTGGGGGCACTGCCCAGAAGCATGACTGGCGTGGGACACTGTGTGTTGAAATTGCCTTGGTATTTGGACTGTGTCCAGGAGTAGCTCCCCCGAGTCTCGGAGATCACTCCGAGCTCACCTCTGTTACCCCTAAAACACAGGGAGAGAGCAAAGGCAAAGTGGAGATTTAGGCATTGATGAAAACTGGCTTGGCATGCTTCACCAGGGGTGGTTTTAGTCTAGAAATCAACTTAAATGTGATCATTTGACCAATGGAATGTCTCTGTAATCTGGTCGTCTAACAGTGCGTATTAAGTTGTCTTTCCATAGAGGCTTGCCTATTTAAGTACAGCCTATATATGAGACTGGTCTGCTTTGATTAGCTGCCCATTGTGAGTTCAACACAGTTGCTGTTGTGAATTCAACACAGTTGCTGTTGTGAATTCAACACAATTGCTGTATTAAGCTCACCAAAGACGGCAAACCAAATCTCTCTGTTGCCCCACTCATGGTTATATTTATTGGTACAAGTAGATGGTTGTACTGACATAGGTCATACTGACTGGAGAAATGGCACTGTCAGAGGTACTAGTAGTAGCTTGGTGTCCTGTTGTAAGCAAATCATTATCAGATGATCTGCTGGAGGTGAGTTTTACTGAATTAGGTGGAACCAACTTGACTGGAGACACGCCTAGTATTCGATTTCTGGTCTAAAATGATCACTGTAGAAGCAGACTTTCACATACACAAAGCAGCTGGAAATAAAATACTCCCAAATTGCCTGCACATTGGTATGCGGTGGTATCCAAGCTAAAGCTAAAATAATGTGTCAAATTCATAATTAGAAGAGACTCTCTCATGTAAGGTGTCTACAAGAGTCATAGTTTTGTTTGGCATATTCAGATTTGTGTGCATTTGGATGTGTTATAGGGAAGTAAATAAAATTTAGTTTCAGTTAGAAATGGTTGGTTATGATAAATTGGGGACATCTTGTTCTTTTTGTAGATTTTTTCAGTCCTACAGTATCACAGAAAGAATAGGAGTTATTTTATCACACAAATGCAGTTTTTTGTTCTCTCAATACCAAAGTAGCTCTATTTAAAGAAAGTCCAGTGTTTATAATTGAGGTTTTCAATAAAGTAAATGAGCATGACATTTTTATTTATTTCAAAGGAATGTTTAAGAACAAAATTATGCACTTTACATATAAATTAGATCAAACCAGAGTTGTTCATAGGTGCATATTGTGAATGCATGAATTTTGGACAACTGGAGATAAAATGATTGAAACCCTGCTGTGACGAAATATTGTAGGTCTGTTAGGAAAATGTTGGGACTTAAGATAGAACAGTGGCAAACAAGTTTCAGGAAAACTACTTTTTCTTCTAGAATGTTTCACGGAAAAGAGGATATCTGACAAAAAAACTGCTTTACTATGCTGTTGTTTACTTGGCAATATATTAGATTTGTCGTATCACTTTCATCAAGCTAAAAAAATATAACTGCTAGGAGTGAATTTTGTAAGTGAAGCACTGCTGTCTGTGTCACGGACATCAATTTACTTGAAGAAAACTGCGTAATAAATAAACTGATATTTGTGTGATAGATTGCATGTGTTGAGAAAATTTAGTCTGATTAACAGTTTTAACTGTTTTAACTTAACTGTTTTAACTTAAAAGTTTTGAATTGAATTGACCTTAAATCGTATCAAAAATCACAAGTTTATTCACTTGATGTTACACAACCACTCGGAAACATTTCTTGCAAAATACTTTTAACTATCTTTTATTTAAATCTGTTTCAGATACTTCCCTTTTAAATTAACTAAAACAAGGTCTTATACTATCAGCATGAATTATTTTGATCATTATCATATCTACGTACGTTACTTCAATCCTTACAATTTTACATAATACAAACCATTTCCTATTCTCCAGCCTTGCAGTTATCCTATTATATAATAAATCATTGGTTACCATGGTTGCATAAATATACTACTGCACCAAATGGAGCATTAATTTACTGTTTCTGTTGCTAGTAGTAAAATTAAAATTCTCAGTTGCCATGATTATGATTGATAACCTTATTACCTCAAATGGAGTACTAATTTGCTGAAAAGCAAATAAAAACCAATGCCAGCAGTAAAACTTGACTATAAAAACCACTATTTAAATAGAAAATGTCCAAATGCAAGACACTTGAAGGCAACTGCTTAAAGCCAATGCAGACATCAGCTTTGTAGACTCTCATCATCAATCACAATGGCCTGTCTTTCCACCAGCTTCCTGAACACTCCATTAGATAACTGAGTGAGCTCAGAGTATGAACCAAGTTCTACAACTTTTCCTCCGTCCAGCACCGCTATCCTGTCTGCATTCTTAATGGTGGACAGGCGGTGGGCTATGGTGATCACAGAGCGTCCTACCATCAGCTTCTCAAGTGCATCCTGAACCAAGTGTTCACTCTCAGCATCCAAAGCACTGAGGAAAAAATTGTGAAAATAGTAGAGACTGACATACACTGAAGTGTGCAGAATGGAAAAACTACAGTTGAACAAAAATGTTTCTCAAGTAGAACTGCCAAAGATACAGCAATGCTAAATTGACAATTTGTATTATGAAGCAATTTTTCCATCCTTGAACGAAATATTTTTTTAATCAAAATGAAAAGAGATTTCTGTGCATTACATCATATTATCAAATTACTATGTAAGCTTGTATTCTATTCAAAAGTACTAAAGCACCAGTTTAAATGAGAATTTGCCACACCAAGAAATGTATGCATAAACAGGAACAATACATTACAAATAATTTTTATTTGAAAAATAAAGAAACGGTTCTACCTTGTGGCTTCATCCAGCAGTAATATTTTAGGATTCTGCAACAAATAAGAGAACATTTACTATTTAAATATTTATTATAGAAGCGATTTTCAACCTATAATCTCAGACAAGTATTTTTATAAAGAATCTAAAAAATTTCACAACTGCTGCTATAAGAGCATTCCTCTAATTGCTTTAAAATAGTTAGTGCTACAGAAATGATGTGACAAGCTCCTATTCAAAGTATGAACTTTAATCTTGATGGCATTCACACTACCTTTAGTATAGCTCTTGCAATGGCTACTCTCTGTCTCTGCCCACCTGTAGAATAGGTAAAAAAAAAGCTTTTATGTTGTATTTGTACAAACCTTCCTCTGTTACCATTTCAATTTGATTTTAATATAACTACTACTTCTACTTAACCCTTGGAAGTAAAAAGTTAAATTCAATCAATTGTCACATAGCTTTTCAACTGACATATTTTCTGTTACAATTTTTCACCTCGTTTTCTTACAACATAACTACTATAACCAGGGTATCATTAATAAAATAAGGATGAGGGGTGAATTACAAGCTTCCTGCCTCTTTGCTCCCTCTTATAACCATCGTCAGCAAGAAGCCATTATGGTACAAAAATTGTACGCAAATTGACCTTTTAAATTTTTATCAACTTTTAAGTTGTGACAATTTCAAGTACAGAATCTAATTATCTGACAATACCATTCTTTACCTGACAACATCAGCCCCCTCTCCCCAACCACAGTCTCGTACCCCTGAGGGAAGCCCTGGATAAAATAATGTGCATTTGCTTTCTTTGCTGCAGCAATCACGTCATCCATTGTGACAGATTCTGGGTCCACGGCGCCGTACGCTATATTTTCCCTCACTGTGGAGGAGAACAGAATGGGTTCCTGGCTGACAGTGCCTGTCTGGTGTCTCAACCACTCTGGGTCTAGCTGTGTGGTATCAGTACCATCCAGGGTGATACTACCTGAATACATGAGGGGTAATATACATATATCATATAAATAACATAAGATTAATTGTAAAATCAAATTAATAAAAATAATAATAACATATACATTTTACGTCTATAATATACAAACCTCTTCTTCAAATTTCAAAATTTACAACATTATGAGTAAGATGGCATTTTCATTATGTTCATGGTCAGTTCCCTATTGAACATAAGAACTTATGTTCCCCTGGCAAATATTTTGAGTACAAAACCAAAAATGATAACCAAAGTAAGTGCTTCTCATCTCGTTAAAAAATTTGGGCTTTCACCAAAAATGACCACTATTCTAAAGCAATACCACATAATAAATCTGTGAAACAACAAATTCATTACATTTGATCATTAAAAATCTCTCACCTTTCTGTGGATCATAAAGCCTGAGGAACAGTCCAGCCAGAGTGGATTTCCCAGAGCCACTAGGCCCTACCACAGCCATAACAGACCCTGCTGGGATCTGTAGGTCAAGACCAGAGAATATCACAGCATCTTCTCTGGTTGGGTAATTAAAGCTGACATCTTTGAATACAATGTTCCCCGCCAGTGGCACACTGGGGATTAACCCGCCTGAAAAGAAAATATTTCATTTCTGTATACATTTCTTCTCTTCTATTATGTAAAAACTTCTGAAAAACTTCTAAAAATACTAGAAGAAGAATAATTAAAGCTGATATATATATATATATATATATATATATATATATATATATATATATATATATATATATATTTTTTTTTTTTTGCTCTTACAAAGTGCTGCAACAGGCACCTTTTTTTTTTTTTTTTTTTGGGAGGGGGGGGGGGGGTTCTATAAAACAACCATGTCTAGTTTCATTACCAAACTGTCACACACCTTAAGTAAATTAATATAACACACACAGCCTTACCCGAAATTGGAATTGTAGGAGTTTTATCAATTATTTCCCATATCCTTGTACTTGCTCCAAGTGCTCGGTTCAACTCCGAATAAAATGAACTCATACCTAAAATGTAATGTAAGTAATAAATAAAATTAAGCCACATCTTAAATGTGATATAAATCACAAATATATCTAATTCCTGCCTTAAATGTGATGCATATTACGAATAGAAAGAACTAGTGATACACATCATAAATAGTATTATAAACTTGTACTTAAATATGATACATATCAATCTTCTGAAGATGAAATCCATCTTCTGATAACCTTTGTTAATCTTGATGTTTGTCAATGCAACTTAAAACATTTTTAAAATTCAAAAACATCTGATAAGAATATTAAATAAAACTGATTATAACATGCCTAGTTATTAATGATACAATAATAACAAAAATATTCCTGACATAACTGACCTGACAGTGATATTCCTATATAGAAGGCATACATTAGAAATGATGTCAAATCTCCAACAGTGATTTGTGAATCATGCATCATTCTGCTACCAACATAGAAAACAGACAAGACAAGACCATTGCCCGCTAAACCAGTCTGAAATTTGTAAGTTTTTCAAAACATCAATTTCAAAATTTAGCTTTTGAAAAATATATATGGATATAAAAGCATATGATAAATGTGTTTTATGAAAGTCAATGTTTTTTTCATTTTAACAATGGGCACAGCTGGACATGCCCACATACTTATCTTGATGATATCTACAGCTTATATTGTAAAATGAAAACTATAAAATAATTAAAAGGCAAATAAAACATTCTAAGGACTTAGCTTCAACAAGCCATTTTCATGCTCCTAACAACAGATATTTACAAAATAAACAAGTTTTCTAGATAAAACCAAGGCCAGTTTTCTTGCAGTACACAGGAATTGCATGGTAATGGAATCATTATCATTATAAATGCTTTGGCAAATTTGAGGAATCTTGGATGACTTAAGTTATGGATATTTACAATTATATATTGTTGACATAAAAGTTTCGAAATTCCAGGCCCAAGTCTACTTACAGAGCCAAAGAAAACTGCCCTGGCCATTGCCTCCTTGTAGGACAGGTCTAAAACATGTTGTATCTTTTTATTGTATGCTCCCATTTCAAGTTTTTCATGTGCAAATGCCCTGACTGTTCTCATGTTGCTTATCCTTTCATCAGCAACCTGAAATATACATCCAAAACTTGTTAGTTATAGTCTCAATGGGAATGAGCCCTGTGAAACACTGAGAGACACACTAGAAGTTTAAAAAATTGAGATGATTAAAGTTATATTGGAAGTAACTTTATACTAAAAAAAATAATCAAATATTAAAACAGATTTCAACAAATAAAAAGATGAATACCCTGTAATACCGATTTTCTGATAAAGCATAGCTCTATAAATCAATTTGAATTTGTCAGAGTCAGGGGTTCTATTATCCCGATGATATAATCATTATGCTATACCTGTGTAGCCTCTGCCAGAGAATCTTGGACAGATTTGGTAATCTTTCTCAGAAACCTGCCATATATAATGAACACTACAGCCACTGGTGGGACTGTGACTAGAGCTGCTAGAGCTAGCTTGGGTGAAACATAAACCTGTAATTTAATTTTAAAATATATGTACCAGTCAGTAATCTTTCAACAGCAAAATAATTATGGCTATCACAGATCAAGTATTAAGACTGAAAAAAAAACATTGCTTCCACAGATGTTAGACATAACATTTGGTATATATTGCAAATGTGCCAAATGGTAGTTATCACAACAGAATTTTAACACATGTACCATGGGAATTCAGGAAATGTAAAGGGCCATCTCATTTCTTTTTTAACCTTTCCTCTCTGCTCTGAATAATCTTTTTTTTTTAGAAATATAGTGCAATTTGTACATTTTGCAGTACTTACTTAAAAGAGCCTCACTTAAATCTTTTATTCCCCTAAGGTAATGGTTACATTGGGTAACAAAATATTCATACAGTGATTTAGTAAAATAAAATGTTCAGTAAGACGTACCATCATTGAAATTCCTCCCACACCCTGTGCCACAGCTCTTAACCCATCAGACACGTTCTGAGTGACAGAGGAGCCAACCACTGTTGTATCTGCTGACAGTCTGTTAATCAGCTCACCGCTTTTACTTTTGTCAAAGAAAGCAGTTTCTTGTCTGAGGATTGACGCAAAAACTGACTGCCTCATGGTGTTGATTATCCTTTGACCTGTCATGAAATATGTGGACGGAAATAGTGAATAACAACAACTTCAGTAAGTTACAATTCAATATATAAAATATCACAGGACAAAGTTTTATCTTAAAACAGTCCTTCCAAATAAGTTAAAACAAACACTGCAGAGGAGCCTTCTCAAAATAATCGCAATAAATATGTCATCCCAGCTATTTATTATCAAGGCTATAAAATTACAGTTAAGAGAGAATATAGCCTTTCCAACAAAGGCACGTGAAGGGTTATTGTTTGTCGTTATCATAATTTGCTTCGTAAACCCACCAAACATGAATTCATGAACTGCATATTTTAAATATATCATAAGGGCTGCCAACCCCCACATGCATAACAGCATTAATGCACATTCTACATATCTAATACAGTAGCATCAAATCTTTTTGTTTTCAGGTAGTTGTTTTAAATAACATGTTCAGATCAATGCATTTTGAGAGCTGTAATGTCAGTGACCCTACAAGAGTACACGATTCCTCCAAATCCAATCCCATGGTTAGCATACATGCCTTATGTGGGCAAGTTATACACGAGTACCTGACTCACCTGAGATTTGAATCAAATACACCCTCCCAAAGTTTGCCACAGCTCCAACCAGAAATAGACCAGTGAGAAAAATAGCAATATTGGTCAGCTGGTCAGTCATTTCTCCCTCTGAGTTCAAACTGGACACTGTATCTATTACACGGCCAATACAAAAAGGGATGGACATTGTCACTGCGCTGGATACCAACAACAGACCAATAGCACCTGAAACAAAAATTAATTTTAAAAATCATTAATAAATTGTAGTTGCATCTTTATAAGCAATATATCTTTTAAAATACATGTATTTTATGTGAAATGTAATGTTATGTATACATATAATTTGGGACCTTAAATACTAGTAGTTCAGTAATATGCACTATGTGAACTTCTTTTCAATTTCTATATATTGATATATCTTCTCCACCTTCTTGAGATGGTGACTTATTGGAAAATTAGCTGTTAATGCACTTTGGTACACTTTAAAGACAAGTAGGTTACCTGGGCTTGTTGGCTAATTCATTTGAACAATAATTTTATATCCCCATACATACTGAATTGCCTCTTTAACAAAATAACAAACAAGGCAGCAAAGCTGTCAAATGTACAGACAAAAAACAGAAAATAAAGATGCAAAAAAAAAAAAGGTCATTTTGTCAATTTTGATGCAATAATAAATAATGCTTATAATAGCACTGTCAGTCAACACTGAATTTTAATCATGCACAACAGGTAACATGGTCAATAACAGGAGCAGATCCAGAGATATTTTCTGACAGTATTCCAAAGTATCTTTGTTGATCCATCCTCCATTTTGATGGTCTTCAAACAGAAAAAAAATANATCATTATCATTATCATTATAAATGCTTTGGCAAATTTGAGGAATCTTGGATGACTTAAGTTATGGATATTTACAATTATATATTGTTGACATAAAAGTTTTGAAATTCCAGGCCCAAGTCTACTTACAGAGCCAAAGAAAACTGCCCTGGCCATTGCCTCCTTGTAGGACAGGTCTAAAATATGTTGTATCTTTTTATTGTATGCTCCCATTTCAAGTTTTTCATGTGCAAATGCCCTGACTGTTCTCATGTTGCTTATCCTTTCATCAGCAACCTGAAATATACATCCAAAACTTGTTAGTTATAGTCTCAATGGGAATGAGCCCTGTGAAACACTGAGAGACACACTAGAAGTTTAAAAAATTGAGATGATTGAAGTTATATTGGAAGTAACTTTATACTAAAAAAAATAATCAAATATTAAAACAGATTTCAACAAATAAAAAGATGAATACCCTGTAATACCGATTTTCTGATAAAGCATAGCTCTATAAATCAATTTAAATTTATCAGAGTCAGGGGTTCCCGCAGTCCACACACTGAGACCAGCTTGTATGTCATGGTCTGAGGGTATCCGAAAATCCTTTTCACATTTGGCCTTGGTGATGTGTGGCTTAGCCAGTCACCTCCAAAAAACTTCACCACAATTTTCAAACAAAGACAAACTGACCACTTTACCCAAATATGCAATAGCAAACTTCAAGCCAACAGTAAATTATCTCTTTTCCGTATACTTAACCAAAAGTGTGAAAGGGCAACTTATGTTGATAAAATAACAAATTACGACACCTTGTCAACCCTTGCTAAACTACGTCTTAGTGACCATAAACTCCACATCGAAACTGGGCGGCACACCAGGCCAAAAACTGAAAGGTGCGACAGAATCTGCCTGTGCACACAAGGGGTAATTGAGGATGAATACCATTTTATATTCCAATGCCCAATGTACAAAACAGACCGAGTCACCTTTTTCAGTAAAACCTCATTCCTAAAAGCTGATTCAAGGCCACCAGACAGTCAACTATGCCATGTATTTAACAGTGCCAACAAAGATACTTTAATGTCCCTCTCCAACTTTATAATCAAATCATTCAAGAAAAGAAGTGAAGTGGTTGCTCTGCTTGGTAACTCTTAGCATATCCCTTAAAATGTCAGTGTATGGTCCCACTGTTGTGAGAAGTGACTCGGCAGTGGGACTGAACATGGCACAATATTTATATCTGTGTAACTTATTTACTTATCTGTCTTATGTAATTGTCATTAATCGTAATTATCAATGTCATCAAACAGCTATGTAACGGTGGTTTTAAGTTCTTTAAAAACATATTCTTTTTGTGTAACATGTTTATAGTATGTTTATGGTAAATTTATAATCACACCAAGGTTTATCTCATTGCTTAGATAGAATATTTTATGAGTAATTTTACTTGTACTTATCTTCATTATATAAAGATGGTAATGCACTAACTGTATTGTATCGTCATTTGTATATCATATTGTACAAGGTCATGACAATCTATGTACCAGTACAGAAATAAATTGAATTGAAATTGAATTGAATTATCCGGATGATATAATCATTATGCTATACCTGTGTAGCCTCTGCCAGAGAATCTTGGACAGATTTGGTAATCTTTCTCAGAAACCTGCCATATATAATGAACACTACAGCCACTGGTGGGACTGTGACTAGAGCTGCTAGAGCTAGCTTGGGTGAAACATAAACCTGTAATTTAATTTTAAAATATATGTACCAGTCAGTAATCTTTCAACAGCAAAATAATTATGGTTATCACAGATCAAGTATTAAGACTAAAAATAAAAATATTGCTTCCACAGATGTTAGACATAACATTTGGTATATATTGCAAATGTGCCAAATGGTAGTAATCACAACAGAATTTTAACACATGTAACATGTGAATTCAGGAAATGTAAAGGGCCATCTCATTTCTTTTTTTAACCTCTCCTCTCTGCTCTGAATAATCTTTTTTTTTTTTTTAGAAATATAGTGCAATTTGTACATTTTGCAGTACTTACTTAAAAGAGCCTCACTTAAATCTTTTATTCCCCTAAGGTAATGGTTACATTGGGTAACAAAATATTCATACAGTGACTTAGTAAAATAAAATGTTCAGTAAGACGTACCATCATTGAAATTCCTCCCACACCCTGTGCCACAGCTCTTAACCCATCAGACACGTTCTGAGTGACAGAGGAGCCAACCACTGTTGTGTCTGCTGACAGTCTGTTAATCAGCTCACCGCTTTTACTTTTGTCAAAGAAAGCAGTTTCTTGTCTGAGAATTGACGCAAAAACTGACTGCCTCATGGTGTTGATTATCCTTTGACCTGTCATGAAATATGTGGACGGAAATAGTGAATAACAACTTAAGTAAGTTACAATTCAATAAATAAAATATCACAGGACAAAGTTTTATCTTAAAACAGTCCTTCCAAATAAGTTAAAACAAACACTGCAGAGGAGCCTTCTCAAAATAATCGCAATAAATATGTCATCCCAGCTATTTATTATCAAGGCTATAAAATTAAAGTTAAGAGAGAATATAGCCTTTCCAACAAAGGCACGTGAAGGGTTATTGTTTGTCGTTATCATAATTTGCTTCTAGTAAACCCACCAAACATGAATTCATGAACTGCATAATTGAAATATATCATAAGGGCTGCCAACCCCCACATGCATAACAGCATTAATGCACATTCTACATATCTAATACAGTAGCATCAAATCTTTTTGTTTTCAGGTAGTTGTTTTAAATAACATGTTCAGATCAATGCATTTTGAAAGCTGTAATGTCAGTGACCCTACAAGAGTACACGATTCCTCCAAATCCAATCCCATGGTTAGCATACATGCCATATGTGGGCAAGTTATACACGAGTACCTGACTCACCTGAGATTTGAATCAAATACACCCTCCCAAAGTTTGCCACAGCTCCAACCAGAAATAGACCAGTGAGAAAAATAGCAATATTGGTCAGCTGGTCAGTCATTTCTCCCTCTGAGTTCAAACTGGACACTGTATCTATTACACGGCCAATACAAAAAGGGATGGACATTGTCACTGCGCTGGATACCAACAACAGACCAATAGCACCTGAAACAAAAATTAATTTTAAAAATCATTAATAAATTGTAGTTGCATCTTTATAAGCAATATATCTTTTTAAATACATGTATTTTATGTGAAATGCAATGTTATGAATACATATAATTTGGGACCTTAAATACTAGTAGTTCAGTAATATGCACTATGTGAACTTCTTTTCAATTTCTATATATTGATATATCTTCTCCACCTTCTTGAGATGGTGACTTATTGGAAAATTAGCTGTTAATGAACTTTGGTACACTTTAAAGACAAGTAGGTTACCTGGGCTTGTTGGCTAATTCATTTGAACAATAATTTTATATCCCCATACATACTGAATTGCCTCTTTAACAAAATAACAAAAAAGACATATTTTCAAAATTTAATAAATATTCCTATTCAAAGGCTGAATTTTTAAAATGACTCTGATTCTCTTGACCCACTGCTAGAGACTTAAGTCTGCAGTATAATATAACCAACAGAACAGTGAAAATGTGATATAATGCCTGTTATTATCCTTGGAACAATTTGAAACTTGACAGCTTGACCACCCTCATCTATCATATACTAATAGACATATGATCCACGTTGATGTTTAGAAATCTGCACGGTTTTCATGAAAACAATCAAAAATACTACTGATAAAAAACAGCCATTTAAAAATCATATGTTTAAAACCAATTCAAAAGTACGAGAATGATTGTAAAACTATACATAGAAGAATGCCATACTAAAAAGCTAATTCGAAAAAATTATATTTACCAGCAAGTCTCCATTTTTCTGGCTTGGCTAAAGAGAGCAACCTTTTAATTTCTGAAGCCTTGGGTATTCGCGTTACTTTTCCATTAATGGGCGATGATGTAATGTTGCTGTTTCGAGTGAAAGGTCCTCTGGCTTTGGCAAAACATCTGCGACCTCCTTGAAAATATCGCACAGGAATAAGTTTAGTCCTCGTCTTTGATAAATTCCATTTGAAGGTTCTTATGGACGAGTTATTTGAACCTAAAGATGAATGTGACCGCAATGGGTTTAATATTCTGGTCCCACAACAGCTGCTTGTGTTCTGCCAAGATGAAATCACAAACCTGAGCCTACTGCAGCTAACATACGCCATACTTTTCGTGGTGTTGTGTATCAAATATACCCTTGAATCATGAACTCAATCACTGAGAGATTACCACTATTTTGGACATCCTGTCTAAATGTCATCTAGCCAACTTCACGGTCATAACACTGAACAACAGGTAGGCATATCGCGAGTGCAGCGGAGTCTGCAGGGCGCTGCCATGTTTGATTGCGTTTGCTGTGCAGACGTCTCAACAAACACATTTGAACTACACATTTACATCACTGGGAGTTTGGACCTACCATCTATGCTATTTCTTAAGCATTCGTTGTATAAATTTACTAGTTATATATAAAATAAATTAGGATTAAACGGTCTTGCCAACTTACTTAATATGCACCGTTTTTGTTTAACTGAGAGAAAAGTACTACCATGCAGACTTGGAAACAAATCACTAACAAAATATTCCTCAATCAACGTTTATTGACAAACTCTTGGTACTTTTCTACCATAACAAGTAATCTGCAACATATATACAAGCTATGGACAAATACAGTAATAAAACATAAACTAATACATTTTATACTTCCATTAAGTCCACCAAGTAAAGTTGGTTGACAGAACCTTAACAATTTGGATTAGTGCAATTTTCATCTGGCTAGTTGACAGTACATGAAAGGGATTTTAAAATGACTGGGTAGATGAACCCTCACTTTTTCCAAAATACCTGGACAATATAGTGCCTTGAGTTAACTATGATAAGAAAGCACATATCATTTAAAACAATGCTGATTTCTCAATTTAAAATTGAGAGTACATTGTCAAAGTTTGTATCAGTTTTATGTGTTAAGATGCTGGAGACATCATCTAAACTTGTATGGATTTCAAAAATTATGATGCTTTACATACGTTTGACAGTCTCATTCTTTTCTTGCACAATAAACTCTTTCTAAGAATAGTTTCTAACTGCCGTTCAGAACTCAGCACCACCAATTCATCCAATGACTAGCTACATTTTAACTTCAGGTTGCAAAGAGATCATTGTACAAATTACACGCCTTCAGTAGGGCAAACAGTGCACCTATAACTTAACAGTTCAAAGCACTTTAAACATTCTCAGGTGGAAAAAGATGCATTTCAAATGACAATTTCACCTTTTTTGTATGAAGATTGTACACTTTCTATTTTAACAACAAAAACAAAACAAGAACATCTGCAACATGTATACAATCTTATTTTACACTAACTAGATACTGTCATTGATCTGCTCATCGAGTTATTTTCTAAGTATATACACATGCCATATTTACCCTTGTCTTGTTACGCCATACTCTTATTCCATCACATCAACCTGAGTTTCAGTACATTACCTATTGTCCAATCATGATGATCTTCATAGGAGCGAGTTTCAAATCAAATCTGAGACAGAGGGTGCAGAACAACTGGCAGTTGTTCCATGAAATCATATTTAGAACAAAGCAGCAACATCACTTGTGTAGCTCACATTAGTAAAACCCACGGGGTAACACTGAATCTTACTAAAACGTTTAATAACCCCAAAAGTTTGTTAATCTCAGAAGGCAGTTACTGGAAATTTAAAATTATCAAGAAAACAGTACTACATCATTCAAAAACCACCAACTCAAATGTCTTCCTTAATTATCTTCATAAAAGATGGTAGTGAAACTCTGAATAAGTAATACAGAAATAACAAATCCTCAAGGAGTGTCATCACACACATATCTCTTCCCATGCTTTGCTATAAATTGTCCCAGGTTAGTTTAAGTTAACTTCCTTCCACCTGCTGCCCATAACCCAGCATGTTTTCAAGCTTATCATTAAATGCTACAAGTATCATGTCAGTGTCCTATGACTGACTCATATATATAACACCACATCATTGCTGTCACTGGCTCAAGAATCTCTGTCTCTCCCATGTAATCTGGGTCATCATAATAACAATTGGTCCTAGTGTGGTTCCTCCCTGACGATATGCTGTGAAATCAACATTAAATATGTGTGTCACACTGGCGTATGTCTAACATAAACACCAGTCTTTATACATAGGGGATTCTGCTACCTGTCCTTATTGGCGTATTTGTAGATGGCAAAACTTAACCCTGCTACCAGTATAATACCTAGTCCTGCCTTCAGGAGCCAGCTGGAATCCTGGGAGTACATGTCACCAAGGTTCCTAAAGTATAAAACAGAATAATAAACATTATAAGAAATGGCATATTAATACGTTCATGTTTTCAATGAAAATCAACTTTTGAAAACTATTAAAAAACCCCATGCATTTGTTGTTTTTTATTATTACATTAAGCAGCTGTTTTATTTATTTATTTTTTTTTTTCACAAATGAATGACTAAAAGTGTTTCTGACCAAAAATCTAAACCACATGTGTAAGCTGATTGTTATGTTTGTCAGTAAAGACAGGTTTGCCCAAGATTGTGATAAGGATTGTAAAGGGGGCAGAGAAATATGAAGTCAAGCAGATATTACACTAACACACTGCTTTGCTTTATAATATACTACAAATAAAAGGCAAGCATTGAAGGGAAGATGGCTGAGATGAAACTCATGGCTTGTATCTTTTTAAACAAATTCCTCTGCTGAGGTGCAGCTAAAAGTGTGCAGAACTCAAAGACCTGCTTAAAAATGCCACAACGGACTCATGGCAAATACAAGAAAGATCAATTAATTAATAGAACTTGTGTAAAGATGACAAGGAAAGAGTTATTAAAATTCTCTGCATTGGCATGTGGTTACTGATCGTGCAATGACAGTCTACCAAATAAACCTTTCATGCTGGAAGCTGTAACAGGAGCAGTCAAAGGAGCATTCCAATGGGATAAATGAATCTTTTACCAAAGTAACAACAGGTTTTCACTAGGCCAAGAGTGGTACAGGAAAAGGAAAGAGTTGAGCCAAAAGAACGAATATTGAGCATCCTATCCTCTTTAGAAAAAAAAAATAAAGAAAACAGCAAGTTTCCCTCTCTCTCCATACATAAATAGTTATAAGTATTTAAATATCGCCTCTGCAGATAAGATAAACAAAATACAAAGCTGTACAGTAATTTGACAACATTGCTCAAGAACAAAATGGCTGGCACATGCTACACTATCACACAACAAAGTTACAACAGGTTAGCAATAGCCCCTCCACTATTCGGGTGGATTAGTCCGACAACACTTAGGGGAAAGAAATCTGGTAAGAAATAGCCAGTTGACCGGCATGCAGGACTGAGGATTATAATATGAACATGCATGGCAACCTTAGTTTCTGATGGAACCAGTCAGCCTGTTGCCTGAGGAGTAGCATGTGGACCAGTCTTTTCAAATTGCTGGAAGTACAAAGCACTGCTGTAGCCAATGAGATGTGTACAGCAGTATCAGTGTTGAACTTTTGTACTTTTCAACTGGGGTCAATTGATCACAATGATCAAAAGCTGGTCTTAATATGTAGACCAAATATTTATTTAGTGTGCTTTAAAACAGTACTAGTCCATTTAAAGGAAAATGGTATGCCTGTACTATATAAGGAAAGAAAGGGATAATATAATGTTTTATACCAGTTGTCACTATATTTAAGCCCACTACACTGGACTTGCTTATCCTGAATTGATGCTGTCCAAATTTTGTCTTTAAGTTTAGGCTTTATCTTCAAGATTAGAAGAACTTCTTTTGTGAAACCAGTCCCATGGTGAGAACAATAAAATACAGGCATAGACGGATTAAGTTCTTAGTAACACCTCACCTTATGTCAATCTAGATGTTATCCCCAAACCTCATTTTGGTTTTTTGATAAATTAAAGCAAAATGCAGTACTACCTGTCCCAAATCATCTATCAGTATGGTGCTTTTATACTATAGCAGGTTAATATGTAAATGTTTCATAATTATGGTATGACAGACTGCCACCCCTAACCCCAACCTCCATTATCATATAAACTCTACTTGGTTAATATGATGGAATAATCTTTTTCAATAACTTGTACCGTTCTTGTATTGTTTCCTAAAAAACTAGTGTACAGAGGTGAAGAATATAACAATGTACCAAACTATTACAAGTATTGTGGTAAGAAAACAATGAAAACTTACGGGTAAGCAGCCATGGTAGCTAGCTTAACATAGACATCTCTGTTTATACTGGTAACACAGTCAAACAGCTGTGGTGGAGGAAGTTTGAACTTGTTACAGAACTCTGCCGGCTGCATCTCGTAGTCCTGGAGGACTGCCTGCTGCAGGCTTTTGGTTCCAACTATCAGACATGGAGTTTTACTGTCCATGAAATGATCCTAGAATGGATTTTAAAATAAGAGATGTTAATATTATGAATATAATATGATTATCAATTTCATAATTGTCATTAGTATGGCCAGGATGGTCTGGTCATAACAAATGATACTACATTTTAAGTTAAATGTGATGTAATTATGATATAGTCTTTTTTTTTTAACTAAAAGTAACAAAAAATCTGTCCCATTTACTCAAAAGTGGTGAGAGAAGTTGAAGTGCAGAGTTAGCCTAAACAAAAAACACAAAAGCATTCCAATTTTGGTTGCAGATATCTTTATGATGCAGCAATGCTAGTTTGATTTAACAGACACTTTTTGTTCTAAAGCAATAAGAGAATGGAGAAAATAGAGAACTAATATGGAGATCTGAACATCTTACCTTGTATAAATTGGCACAGAATTCAAATGAGCTTGGGTTGGTGACATCAAAGAGGATACAGGCCACGTCACAGTCCATGTCTAAAGGAGGCTGGGATTGTAATAAACCTGTATCTACTTCATGAAGCTGCAGGAAACAGAAAATGTATTGTATGTTTATTGTGTGGTAAGGGACAGCATACAGGATTGCTATTGTCCACTTTTTATAGCGTGTGCTACTGAGGGTATGTGGCACCCTTTAAAAGAAGTGGAATTTGTACCCTTGTGCTTAAAATTACAATTTTTGGTTTGTAAAAATACAGAAAAGTGGTCTTAAAATGCATTTTATGAGAGTTTTTTGTTTTAGATCTTGATAGAACAATGTTTGATAAGTAAATTTCTTCAAGTGGATTGTTACAAGCAGTATCTTTTTTCTTTTTTTCTTAATACCCTACCAGTAGATATTTTTCCTGACCATAGACTTGTACTGTGTTAATTGTAAAGCGGGACAGATGATCTTTGTTGAGGGTGGCAATGTACTGTAAGTTTCTGCCTATCAAACCTTGCAGGAATACAGTCTGGAATACCAGAATATGTTTAAAATTACTGACAAAAACAATAACATAAATTTTGCAAAAATATGGTGTATGAGATCGGTAATGTATTAATTAATAGCAGCATGAAATGGTAATGTTAGATTTATTTTTCAATCCATGGCAACCATTTTCCGTTGACTTCAATCTTCCTTTGCTTGCTGTAGATGGCACATTGAAACATTTCAGATTCAAAGATATATTTTAATATCACTTTCAAAAACATACTGTCAAAGTGAGCTGTTTAAATATACCTTTCCTACACCCTTAGGTCCTAAAACATGGCACTGAAATACATTCCTTGAGGTCTGTTTCTTTTGGTAGTCTATCCTCTTTTCACGAGTAACTAGAAAAGTAAAAATACAAATAAAAACATTATAAAAGTCATGTCACTTGAATTTATATTGTTATTAAATCATATATTTCTTCAAATAGATCACATAACATCCACATAAATTAATAAAAACATTTTATAAATGAAATTATTAAAAATCCAACATCTTTTTTTTTTTTTTGCCACACTAACCATTGATAGCACTGAGTTGAGTGTCATGTTCATACATGTATCCTAAATAAGCTAAATTTTCTAGAGTCCTGGGAACATCTAGTAGGGTTGTTAATCTGAAAACGAAATTTAAAAAATCTGTAGTGAAACAAAAAATGGCAAGAAGGTACCAGTTAATTGCAGTACAAATAGGCACATATCATTACTTGATTTTAATGTTACTGAATGCAATGCAGCTTATTTAAACAGCATCCTGCAATTTGACCTATAAATTATTTCTTAAGTTCACAACCCTATCCTCTGCAGTGATCATTAACAGTCTAAGACAACTAACTCACTGTCACAGCTCTGGTATCAGATGAATAAAAAAGGCAGCAAAGCTGTCAAATGTACAGAAAAAAAACAGGAAATAACTATGCACAAAATAGGCTACTGTCAATTCTGATGCAAAAATACATTATGTTAAACTGCAAATTCAACATCAAATTTTAATTATCCTCAACAGGTAATACCAATGTAATTAAAATATGTGACAAGTTTACACTTTGAAAATGAATAACTTCCAGAAAAAGAAGTTCCTTAGACTGCTTTTCCAACTCAGACTGCATTTTAGTCCTNCTTCTAAAATAATGCCCCGATTATGCTGATTTTCGAACTCAACCTGCGTTCTAGTGAGACTGACCATTCCTGTGAGTTTAATGACAATTGGGCTTACTGTTTTTCTTATATTGTGTTTACAGTGTTGCATATATGCTGAACAATGAAAAAACCGCATAACTACTAAAATAGTGGCCCGATCATGCTGATTTTCGAACTTGACCTGCGTTTTAGTAAGATTGATTATTCCTGTGAGTGTCATGACAACAGGCCTAACGGTTTTCCTTAAAATGTGTTTACAAGGTTGCATATATGCTGAAAAGTGAAAAAACAGCGTAACTTCTACAATAATGGCCCGATCATGCTGATTTTCGAACTTGACCTGCGTTTTATGAATATTCATCAGCTCTGTAAATATAAAGCCAAAAAGTAAAACTGCCTTCCACTTATCGTGTTTACAAGGAAAGTGCACGGCGACGGCATCGGCATCGGCGACGGCGACGACAGACGCAGGTGATGGCAATATGTACAGACACATCTGTGTCTGTACATAAAAAAATTCATTAAGTCAATTGCATGACCAGACAAGTGAAAATTTTAGCCAATATTTTGGGTTTATTTCCCAGCCAGTAGTTTTCTGAGGCCTACTAATCCAAGTGATTTGTTACTTTCATCTTATACACCATCAAACCACTGTGGCTACTGGCTCTGCAAGCAGAAAGGACGCACACAACTTACGTCCACTGTGCTAAATAGCCCTGCAATGATATCCATCCCTGGGCATTGGTACAAACTGCATTATTCACGTCAGGGCCCCAAGGCATGCTGGGACATGTCCCAAATAAACTCTGAAGCTCCGTGGGAGACAAATGACCATCCTTATCCTAGAGGCAAAGGCAAGATGAAGCAAATAATGGTAAATATTTACTTCAATGTTTTTAATTACACCACATTATAAAATGATGATACTGTGCATTTTCTTACAGTTTAGTGTACTTTTGCATTTTGTTTTCAAAATAGATAATATTGAATAAAATCATTTATGGATATTATCTCCATTCATTAGGTAGAGTTAATCTTTAAAGATCACAAAACTAAATTTACTAACCTCGTCAAATCTGTCAAACAAAGTGGTAAGGAACTGATACCCTTCATGGGTCAGCTCAGTAGAACAGCCATAGGGAACATGGAAACTGAAAAACAGAAAAAAAAAGTTCTCATCAAAATATACACCACATCAAGTTTATCACTGTTTATTAATTGTTTAATTTTAACAAGAAACTTGATCCAAACATCTACTGACTATCCGTTCCAGGAACTCAGGCTAACTGTAATGGTTAAGGAACTTATTGTTTAGTATACTTACTCTGGGTGAAGGTACTCATTGGCAAGCTGAAGGCTATCACTGTACCCAAACTTCCTAAGGACTGTCCATGTTGTCTCATGCCTTCCCCTTTGGATAAACAGCATGTGCAAAAACTGAAATCCTTAACAAAAGAAAAGTGCTATTTGTAATTTGCCACGATTTTGTTCTTTTATAAGTTACTCAACACTTGATCTCAAAATCTTCATCTGATGATCCTACCAGACATATTGCAAATGTTTAAGATCAATATGAGATATAAGTTCCAACCACAAAATCAAAATTTGAGCAAATTCAATGATAAACTGGTTAAAGTATATTAACAATTTTTTATGAAATCTACCATGCTACAGAGAGTCCAGATGGTATAACATAATGGAAATTGCTGTCCAATAACAAGAAGATGCCCACTTGTAGCACCTACTGAAACTGTAATTCATTTTCAAGTGGCACAACAATCCAAACTCACCTTTAGTTGTTAGACTGTCATCTTCCACTCCATCAGAAATGTTTTTCTTCACCACTGTTTTCACGTCCTCTAGGGCTTGGGGTTGAAGGGGTGCATTGAAACAAAATATCTGAAACAACAGAAAACATTAACAATTTGTCATAGTGCAAACAATACTTTGCTATTATGCCATTCAGCACATGAACAAGTTTATCACCCCGAATTTTGGAGATTATTGGAAACAAACCTTCACTACCTACCCATCCCAGTTACTTTATCTAATCATCTCTGAATTTCGGGGTGGATAATTATTTCTTATATATTGTCTCTTAACCATACTCAGAGGCTTAGATGTTAATGTTACATCTAATGTTACATGTTTACTGCCATAATACAAATATTTACCTGGAATTTTCTGATTTCCTCATCACTGAGAAGCTTGTCATTATCCTGGTCACAGATCTAAAAGACAAGAAATCAGTACCACATTCTTATGAACACAGTCACCTAAAGCCAGCCATTTTCATTTTAAGACATTTCCATAATACTCACTCTGTCACACTAGTCAACATTTTGTTGAAGCTCACCTCATTAATAAGAAAGGCAAAATATGATCACTTATTCATACAATTCATTTGATTTAGCTAGAAGTACTTTTTTAAAAACTGTAATAGATTTTCTTCAGCATTCCACTCACACACATACAAAAAATGCATAAGTGTGAGCCTAACCGCCAGGCAACAAATTAAGAACAAAAGACAAATACCTTGAATATCCTAGCCAGGGCTTTTTTACATTTTGCTGTAAGCTGAAATATATTAAATTAGATGCTTATTGTTCTGTTATAAAAAAGAGCAATTCTTATGCAAACACACACCATAACATAACAAAACAACATAATAAAATGCTGTACATGATCTAGAATATTTCAATTTATACAAATATAAATTTGAAAAGTACAGTACAGATCTATGAAACATTAAACTAGTGCATAATGACTAAATAATCACAAAATATCATGGCAAATATCATTACACCACAATTATACTCCTTTAAATACTAAAATAAATATCCATTCCTCTTTATTTTATAATCTTCTAAATTAGTCTTACCTCTTTCTCTTCAGGGATATAAAGTGGGGCAGTAGGATGGAGCACAGCTTTCTGAGCATAGTAAAATACTTCACTAATGTTACGGAGATTTTTGGCAGAGCACTGTAATGAAGAGGAAACAGCTGTAGTGAAATATTCAAATATCTTTAATCTTGCATGTCAAATGTATCAAATTCAGACTCATCTTATAGCTCAACTGATAAAAGCCAGTCACAGTCATTTAAGTCTTATCAATGAAAAACAGAAAACATCTATCTGAATCATGCTGGAAATATCATAAAATATAAACTTTGTTATTACAAAGTCAATGTTGCTGATATTTAGTTGTATATCACATTTAAAAGTCCCCTATGTCAGCAACAATTCTGCAACAATAACAATATTATACAGAGTTTTAATGCAACCTGTATCACTTACCTCCACACAAGTTTCCACCTCAGCCCAGTCATTCATAATGGGAAGTATCATCTAATGAGCAAGATAACAGATATCTTATCAGTACAGTGATACATATAGTACAATAAAAAAAAATTGAATACATTCCTGTTATAATTCTAAATAGTGTAATGACTTATAATTAAAGGAGAATAAATATATGAACTGTCAGGGTTCAGGCCTACTACTACTACGTCCACACTGTAAGATATAGGTAAATACATTAATTAATTAATTGATTGATTAATTAATAAGCTGTAAGATTTCAGTCCTGCTACAACATACACAGTGTAAGATATAAATAAATAAATAAATAAATAAATAAATCTGACATATTTCAGTCCTGCTACCTACATCCATGGTGCTGTGTTCCACAGTGTCAGATCTGTTACCAACCAATATGACAGGGATCTGATGCTCCTCCCCCAGGGTCTTCCTTACAAACGGGAGCCAGTATTCACTGATCTGGTAAATAAAAATACCACTTCATATATTTCATAACCTGCTGCACATAAACTCTTATTTTGCAAAAATGTTCATGATGTAAATTATTATCACTTCTAGCAGTTATTCCTTTTTGGATTTTTATCTTAGCTAAAAACTCAGGTTTTGTGATCGGTATATCAGGAAACTCAAAATTCACTTGTCTGAGACAATTTAATCCTCCATTCAAAAAATATATATATATATATTAATACAATGTTACGTAATTGTGTGCCAGAGAAATTCAAAACTTCATGCTATTCCATCTGCATCCAAACCAAGTATTGGCCTATATTTTAACTTGAACATATACCTAAGGTGTAAATTACACATCATTCATATACTTGCCTTTGATATTGTTTCTTCTTCATCCACAGCATAAACTATACAGATTACATTGGCCTGAAAAATGCATTCACCTTAATTTGTGCATAGTATTAGTGCTCTGAATTTTTTCATATATTTTTCATCAATATCTTACTTACATAAACAACGCATTTATGCATAAAGCAACATTATTCTAGAGGAAAACTTATGACGTTTAACATGAAGATTAAAATAAACTGCCACTTCTCTTTGGAGAAGTTTAACTTACTCTCAGTATTTCCTCAGTCAATTCTTGTTCATCTTGTTCAGCAGCTGGATAAAAGACAAAATCATTACTGATTTTACAACAATTTTCAAAGAAGTGGCACAGAAATATAGCAGAAAAAAATTATAGCAAAAATTCTAGTCTAGGTATGAAATTATCAAACTATTCAGCTGCAACACATGTCACCATATAATTCTCCTGTACATAACTGACTGACCTTTATTTTAAATGAAGTGGACAAGAGAAAGAATACAGTATTATGGCCTAGATAAAAAAAGTATCAGACATATTTTATCATGAGAGTGTAAAACATATTTGGCACTTTCAGTATAAAATTGTATGATATTTTGAGTCTATTGATTCTTACTAGAATAATCCACAATGTGTGTGGGAACCCTTTCTGGTGTGACATCTGCTGGAATAGTGATTTCTTCAGCTTTAGCAGGAACCTGAGCCAAAAGAAAAGAGAAAGGTTTCACTTTCACTTTGATAAAAAAAAAAGTTACAAAGCAAAAGTATTACTCTATAAATTGTTCATGTGTTCCTCCAGTTTTTCATTCAGTTTTCAAAGAACATAAAAAGGCAACTTTCCTAAATTATTATTTAAATTCTATGCAGACTGCAACTAAGTATACTGTCACTGAGACAGTGAGCCGCATAAAAATGTAGCTACTCTCATTTCACATACAAGGCAGATTGAAGAATATGACTAGTTAATTCATACATTTTCATTATTACACAGATCAACCATTTTTGTCTTTAATAACATTCAATAGTCATATGACATAAATCCAACTTCAAGCTCCAAATAATATTTAAGTCACTTGTAAAATACAGTTACCTCATCTGGAAACTCTTCACTCACAAGGGATAAAATCAGTGAAGTTTTGCCCACTCCATCTAAAAGACAATAGTTGTATTTGTGATATATGATGAATTATTTCTGATGTTACAAGTATGCAAATCATCTAATGATCAAATGATCAAACTTCTGCATCATTGAGAGGGACATGCTGTTCGATTGACCTTTTACAATGAGTTATTCTAAAGCAGACGGCCTGCAGCATTGGGGCATACCACATCAGCCGTGGCAACTTGACATACTGAAAGGTGAAATTGGCCAAACTGAAAATTATGAAACATTTGCTTCACTGTCACTGTCTTTCTTACCTTCTCCAAGGAGAAGAATCCTGACATCTTTTTTGGAAGACATTTCTGGGTACAAACGAAATATTTATGTATATATGGAATGCCAGTCTTTGTGCAGTCAGTAAATGAGTATATCCATTCAAGACGTGAACTATATATTGTAGATCTATAACTCCCAATCAACTAAGTTCAAGTAAGTTCAAGTTACAAATCAAAACACTGTCAACGCTGCATGTCTGCACATTGACAGAATCGCGGATAAATCACGACCAAACCTTTCTGATCTGATACTCTTTCTGGAAGAAGGCCTTTAAATCCCTTCAATACGTAAGCCTAATATCCGACGATATCGCAGCTTGCAGAGAAGAAAAATTGCAATATATTTTGTAAATGTAGGCGGATGAAATTCTGGGTCAACAGACAACCTTGAATGATACGCATGCGCCGAGAAATTTTGTCCAATCGGAAATTAGTTCAACATTGCTGCTGATCATTCCCGCAAAACATGAAGTTCTNGTGTAAAACATATTTGGCACTTTCAGTATAAAATTGTATGATATTTTGAGTCTATTGATTCTTACTAGAATAATCCACAATGTGTGTGGGAACCCTTTCTGGTGTGACATCTGCTGGAATAGTGATTTCTTCAGCTTTAGCAGGAACCTGAGCCAAAAGAAAAGAGAAAGGGTTTCACTTTCACTTTGATAAAAAAAGTTACAAAGCAAAAGTATTACTCTATAAATTGTTCATGTGTTCCTCCAGTTTTTCATTCAGTTTTCAAAGAACATAAAAAGGCAACTTTCCTAAATTATTATTTAAATTCTATGCAGACTGCAACTAAATATACTGTCACTGAGACAGTGAGCCGCATAAAAATGTAGCTACTCTCATTTCACATACAAGGCAGATTGAAGAATATGACTAGTTAATTCATACATTTTCATTATTACACAGATCGACCATTTTTGTCTTTAATAACATTCAATAGTCATATGACATAAATCCAACTTCAAGCTCCAAATAATATTTAAGTCACTTGTAAAATACAGTTACCTCATCTGGAAACTCTTCACTCACAAGGGATAAAATCAGTGAAGTTTTGCCCACTCCATCTAAAAGACAATAGTTGTATTTGTGATATATGATGAATTATTTCTGATGTAACGTTACAAGTATATTTCTGAATAAAAAAAAAAATGCAAATCATCTAATGATCAAACTTCTGCATCATTGAGAGGGACATGCTGTTCGATTGACCTTTTACAATGAGTTATTCTAAAGCAGACGGCCTGCAGCATTGGGGCATACCACATCAGCCGTGGCAACTTGACATACTGAAAGGTGAAATTGGCCAAACTGAAAATTATGAAACATTTGCTTCACTGTCACTGTCTTTCTTACCTTCTCCAAGGAGAAGAATCCTGACATCTTTTTTGGAAGACATTTCTGGGTACAAACGAAATATTTATGTATATATGGAATGCCAGTCTTTGTGCAGTCAGTAAATGAGTATATCCATTCAAGACGTGAACTATATATTGTAGATCTATAACTCCCAATCAACTAAGTTCAAGTAAGTTCAAGTTACAAATCAAAACACTGTCAACGCTGCATGTCTGCACATTGACAGAATCGCGGATAAATCACGATCAAACCTTTCTGATCTGATACTCTTTCTGGAAGAAGGCCTTTAAATCCCTTCAATACGTAAGCCTAATATCCGACGATATCGCAGCTTGCAGAGAAGAAAAATTGCAATATATTTTGTAAATGTAGGCGGATGAAATTCTGGGTCAACAGACAACCTTGAATGATACGCATGCGCCGAGAAATTTTGTCCAATCGGAAATTAGTTCAACATTGCTGCTGATCATTCCCGCAAAACATGAAGTTCTCCTGAGGTGAGCCCAAAAAATGTTATGTTTTTTTCTTCTGCTGCATTATTGACAATTTAAACCCCGTTGGTGAGTTAAAAAGGATCCAGCTAAGAAAGTGTTTCAGTAATTTATCTTGTGGTTGTTGCAAAGATAGAATAAATGTTCTTAAAATGTTGTTTACGAACGTCAAGGGCTTGAACTAAGTTAGCTGAAACGGAAGTTTTGTATTTCACAGGTCAAGCAAAACGTAGAACTTTCAGAACAAATATTTGTATGTACAGACTAGCTAGAATTAGAAAATAGCATATTTTTGAAAACAGCAATTTTAATGTGATTTTAATTCCAATGGCAATCATTTCAGTTCTTTATTAGACCAAAAGAACTATGTCAAGAAGACGCCTGGAAGCAGCTATTCAAGCTGGAAAGCAGATAGAACAAGGTGACCATGACAGGCTAACTCACGTTAAAGTGGGCCCTTACCACACATTTTTGAAAACATTTTTGTCTTGTTATACTGAATATATAGATATGAACTTCACGCCAATTTTATTAGACTTTTTAAATTTTATTTCATGCATGCCTTTTGATTACACCTAAAGTTAGTTGTGATTTCAAAATAAGGATGTAATTCATTCATCTGACATCTGTTGCATTTCTTTGTATTACTGTGAATAACTATCATGGGATTGGTTATGTCAGGATTTGCTTGAGCACTTAACTGACTTGGTCAGTGTTCAACACATAAAGAACAATTAATTTTGTAATGCTCCTTTTCATTCATATTGTTACCCCACTCCAGTGTATGCCATTGCAGGGAAGTGGTGTCACTACAAACCTTTGTAAGCCTAACTCTATTTGTGTGATAAATTACTATCGGCCAAGTTAAAGAGAGGTACTTTTCCTATAATGTAAAAATTATAATTTTTGTAAACAAAATTTTTATTTGAGATAAAGTGGTGTTAGTATCTAGTGTACCTTTCTTCAGGAACTCAATGGCCCAGCAACTTAGAAAAAGTAGACAACATCAAACAAGTATCAATGCGTGACATTGAACGAGATGGTATTTACAGTCTTCAGTTTTCATATGATGGCAACACTCTTGCTGTTGGGTATGGAAATAGTGGTATTGAGGTATGTTATTTTAGTAATTTAAAAGTGTTAGTGATTGTTAATGTTGACTTTTTGACGTTTCTGTACATTTTCTTTTTGGATTACATTCACTTAGTAGATAATTTATATTGTCACGTTGACTAGACTATTAGTTTACGAGATTGTAACAAAGACTATGATTTTAAAAAGTAATACACAGTCACGACAAACAGTTTTTAAATATTTATTAATCATCATCACCATTTATTAATTTCTTTTTCTTTATATTTTTAGATACTAGATGCTCTGACAGGAAACCCAGTCCAGGAATTGAGGAAATCTAAATACGGTGGTTTGCCTATAGGCTGTCTCAGATTCAATCCACAGCAGCAGCACATACTGTTTGCTGGTGGTGCGGATGGTAATGTGTATTCCTGTAACTCACAGACAGGAGAGTGCACAGAAATTATTTCAGGTAACTTGTCTAAAAGGTCAAATTAAATACCAGACATGAGCCTTTTCCAGAGAAAAGCAGAATTCCATGTTTTTTAATTCAGTTCTGATGGTTCCTGTGATTCCCGGTTGGTTAAGTGTTAAGTCCCATGATAAATTTGCAGATTTTTTTTTTTTTTTTTTTTTTAACCAAGGCTCATGTCTGAAATACTAATGGGTGGTTTGTTTTGATTGAATTGATTTGCACAAGTTGCCAAGCTGTTTTTTTCTTGACAAATGTAGTTTGATATTACCAAATATCATTTATGTGTTACAGGATAACAATGTGGTGTACAAAAAATGCTGCGTAAAAATTGATAACCAAGAAGCTTTTCATAGACCTTTACAGATGTAGTTTGCTGGGAATAATTATAAACAATTTAAATGAATTTATGCTAAGTGAGAGAGTCTTTTGAGATTGTAATATAGGACAGTAAAAATAGTTACTTGGAGTTCCACATTTTTATGTTTTCAGAGAAGCACAATGAAATCAACTGTCTAGACTTCAGCATGGATAGCTTCTCCTTTGCCACAGCTGGCAAGGATTTGGATATAAGAATATATGACACCAAGACTCAAGAGGTAACAGTTTTTAATATAAAAATCAATGGTGGTTGGCTGGCACTGGGCAATTGTTTAGGGTGTCAGGAAAATTAATACACAGTTTGGGCCAAAATGCCCAAAATGTTTATTTAAAGTTTACTGGCATGAAAAGTAATTCTTCTGTGGCTATTATTTAAAAATTCTTACTTCATTATTATTACTCTCTAGCCATCAATGAAAACTAATACTAGTTATAACACTTTTGATACTTATTTGTCTACCAGTGAAGCACAGAAGGATAAGGTCTAATTTTTCCAACACTTAGGGTACAGATAAATGGAGTCCAATATATATGTCTACCAATAAAGTAGATTTAAATCGAGTCTAATTGAAATACTATCAAATACCTATATTTAGGATAATCTGTATTTTCTTCTAGTTGGTGACAGAGTATAAAGGATATCACCAGTATAAACCTAATCCTGAGGAACAGGGAGTAGGGCATGCTCAGAGGATCTTTGCCCTCAAATTCCATCCAGAAAATGATAACATTTTCATCACTGGAGGTTGGGACAATCACCTGAAGGTAACTAACTAGGATCACTCTAAATAAATAATTTTCTCACCTTCAAAAAGCATTAAAATTTTAACCAAATCAAAAAATTTTGAACTGTGTAGAGAGTAGACTTAACCTAAAATTAAAAAAAAATGTGTATTTTGTTTTCCTCAGCAAAATAAGAAGATGATCAGAATTTGGCCAAATTTTATATTGCTTGAGAGAAGACTTGTTCTGGGCATTAACCAAATCTGTAAGAAAGTGAGAAAAATTAAAAAAAATGAGCAAAAGTAGATATGGTGTAGAATTTGACAAAAATAAATGGATGAAAAAGAAAATGCTATCCTAAGCCTGTGGTTGCCAACTTAAATATTTTGAAGCACTATGACACCACCCGAAACTTTTCATTTATCAACAGACTGAAAGCTCTCCAATTACTAGATTCATCTTTCTCTCATGTCTTATTGACAGTAGTGTTTCTCTTAAACATCACTGACATTGTGTGTGTGTGTGTGTGTGTGTGTGTGTGTGTGGGGGGGGGGGGGGGGGGGGACATTTTTGCCAGAATAAATATTTCAGTCTTTTGACACTCCCTCTTGAGTCCTATTTCTAAAAAAATGTCAAGAGATATATGTGAGAAAACTGAGGAAGAAATATTAAACATATATTAATAATTTGTTGTATTTGGGGCTTTGGTGAAAAAAAATTAAAACACCTGACATTTTCTTGTGATTTAGGTTTGGGACAAGCGATCATCAGATGGAGTGAAGCGTACCATAGGTGGACCTCATATCTGTGGGGACGGATTGGATGTCAGGGTAAGTATTCATATTAAAACTCTTGGTAGGGTATATTTAAAACTTGAGTACCTCACGTCATACCTTTGAAGGTTGTGGCTTACAGAAATAAGACCCCAAATAGATAAATTATTGCTATGATTAGAAGTTTGATTATGCTTAGGTTCATGTCCTGTAGATAAGTCATAGATGTTAATATTAGGTGATACATGCACCTAGAAAGCACAATTTCTTCCTCATAGCAAGCAACAAATAATAGCCCTTATCCTTTGACAAAACTTGAATGTTTTAATGATTTATGACTTATCAGTTGATCTTTTCCAGGGCTTCCAAATATTAACTGGCTCATGGACTCACCACAATGCTCTGCAGATCTTTGACTACTCTACAGGCAAACTGCAGCAGAACATTCCTTTCCCTGATAACGGGGAGGGCCAGTACTTGTACTGTGCCCAGTTCTGTGAGAATGATGTGGTGATTGCTGGAGGAAGTGGGACCAAGAGTGCTAAAGCTATCAATATCACTACAGGCGAGGTGAGGGGTGAAAGAATAAATTCTTTTTTAAATTATTTTGGGGATTTTATTTATTTATTTATTTATTTATTTATTTTTGAGACTTGGAGAAATTCTATTTGTCGATCTGGTATATAACTCTAGTCCTGTGTCTTTATACTGGGGCATTGGTTTCAAGGTCTTTTTATTGAGAAAATTAAGAGAGCTTATTTTAAGAAACTAAGGGAATTGTCTTTGGATTTTGTTTAGAACAATTGCAAAGGGAGTTGTTTTCTTTCTATAAGAAAAATAAAGAAAATAATTATTTGATGTTCTACAGCAAAATTTGAAGGGATTTTTTGAGTTAAGCTCTCTTTGATAATCTGGGTGAATTGATCTCATATTAAGGATTGGCCTCTATATTTACAAATGTAACCTAGTTCATGAACTCCTTATGAATTATTCAGTGTTATTTCTTTGTGTGGAATAAAAAAAAACTGTTTGTGTCTTTGTGTCTCAGGCAATTTGTTTGAATTTCTCTTAGAAAACAAAGGGAAGATCTTGAGGAAAATTGTCAAGGGATAACAACTCTTTGTATGAGATTCAAAATTCCACAATAAGACTTTCAGCACGTACAAATATAATAAATTATCGCAAGTATCTGGAATCTGTACTTGCCATAAGACCACATGGACCTTCATAGATTGCAGTGTAACCCTTGTAATAACCTCTTAATAGATTATTACAAACACCAAACATTTCTTTAAAATAAACATGGACTTACTCTGAATGTTGGAACTGATTTATTAACCATTGGTAAATATGGGGAAATCATCATTTACCCCAGGAAAATATGTTTTATGGAATTTTTACAACCCAAATGAACAGTTGTTATCCCTGTAATCTGGATAAATTTTCTGTTATATTAAAAGATATGTTGGCATACTCCCAAACCATAGGAGGCCACAAAAGTTTTGAAATATGGATTTTAAAATAACATTTTATCAATTTGTGATACAAATGCATGAAAAATGAGCCTCATCAAGCTCAAGATGACTTACTCCAACAGTGGTGATTTTTTAATCATAATGTTTATATAGAAACTTTTGTTTGTCATTGCTGCTGTTGTCATTTCAGTGTCTCGGGGAGGTCAAGATGTCCAAGGCAGTGCAAGCCATGGACAGTACCAAGGGAGGACGGCTGTTTGCTATAGGGGGAGGAGACACTTACCTGAAAATTGCTGGTTTAGCATAATCAGTCTTGTTCCTTTCACTTTTCTGTTACCACTTGTCAGAAGTCCAAGTTAATCAAGAGCAAGATGAACATTATATAGTGGAAAATTAAAAATTAATAGGCAGCTTGGTTATGCTACAAGTCACGTTCATTGAGTAGATTTATGCATAATGCCTGTGCACTGATTTAAGCTTCATCTCCGTCCAAATATAATGGCACTTGTTGCAGCTTTTCTTTCTCCACAGGTCTATACGATAAAACATTTTCTAGTTAAGACTAAGAAAAAAGGTAAATATTTTGATGTTTTTTAAAAGTTTATACACAAACATATTATTGATTTTGCTCTAATTTTGATACAATTAGACTATTTAAGTCTTTAGCAAAGACAGGTTTTAATCTCGACTGAGACCAGTATTGACTTATGGTCATCTCAACTTCTAAATTAATTCGGGCTGTCTTCGATAGACATGGATATCTCACCCAGATAGATTTGTGAACGTGGACAGTATGAGGCTATTAATCTCTTAAGAACCAGCTTGTTTAATGTATGGTAGAATTGTTACATGTATGCCTATTGGTGAGAGTTAGAATTTTCTGAACATAAGAAAAGCAACATTTTGACATTACCGTTAGCACCAGTCTCTTCTGCTTTATTTGATATTCAGTGACTTAGTTTAAAGAATTCCCAGCATATTTGCAGTATTATAATGATAATAGCCACCATTACTTTTCATACATGATCTGGCCAAGTTCTGTTGCATAGTGTCTGACAAAATGAAAGGTGAAGGTTTTTAACTTATTTCATTTCAAAGATTTTTATAAAGCTATTTTCTTAAGTAGTTATAGTTTTGTTTTTCATCTAATGAGAAGCGTTTATTTTGGTGGAATTTGGTTTATTTATTTTTTTTATTTTTTATTTTTTTTTTTTTCATATTTTATTTATATTGGTTTGGTAATTGCATTGGTGGAACTGTGATAAAACAGATAACAGGTTTATAAATTATTTATAAACAATTTTCCGCTATCTAATGCAGTTTTAACTTTAAATTTAAAATTTCAGTCCGTCCTTAAGCTTTCTACAACTTTTATACATTTTTTTTACAATGATAATAGATGTTAGTGGCAATTTAGAAGCATGTGTATTTTGTTGTGATTGAAACTGAAATAAAGAGCTAAGAGCTTTCTGTCAAAGTTCTGTGTCAGCAGAAATATAGAAGATATACATACACAGTTTTGTACTTGGTGTTTCTACTAACCATATAGAGTAGTAAGTTTGATATTCTGGAGCAAAACGCAGATTTGATGGAAGGTCAATGCATAATGTTCCTGTCTCACTCTCACACGGAGGACACATTTGCCTGGACGTGTCCTTGGCATTACATGGGTATTGGAGGTGAATTTGTGTCTGAAAATAAGCAAGTTTTATGTTTAAATGGCATTGATTGCCAAAGGAGTAAGGCACGGACATATCTGATCGTACACAAAGGATAGCTTGTCAAGGCAGTGGATTGATGTGGAACCACAAACTCGTGGGGAAAAAAAGATCAGGAAAAACGCGTTAGGACAATAGTATCATTAAACAGAGTGCGCCATGAGATACGCTACGGGCAGAGAGTATCAAAAGTTTGATCTTATTACATTCCATGGAGTATCAACGATATCCATGTAGTGTTTTGCAGAATTTGTTCTGTTGCTCAAGGCGCCATCTTTTATTAAACGGGGCCTTGTTTCGTTACTATGACAAGTATTAATTTCAGGAAACCGCATTTTACATCAAATCAATGAATATTTTACTTGTGTTTCCTGCCCCAGTTTTGTAGTGTTCTGACGTAATACATGTTGATTGAAATAACTAATTCATGGAAATCGAAAGCAGAAGGCTTTTAGAAGTCTTTAGCAATTTTCCTCGACTGAATTCCCTCATAAAGACCTACACGAATTACAGAAACAATGACAAGAAAAACTAGCTCTCCTCACAGTAAATCTAAAAAGCATAAATGTGAGAACAATTAGCCATAAATTGCAATCACGAAAAATAAAGCAGTTCATTGGAAACTTGGCGAGAGGAGAGAATGAGGAAGGCCCAAAACAAGCAAGAGACGAGCGGCAGAGGCAAAGCGTAAACAAATAAGAGAACAATGGGAACCCATCTAAACATCTGCGAGCGTGAGTTGTCGAGACATGCCGCTACCTTAGACACAAGTAGGTGTAGCAGGCATTGATGGTGAATATTAATGACCAATAAAATTATAAAAATAATTAAAAAACACCATTATTCTTGTTACTATACATATATTGATTTCAGCAATCAAAATTAATTGAACAGAATTCAATAAAATTTGTAGTTTCTTATGGTTTTGCCTCTAATATTGATTCAGTATCTCTTGTATCATCCCTGTGTATACAGTGGTGTTCGGATAAAAGATCGTAGAGCAGAAATATAATAATAATGATAATAATAGTCTAAAATTCGGAAAATATGTTCTGGAGACTTAACAATTTTAATTTAAAAAAGTTAAAAGGATTATTTTTAACTGAAAAGCAATGATATTAAAAGTGCAGAGAAAATTCCCCAATTATAATGTTCTCTAGGCTAAAGTGTATTAATAGTTCAATCATATTAAAAAAAAAATTTCACTGAAGTTTTCGCTGAATTCACTCAATCAGTTCTTTTTAAAAATCATCTGCTCAGCTTATGTTTATTGGTATCCGTGGTAACTGATTCCATTCGTACGGGGCCACATTTACAAAAGTTTCTCTCCAAATGTTCTAAGCCTTGCACATTGACGTTTTAATAAAACACATGTAACAGGATCAGGGTCAGTATATATATATATATATATATATATATATATATATATATATAAAAACGGAATTTCACTTCTCTGCTTTACTACTTGAGTGTGAAATCAAAATGGTTATCTGCATGATTGAGAAGAGTCCTATGGCGTGACCAAAATGTTATGATAATCAGTTACGCACAAAAAAAATTGTTCCAGTCTTGTGATTTTCATTAATTTAACATGCAGGGTTTAATCAATTCAGCCAAGATTCTTTATTATTTCTGACACAACGCGTATTGCATATTGCTATACCATTGAAAATGTAATTATCATTTTAATAGAGGCTGGGACAGGCATCTGTCAAATGGCAACAAACACCTAATTCTGGCATCATGAGCTTGGACCATTCTATACTGATTGCCACACAGACACTGTAAAAGCTGTCAAGACTAATTTTTGAATACCAGATCAAGCGCGTTTTATGTGGGAGGGAAGCAAGCGAAAGGACGGTGTGGGGCTATCACTCTAATGTACCGTTAACACGTGTTTATTTGTGCATATTTTACACGCTCACAAGTGCCCATAGCTATCTTGGAGCATAGCTATCAAATAAAACATTGGTGCCTTATTTTTGTCGTAGGGTTTCATTTAGATATGTTGACGTTTTTGTCAGACGTTTGTTTGTTATTGGCGCGCAATCCGCTTTCAGCTTAAACATTTATCGGATTTATGCGCTTTGGCCAGTTTGGTTAAACATCAGTAAGTTTGATTAGAACTTAGTTAAACATCCTGATCAATTATTGATTTCTCTATGTCTAAGCCACCTGTTACTGCTCTTCCCCCTCCCTTATCTGCATAATAACCATCTGTATGAACGATCATGGTGGCATATACAATTTATTGACATTTTACATAAAAAAGAAAAGAATTGATAGAGAGATATGAGTGTGTAGTGTTCTGAAATGATATGGCTCAAATCTTAACTTTTTCCCGGTTTGTCGCCTGCTTGGTTGGAGCAATGGACTTGATAGGAATTATATATAAAAAAAAAACTAGAAAAACACACAGTGTGCGGACACCTCCGTCAAGGCAAATAATAAACCAATAATTAATTAATTAGGTAATGGTTCATCACCAAAAGTACTTTTCAGTTAGCCCATTTCTCATCTCTCATGAAAATTATATCAAAATTCATCCATAATTTTTTACCTTATGAGTTCGGCCGGTGACGGGCAGACAAACAGACAGACAGACATACAAACGGAAGTGAGAATATAACCTCCTTGGCGGAGGTAAAAACAGAAAATACACAAATATGTAAGCCCAATTACCTAGCTTAAAATACAAATGTTGACCATTTTTATTAAATATCAGAAACACGGAAAACATTCTGTAAATATGTGAAATGCGAAAGAGAACTATATTTCAATCCTAACTGGATTGTGTTTTTGAAGACTGAATTGAAGAATCAAAATTAGAAATAATGTCTGTTTTCACCTTTGAAACATAATAATCTTTAAACTGATTTACAATAACATGTTTTCTGTTTTACATCAGAAGATAATACCACAGAGTCATCTGCACAAAGTATTTTCTCCTTAAATGTGAAGACTTTTCCAAACTTAATGAAAAATTAAATCATACATGTGTTTTTAAATGAACCGTGATAATAAAAACTGAAGGGACTCGAAGTTATCACGTTTGAAGAATGATTTCTTAAAAGCACGTGCACACAGCGCAATTTACTTAAACAAATTCTGATAAAGATTTCAATACTATTCTCTTCATAAATCTACATTTCCTTGATATCTGAATTCATCATTAATCAATCTATTCCATTTTTATGTCATATGGCCGTACCAATTATATGAGATTTCGAATCAATACATTTTCATCCAAATGGAACGCATGAAATTAATGAACTATACTTGTTTAATCTGAATAATTTATACAAACATTTGCATTAATCAAATTTGGTCCGACCTTACTTTGCGGCCGAAAAGAAATGTTTAAAAGATGTGAATTAACACACTAGCCAAAGTGGTAACGTAATTTTTAAGAAAAATGATAATCAAATGCAATTTGTCAAAAAGAAAGTTATTTCGAAGTAATTTAAAAATAATCTGTATATGGCCTTGAAGTTGCAGTTGTACTAAGTGTCTCTTCATTCAAAGTGGTCATTAATTTGCAAAACTGCAACGGACAACCGGTTATCATTGCGTCTTTCTTTAAAGCATTCCACTTTTCCGAACCCTTTGAAAATTTGAATTTCATATTTGTCTCAACATAAAACTGATGTAATTTCACTATCACTTTCACTGATATAGGTTTGTGTAGGGGCTACAGTATTTGTTTTGACCAATTTTTTTTATTTGTTAGCTGTTAGTATCCAGTCTGTCAAAATTTAATCAACGCCCACCAATTCCTGGAACTCCTGGAATAAAATGACGTTTCATGGCACATGTTTTGTACACAAAGAGGACGATTAAAATCATGTTTTTTACAGTAATCTCTGAGGATTGAGACGTTTGAAGTGAACATACGTAAAGCAAACCGTTTTCCTCCTCTTCAATATCATGAATCAATAGCGTGAATGGCTGAAACAGGCAAATATATGTCAAATATTCAGCAATGCGGGTTTGCGTCAGCAGTCTATAAAGACCTAAGCGCACCGCCCACTCTGTCACATTTTCAGTGCTGTTAATGTTACACTCCAACATCATAGTTGTTCGCTTTTTACCAAACTACCGGTTGTTCTTGAACAGTAAGCGAGTGTTTGAGGACGCCTGGTGATTTTAATTTCGGCTTAGAAATAAAAGCAAGCTGTAGGTGGGACGGGATATGAACGGCCGCTTGGCCGCACTATGGGTGCTGATATGGATCTTTCTTCACCTTGCCAACGTCAACTGCAACTCTGCCCCAACAAGTTCCAAGCGCTCTGCCACTCTGACATTGCGTAAGTACAGCTTTATTATTTTAAAACTTCTCTTTAATGTGCTGAATGTGGGGGTATATGAACCCTTAACATGAAGATAAATCAATTGCTTGTAGACTTTCTGTGTGTAACTGAGATTGATTTTGTCATTTATTGTAGTATAATTTTTGAATAAAATTTCATTAAAAAAAAAACTAAATTAAAGCTGTGTTAATAGTAGACCAAATTTAAACTTTAACAATGATAGTTCTGATAAATAAACGAAAGTCAAGTGTATTTTATTCGACAAATGGCGACGGATGTTACGTGTCCAATATGGCTTTGAGTCGCCATCTTCCATACACAAAACGTATGCGTCACATATAGTATGTTAATGTGTACTTTGCTCTACATGTTCAATCAACTAAGACTCACATTTTATCAATTTAACAAATTGCCAAAGATTCGTGTGCCTTAATTATGTTGGCTGCAGGCCTCTATCGTGCATTGGAATCGTGGTCACATCTCATAAAATCCTTTGCGGAGTCAACAGATGAGATTGGATTAACTTTGACACAGAAGAAACTGCGGTTTACTTATTTATGCCTCAAATTCAACTGAAATGATTAAGTATAGTGTACTAATTTCTAGGATCATTTTGAAAATTGCTTTGTTTGATTTTGTCTTCTATGTAGTTTTTAAAGAATTTAAAACTATAGAAAATTTGGCAGTTGAATATATATTACTTGTTATGGAACCCTTCCGAGTTTGGCAAATCGAAGGGTTATTCTGAAGAATTTTGAAGGCAAAAAGGAAGTTACGTACCACGTATATCTATTAATTATTGGATATTTTTAGGCCTAATGAACTGTATCAAGGATGATCAAATTCTACAAGTTAATGATAAATAAATAATGTAATTCTTTTTGTAGAGTGAGTTAATATGTCCATTCTGGCTGTGTGGAAACCCTCTTTACTAGCCTCACGTATCCATTATACATATATGTTCGCGTTCAGGTTTTGAATTATTTTGTATATACGGGCTGCAAAGTAACATTGATCTTAATGGTTGAAGCAGTATATAATGGTAAACTGAAAATTCACTAAGCGCACCCCAAATTCAAAAATATTTCCTGCTATATCCGCTCTTTATATAAAAAGATTGTCTGTCAAAATTAGAAATAATATTTTTAAGTAAAGTTTTATTGATAAAGGGCACTTTTTACAGGATAAGGTTTGTGTGGTTAATATAACTGGTATGACGCCATTGGTTTGAGACCTCGGCCTATATTTCTGATTTTTTTTAGATGGAAACCGGTACAAGCTGATAACTTTAAATTATATCAGTTGAAAACAAATAACTGTTAATAATTATTCTATACAAGTGTATTTCCTAAAGATGTTATCTTTAATTTCTCATGCCTTCACAGGTAGATCTATGGGAATTGATAAGACGTACTTTATTTACGCGTGAATACTTGATATTCAACATTTTTACTCCAGACTGTGAGCTCCTGTAGCTGGTGTGACACCCCAGATAACTAGATTTGTCTTGTTTCAAATATATTATTAAACTTACTCCAAAATCTTTAAACTGTATTATTGTATATTATACACCACAAAACTCGTTTTGGAACAGAAAAAATGGCAATTTCAACCATCCTGATTTTAATTTGAATTCCATATCTTTCGTAATACAAAGATCAAAGATACAAAGAAAATTAGCGGTTAGCATTTCTAGATTGGTTTATGGAAGCCTATAAGTACTTCCAACTTGAAAATGCGGACACATATCATATCGGGGTAATTTAAGTGAACCATCAAGATCATTCAGAATGTCTGCCCTGATATCTGCCATTTCTTTCGTTTTGGACACCGAACGGTCTAGCTTTTTTAAACTGCCTACATCCCCATTTAAACTTTGAATCATTAGAAGTCACCAAAATATAAAATAAATAAATAAATAAATAAATAAATAAATAAATAAATAAAAATAATAAATAAAAAAGCGCCTCACGTACTATCATATACATACTTTATATAAAGATATTAGCAAAAAGACATATGTGACAAAACGCACCCTTATGCAAAAATGGGTAAATAACGTGCTTTTCGCAAACCTTCTTACGCTTTAATTATTCATTTGCCTTTGAAGTTCATCACGCAATGATATACACAGATAATCAAATAGTCTAAAGTCTTATTATATAGCGGCAACTTAATTGCGCCTTTTGAAACTATCAGTTGGCTTGAGTTACAATAAATTTGAATTCCTATAAAAAGAAAGAAAAAAGAAATAGGAAAAAATTGCTGATGTTTCCTTGTAATAAATGTATGTACTGTCTCGATTATAGCAATCGGGCTACTATCACATAGGTAGGGCAGCCGTAAGTTGTCATAAATTTATGTAGGTTATGGACAGTTTGTAACTAATTAACATTTCAACACGAAGAATAGAGTTACAACGAAAGAAAAACGAAAAAAAAAAAACGTTGTCAGTTTCTTAAAACAAGAGAATAGACACAGGCATTCAGCATTCAATATTGTATGAAACAGAACACACAGAAGGGGAGTAAGGAACCGCGAAAAAACACGAATGCGAGCATGAGCCGGGAATATACACATTCTATTTCTTATTTAATCGATGCATTTGTAACAAATCTGAATTATATTATATTATATTATATTATATTATATTATATTATATTCAGATCCTCTGTGGTCGACGATGCAGACCGACCTTCCCAGTTTCCTGCTGAAGTTGTCTCACGATACGGCGGCCATGTTCAAGGGTTACGGAACCATCTTGAAAAATTGGAGACAGGTGCAATGGAATTGGCGACGCGTTGAAAGTGGACTGGTCGGTCTCGTGAAAGGAATTCTCAAATGGACTATCGAAATTCTCTGTGCTTTTCAATGGATTTTGGATTTTATGCAACAATTTTTGAGCGCTGTGCGAAATACTACCTGTGCTGACAGCGCCGAGATCGACCTTCTCTTTGCGAAAACTGAGGAATTGAAAACTTTTTTGGATGACGGAAACAGAACTGGTCTCATTTCAAATCTTACAGATCTTTATCGCACTGAAAAGCTGTGGTTGAACCACACCCATTCTTGTGACGTCGGTTTGGTCATGAAAGCGACCATGGCGTCCCTCAACACCCAAGTTAGTGCCTTTCTAAATCTCTTCCAGGACGTCACGATCGGTGTGCTGAAAATTATTCAAGATTGCATCGGCGAAACCAGCCTCTATGAGCCCGATGGAGACGTGGTGAAATTACTGACGTTATTGAAACTCAAATTGGCTGATTTGGATAAACACGATGGCTTGATGGAAATTGCGGTTAAATTTATTACGAAGTTGGAATGCTTAATAGAACATGGTCTTCAAGGTACACATTATTTTGCGCAGATTCTTTGAAAAGTATTACAATTTTTTTACATATAGGCCTAATGAGAAATATATAACATAAATGATGAAATGAATTTTCCTGTTTAGGTAAATTCTGTGGTAAAAATATGATTGTTTACATTACCTCCCCTTATTGTGAATAACTTATATGTTTGCTGAGTTCTTAATACAACTTGTTTTGGTGAAACAATTTATATGTATGTATGTATGCATCCATTTCTTGTCAAAGCGACTTATTTGGATAAATTGCTATTTTTGCAAAAGTACGCATTGAAATAAGAAATATATTTATCTTCTTAAAAGTTTAAAGAAGGATAGTTAAAGAAAACTATATCAAAATGCCGGTATTATTGATTTGAATATTAATATTTGCATGTGTTGAGCTGTTTTTGTGATTCATTCAAAGAAAGATTTATCCAGTTTCTTCAATTAACAGATGTATTCATTTGAACTGTTTTTCTACCAGTGTCTAACCAAGGCAATATCAGTTGTACAAAGACATAAAAGGGTAAAGTATTGGTTGAAGAAACTGTACATTTAACTTTTACTATTCTTTGTAAATTTACTTATGCAGCCAAAAACTTTATATCAATAAAATGATTTGATTATTATTCATTAGGTCCTACGCCATCTACGACTCGGAAAAAACGTAGTCCGGAAACGGCCGAAAATCCACCCGAACGAATTCGACGGGTACGTCGTTCAATTTCTCCCGAAAAGAAGAAAGTCTACGAGGCGATCAAGCGGGAAAGGGGCTTCTAGCGAAAGACAAAGAAAATCTTCATGAAAGAGGCAATTTTAGAAATGAAGTTAATTATAACTAGCTTGAGGTTAAGCGATATAGGCCTAATAACCAGAACCATGCAATGTTGCACGCTGGCGAAAGGAATGGAGTGAATTATGACAAACGCGAGAGGACGATACTCCAAATTCCATCCGAAAAGCGTCACTCAAGGTTGAAATAATCCTTAATGTCAAAATGACCACCTAGCCGCCATTGAGTTGGGTTCACTTTCCCTTCGTTGGTTGCTGTATTACATGGTCCATGGAACTTACACCTTTTCAACACGGGATAGGGATAATTTCATTGGTATTGGGAAGCAGATCTAGACCAACCATAACGTCGCCTCTTAAAAAAAACTGTGGTCATCCTAGTTATGGTTTCGTCCCGTTGTTTTGGTGCATGCTGTTTCAACATAGATAATTAATGATAGCAGTCTGGGAAATCGTTAACACTTATATATAGAATTAAATTTATTAATGATTTAGCATTTAAGAGAATGTAGCCAGGAGAATGTTACGCATTTTAACAGCAAAACGGAGTTTTAAAATTTTTGAACGTCACTGCTTTTATTCAGTGTCTCTCTCCATTTTATAATCAGACCATTTAAGTTCTAACAAACGGAAAATTATTCTTCTTTTAACAAAGGGCAAGGGTTAGGAAATAGGTAGTCTTATGCTTTATATTTGGCTCCCAGGACAAGAACAAATATCGGTGGTTTCAGCTGCTGGCTTGATGTTGTCTGATTTATGATATACCAAAGAGGCCTTACACCAATTTCATATGCTGTAGAACTTGGTAACACAAAATGAAATCGAATTTCTTACAAGTAGATTAAAGAATGACTTCTAACGATTTTAGATGTTAGATGAAGATAGCTGAAGAAATGAGAAAAATCATGGTTAAACATTTAGATGTGATGCGACCTTTTTTATTCTGGATGGTTAGCTTCCTATTAGCGGCAGAGGCACATTGTTGAGTTAGAGGTTTTGCCTGACCTGGTATCCATAATTGAGCGTATAAATATGCGGGATTCAATCAATAAGATTTGCTTTACTTCAGATTTAGAAGCTATATTTGAATAACAAAACATTCTTTCAAATATTATGATGAGGGTTATGGTAAAATCTCGCCTACTTTTTTTTGCGAAAACAAAAAAAATCCATGACATTTTGAATACAGTAAAACAAAAACGTTTGTTCAAACCTTTAATATAAAATGATGGTTAAACTTTTTTGAAGTTCGGGTCTTTTCGAGTAAGAATAGATTATCTTCTGTCAGTATCTAATGTCCTTGATCTGACTGTTTTCGAGCTGAACTTTGCTGTCACGCAAAATCCGTTTCAACTTATCTTGGCCAAGCTGTTGCTCCATTGATGCCAGCCTTAGTTGTTCCACATGAATATTTTACAATAGCATATATTAGTTTTGGCACAATTTCTAAGATTACGTATTCATTGTATGGAAAAAATACCTCGTTAAGCTTCGGATAATACCTAAGGGCGTAAGCTGGTGCTTGTTTTACTATTACATGCTGCACCTTTGAAATGTGGGTCACTGCCAAGGTTCCATCTGTTGTCGCCTACACTGTCCATACCGATGCGTCCAAACGTGAAATATTTAACGCTGACGCCCATTTGTGTTTGTACAATTGCATGAGCCTATTTTAACTTGCTGATCTTTGTGGGAACTTTATAAACAGACCGTGAGCTTAAACTGTGATTATCGTGATGAAATGACGTGTTTTAAGATAGGAATTAAGACTATGAAATCAGTATTTATTTAGGCAATTTACTTACAAGAATCTCACTTCAGTCAGCGTAGCTAGAGAAGGCAGAAAGGAGGGAAGACACCAAAGGATCTTAACTTGATGGTCAAGTTTTTCAACACAAAAAAGACTGAACTTCTGTGATAATTTTTACAAACAAATTCTCCTCAATAAACACATTATCCGAAAAAGTAATAAATGTGATAGACTATCTTTTCTCAAATTATTACGATAGGCCCAATGTATGGTCTATTAAAGCCTTGATTTTTAAAACTCTGATTATTTTGTTAAATCTTTAGCTATATAAATCGAACTTGTTTCAGCAGAGTTGGGTCAATTGGTTTCTTCCCAGAGCATTGTTGTTGTTGTTTTATTTCATGAAAATATATATATTTTAAACTACTTTGGTTTAAACACAATGTTATTCATATATCATTATATTTTGTGATTGCAATGGATGTACTATTAAAAACAGAATGTTTCCATAAATGGGTTGACCACGCAGTATTTATGAGTTATTTACAAGTTACTGAATGTAACGTAAATTTTCACATAGCACTTCACCTTACAGTAATCAACTACATTCAGTCTTGTTTAAAGGCAGTGCCGATCTGACAAGGGATGGGGTCGAGGCATAATTCTTTATTGATATACTAAACTCGTTGTTGAAATTCTAATGGGATTCTTCATTAGCGCCTAAGAAAAAATTCAACCAAACACACAAATATAAAACAATAAATATAGTTTTCTTGACTTTATAACGAAAACCGTACTCTACCCTGCCAACCATCATCCATGGAACGTGATCCTCGTGAAAGATCATTCCTGAATGTGATGGTAAATTCAAACGTAGTGTACGACTTGTACTTATGTTTTTAAGTCAAGAATAAGTGTTTTATCGTCACATCTAAAGGGACAGGAAAAATTAGCCGTAGTTTCAGGGCACTGTTTACGTGGCTTTGGAGTGAAAATTACACTAAATAAGGTCTCAATTCCGAACTATAAAAACGTCATTGCAGAAAATATTATCACAGCAAAATGTCAAAATAGGTTATATGTTAATCAGATTGTAAGCCTGCTAATAGTGTAACCACCTCAGTCTAGCAAACTTATTGACTAAGATAAAGTGTCATTGACTAAGGCTTTGGCCATATTGGTCCCTTTAACCTATCAGACCAAGGAAAGGATATATATATATATATATATATATATATATATATATATATATATATACACACACACACTTCCTTGATCATATTCAAACTGATGAGTTCCATTGACTACAGTTTGGCTGACAATGCTATACAGCAACATCCTTTCGTTCTTTTGAAATTATTTTCATAGAAAGGCATATTTGGTATTCACGTTAAATAATTAACGCCACGTTACTTTTTTTGGCAACCAAGACCGCCGGGGGTGGAAGGGGAGAAGGGAGAAGGGGAAGGGAGAAGGGGGTAATTTCACTACAATTTCCGTGACTTTTCTGGTATCAGAGTGCGTAAACTGAAAGAAAAATAGTTGCTGGTATTGAATGTCAGCAGCAAACTTTGTATTTTAAACACCGATTGAAACAGATGCTATTCGATATACCTAAATGGCAATTTGCCTGATGCCTTTCTGAGAAACTGCTGTCGTCAGTTGCCACCTTGCATCTCGTGTGCTGGTAGATAGTCAAAAACGTATATTAAAAAAATCAAAATATGATATGCTGTATACGTAAACACAGTGCACGTTTACCTTTTTTGCGTCAGATGAATTTTAAATCATTTTTTACAAATGTTAAATTGTGCAAGGGTGGGACAAGTAAATATTTTTGAGTTGGATATTTTTTCTCGAAGAAAATTGGATTTGGCGCGAAAATCCCAGCTAGAAAAGCTTTAATTTACAAATATGTGTACGTCTGTTGAGCAACCACAGGTCTAAATCATTTAGTGGAAACATATATCTATGCCCCTATTAAATTGTTATTGATTATAATATGGCAGAAATAAGGTTGAAAGCAGCAGAAAAATGACTTTATTACGCAAAAAGGCCTAGTACCGATAGCTAACTAGCTTACTGGTACCAGGACGAGGCCTAGTAGCTAGGACATAACGACAATTAAGTAGCCTAATGGTAATCACAGAGAGATCCCGACACCGGGGGTTAGGGCCTACATGATATTCCTCAACGCCTGGGCCCTAACTGCCGGTTACCTGCCTGTGTATCCTACCATTTAATAAAAATAAAATAAATAAAATAAAATATTACAAGTACCAGTACTAAAAATTATTTCTTGTAGGCCTATAGCACAGTGCATTTTCTAAGGACCCTACGTTTCGATGCACTTTACAAATATTATATGAAAATTCTTAAGAATTACAGCAATAAAATACAGACTCTTCACATTAGAATTTTAAAAACGTTGATCATAAATACTTTGAAAAAGAGGAGTTTTAGGAGAGACTGTAAATAAAAATGTCAGCCGTAGACCTACTTTCAGATTTTATCTAAAAAGGCAATTTTGAGGCATAAACAATAAAAGTAACGTCTCTATGAAATTTGTTACACTGATTCTCTATTTTACAGTGTCTAAGTGTAAAATTGCTATAAAAAGAATTTCTAGTTTGCTTTTGTGGTTCAAACCAAGGAGTTATAACTCCTTGTTCAAACCGAGTATAATAAGTTTCCCGGTAAGTCAATTTTTAAAAAGATTTAAAATGGTAGTTTAGACATTAAATAAAATCCTTTGCCGGATTGGTAACCGATGTAGTTCTTATAAGACTCCAGTAATAAGTTTCAAACATTGTTTTTTTAATCTTTTTAACTAATCTATCTGCTGATCGAGTTTTGAATTAGTTAAGCGCCTTTTCTTCACAACCCAAATAAGAGCAACTCTCCTGGATTGGAGGCGCGTTATTTACAGGAAGTTTACAATATGGCGGAGAACGTGAACACGGTGTCTTCGAGTACCGCTGAAGAAAATGAGGGAAGTATATTATCTGCTGGAGGTGATACAGCAATGAATGTAAACAACACAAACGACAGTATTGACGTGAAGGCTATGTCTGAAACCACTGAACTAGATAATGTACAGAATGAGAATAGCAAGGCATCGAAAACGATACCCGTGCCAGAGGCAGAAACAGCAATGGCTCCCCCTCCATCGATTCCAATGTTTCAAAAACCTCTGACTCTTCAAAATAAATCAGGACTTCACCGACCTCAGCGGTCGAATGCCTTGGCAACAGCAGAACGAGAAATGTCTGATAAAACGACAAAGGTCAAGGGTGAAGAGGGACAGAAACCGAGTGAAATTTCAGAAGTTAAAAAGCCTTTAAGTTTAACGGGCACTCAGTCTTCGTCTGGCAGTCAGATGAGAAAACCTTCATTGTCCCCTGCAGAGCAACAGGCGGCTCTCAAAGCCCCAATTCCTTACAAAGAGCCACCATGGGGTGGTGTCCCAGATAAAAAATACGGATTTGAAGTACTTAAAAACGGTTTAATTTTAGACTCTATTGACTTAACAAAACGTTCATTTCATGTAGTTGGTAGGCTTCCTAGTTGTGATATTACATTGGAACATCCATCATTATCTCGCTATCATGCTGTCATGCAGTACTGTGCTGTTCCAAATGAGAAGCATGAACTAGGCTGGTATTTGTATGACCTTGACAGTACGCATGGCACATGGGTGAACAAAGTGAAGGTACAACCTCGACGTTACTACCGCATACGTGTAGGTCACATGGTTAAATTTGGGGGAAGTTCACGACTCAACATTTTACAAGTAAGTATAGTGGTTCATTCCCAGTAAAACCATTGCTCTATGTGGGTTGATTCAGCTCCACAGGGACTTTCACTGAATGCAGTCAGATGTACAGATTAGCATGCCACCTCTTGGCATTGAGTTATAGAGAAAAGCTGGTGATTATATGAGTAGCAGTACGTGATGGTTTGTTTAAAAAACAGCTTGATATTCTTCATGTGCTTTGGCACAAGTAAATGGTAGATCTATTTCAGAGTTTTGCAAAAAATTTATATGCTTGCATAACCATGAAGTCTCTGTAATGGGTTTTTATTGATAAATTTGATTGTTGATGTTACATTTTAAACTGGAGAGAATATTATGCATTTAACAAACCCACTCTTTGTGTATTCAGGGTCCTGAAGAAGACAGAGAAGAGGAAACAGACTTGTCTGTGACAGAGTTGAAAGAACTGAAGGCTAAGCAGGAGAAAGAGATTGAGGTACTGAGACAGGCTGGTATTGATGCAGTGGAGGAAAAACAGAAACATCTTGTGGCTGCAGAAAGTGAAGGATGCACATGGGGAATAGGTAAGGCAACAAGATAATACCATTTATAACTAAAGCTGAAGTGACTCCTATTGCGAATGTATGATCCAATCTTTATATATTGAAGGTTAAGAATTAAAGTCACATATTCATTAAATTGTAGACATTTTCAGTGCTGGTTTTCTCATCATTAGGTTTTATGGGAAACAATATTACACTAAATCAACATCAGATATTAAAATGTATATTTTGTCAATATTAAATTTTAAGATAAATGGGTGATTTTTCTAGATGATGACATTCCTGAAGAGGCAGAAGATGAAGATGAAGAGAATGATGATAAAATAGATCTTGCAACAAGGGAGGAATTGTATATCAATGATCCAAAAAAGGCCTTAAATGGTTTTTTTGAAAGAGAAGGTATTGTGCATAAAATACATTTTGCTCTTGAAGTTGACCTTGAAAAGAAATAAGCACTTTAAGTATGTAATGCTTATACTTGCTACATTCTTGCACAGTTTATATCTTTGCTTCTTAAAATACATTTGAATCTTTGCTGCCACAAGAAACATATTTTTTGTGTACAGAATAACTCATTCTAAATCGTAAAATTTGCTTATGCAGTATTGGCATTTTTTATAAGTACAGTTCAGCCCTGTTTTACATCGGTATAAGTATAGGAAACTGATTTGAAAATAATTGCCATGATTTTTCATTAATAGGCTGTGACTTGCCTGAATATGAATTAGAAGATCTGGGAAGAGGCAAGCACTGCTGTAGAGTGGAGTAAGCAGATAATCAATATTTGAATCAGTATTTTCTTTCTGCTTTTTTTTCAGTATTTTTTCTACTTTGGAAACTGATTTTTATTCATCATTTTAAGTGTAGATAATTAAGTTCCTTGTGTACTTATCTGTTAAATCTTTTTCTTAATATCAAAAATATAAATTACAAAGCAAAACAATGAAAATAATAAGGATGAAATATGTTTTTAACATGTAAAAAAAAATACATATATATATTTTTTCATGTTATGATTGTCCCATATTTGAATCATTTTTCTGTTACAGGCTCCCTCTGGACTTACCAACTGGAGAACCCATGTATGCTGAGGCCACGGTGACAGGGAAGAGGAAAGATGCTGTGGTGGCATGTGCACTTGAAGCCTGCAGAATACTGGACAGACACGGAGTTTTGAGAGCATCCACACATGGTAAGTTTAATTCTTCATACTGTTCATGCTGCAGAAGCATGGACAGGCTGCATGCCTATTGGTAATTAATCACAAAATTTTGGCAGACATTGATAGACAGATTGTACTATAAACTAACTATCAGTGCAATGCCCAGCAGATCTTGTGTGTTGTTCCAGATTTTCACTGTGTTTCATCCTGATTAGATGCCAAATTTAACAAGGGAAATCTGTTATGAATAATCTGGCTATTTTTCAGTGTTAGGAGGCTCTTTCTCAAACAAAATTTAATGGCAAGTTAATCTTCCCCATATCTGGGTCACAAGTCATTTCGTTACAAGAGTGTGCTGTTGTATCAGGAAAGGCTGATTACTCTTAGTTGGTCTAAGCCCCTAGCCAGGAGGGGATGGGGGGGGGGGGCGAGCTGTTCAAACTAATTGGCCTTTTTGTCAGGAAAAGGCCTGCACTGTGCAAAATTTGAATCTTCAAACCCCCCCCCCAGGAGGAGAGACTGTAAATAAAATCTGGATCCACAAAGAACAGACTTTGTAACATGTCTGCATGATAAGGGCAGTGATCTGATTCCCTACTTCTGTCAGCTGTACTTATTTCTGAGTATGTACGGTAATGACTTGATATTTTCAATTGGCAAAAATGATAAAACTTTCAGATACATAATTTAATAATTAAAAAAAAAAAAAAATATATATATATATATATATATATATATATATATATATATATATATATATATATATATATACCATTGTTGATGTTTTTACTGCATAGAACTAAAGAGTAGCCTGCCTTTTAATTTTGTTGCTACCACTCAGTGGTAATGTTCTAATTTTAAGAAATTATTTCTTTAAAAATAGAGTATCTGTAAAATTCACAATTTGGTGTCACACTCTTGGAAAAGAAAATGGCAAATGGTACACGTGGCTATTTATAACTATATCAACCTTCAGAAAACCCTCTGAAAACTAAAAAAAAGGAACATATTGCTCTTATTATTTCTTTCATTTTTTTAATTAACTTTATTCTTTTTATGGAAAACTCCCCTGTTGTTCTTTTTAACTGAATAAATTTTTTTTCATTTGGTCAAATTAAAAAACACTAAACATACTGAAAACCTTTAAAAATTAGAAGAAATATGAGGTGGTTTTATGTTAAGTGATTATAACCTACTCATTATCTTAAACTTAATGCAACTTATGTCTCGGGTAATGTACCAGTTGCACATCTCTCCTCATTCTATTAAAAAATTGCCATGGGGAATTGAAAAGTTTTAAATATTTGTATAACAGTCTGCAGAATTAACACTGACCCCATGCTAAGGTAGAAAGAAAAAGAAGGGCTTGTAAAGTTTGTTGTTGTTTTTTAAGTTACTAGACACCAGTATATTCTTAGAGCCTGGTTTTCTTAAGGGTCAGTAAAAAGTTTTTGACCCAAACTTCAGTAGGCACCTCTTTGTCTATGGCATTAAAAGGAAGTATATTGAGCGCTTTGCTTTTTTTCATAACCTTATGTGTACCATGTGAAGGCACACATGATGATCATGAATGAAACCTTCATATATCAGGATCTTATTTCTTATTTATGTTTATGTGTAGGTTTTGGAGAAGATGATTGAATGGATTATTAATGAGAACTGTAACTTTTTTCTTGGACATGACAACCTCTTAGGAAAAGGAAGTAGATTGACATCACCAATTGATCTGATTAAAAAGGGGATTTCAAGCATGTCTTAGAATTTAAGATAAATTTCAGTCATGTCAAGTCTACTTCCGTGGAAATATACGTAGGTAATGCTTATGCAAATTCTTAGGGTTTAAACCTTTCATATCTCACATACCAGTTTGGCACGTAGCTCTTTAATTTATCATGACAGGGTGGACAGTCAGGATTAGAAATTCACTGACCTGGTGCTGATGGAGACAAAGTTCATGCTTGAGTTTTTTTCTTCTCACCAGTTCAAACAAAATCATAGTGAAAATTAAAACATTACACTCTAGATATTAAACACTCTTTAATATTGTTATTCTCTTATACATATTTCAAATAAAAAAACTCAGTTTTTGTACTCTTTGTGTGTAGTTTTGCAGAAGATAATACTGAACATACTTAAGTGCATTGTATTCAAAATGGTTAGGAATTTTAAGGACCACTAGTTGTGCCGAAGAATAAGACATTTTTATTTCTCCTTACCAGTTGTTTTGTTTGACAAAAAATGTCATATTTTCATAATGTCATTTGATGTTTTAAAATATTATCTTGTCAAGCTGAATTTTTCTTTGATGAAAGGTGTGAATAGCTAGAATTCATTTCTTTTTATTGTCACAATACATATTTGCTTAGCTGTTGCATATAGGTCATACAGAAAATAAAAGTACATGATTGGATTTAAACAATGGCAAGTATTAAAATGACAACTGTTTTTTTGGTAGAAAAATAGCCAAAAATGATGCACAAATGAATTTCAGCTTCTTAACAGACAATTGGCAGTCTCTAATGGTTTGTTACATTACCATCCCAGATATACTTCTATAGTGTCTTGTATTATTCTATATAGAATTCTTGACGTGGTTATAATGTGAGGATTTCAGTTGATTTCCCTTACAATTTCAGAAGGTAGAAAGAAAAAGAAGAAGAACTGGGAAGAAGATGACTTCTACGACAGTGATGAAGACATCTACTTGGACAGAACAGGAACAATCGAGAAAAAAAGGCAGCAGAGAATGGCAAAAGTGGGGAAGAATGAAGAAAAGGCAGAGACCTATGAATCCCTAACGGAAAAATTGCAGCAGGTCGAAAATGAAATGCAAGAGATTCAAGGGAAATTGAATAAAGCAAAAGAAGGTACTATTACATAGAAAGATAATAATTACAGTAATATATTAATATATATAATAATATAATATAATAATATTCTGCTCAGAGGGGGTCAGCCTCCTAAAAAGTATCTGCCTCAGTTTCAAAGATGACTGAAAAACCTCTGCTATCAGTATGTTTCTGCCCTTTTCTGTAACTGATAATACATTATACAGGGTCCATGTTAGATGCCTATCTTTTTTTATCCTGTTGATGTTTTTTTATTTAATGAAAAAAATGAGAGGAGTATTTTTTAGACATTAATGAGCATGGCAGATGTGTCAATAATTCTATTAAATCCTTATCTCTTTAAAGAGGGTACCTGCAGTATTCATTTGTTATGTATCTTTGCAGGGTAAATATAGTGAATGGGCAATCTGAAAAAGATTGAATAATTCAGTATTTTACTGGATAAGGTAAACACCAAAAACTGTCAGTTGACGTTGGCCAACTTATATCTATCACACCAATCTCATTTCCTGCTTAAAAACAACAGAGGATTAATCTTTTGTTTGTGTTAGAAAAACAATTTTGGCAGATTTGCTTTATTTTTTATAAATGAATAGTGATTTAATCATTGAATCTGGATCAATTGTTAGGCAAAAAGGAAAAAACAGCAAAATTTGAGGACAGAGAACAATGGATTAGGCTGAAGAATGTGAAGGTGACATGGATGGTTAATGTGAGAGTATCTTAAGTACTCTTAAGATATGGTTGAGTGGAGTTTTTTATTTATTCTTTTCAATCCAGTTCACTGTTGTATTCTGAAATGTCAAAACAGACAAAAGACAGGTTATGGAGCAATTAAAAAAATCACAATAAAGGAGTGTTCTGATTGGCTTACATTATATGACATCAGTACATCTAGTTTAAAACATAAAGAATCATTACTTATTTTAAGTTGCTTAAGTTCCCATCCATTTATTGGGAGAGATCATACAGGTTATTTTGGGATGAACTAACTTAAATTTAAATTTATAGAAAACCCTTCCAGATAGCAGTGGTCTGACTGAATGAATAATTTTCAACATTTAGGAATGAAGTATAGAAAACACAGGCACTGAGTATTTTAAGCAGATTATTCACCTCATTTCTATAAACTTTTTAAGAATAGTCAGTTATATCTGTTATACAGGTTTGATAAAGTTAGTAGTATTTTAACTGTTTATTTTTCAAAGATATCAGATCTGTCTCTCTGTTATAGATATTTATACCAGTGCATTTTACATCTTAAAAAATTTAAACTTTGGAGGCCTCATTGTGCACTCCTACCTGTCTTGATGCAGTCTAACAGCATTAATTACTTATGACAGGCATATCTATCTTGATTGCTGTTTATAGGTTCGAATAGGTTATCAGCTATGATGCCAAAGATAGGATACCATGACTTGGAATAACCATTTTTATTTCATTAGAAATAGTGAAGTTTATGGATTTAGGGTCAAAAGTAAGAAACAACTTTTTTAGAAACAGTTAAATTTTGTCATCATTTGATGTTAGAGAACAGGAGAGACAGCCTTGATGTATGCAGATATATTACTACCCATTGTTGAGCTTTATCAGACTTTAAAAATATTTAGATTTATTTGTCTTGAATGCATCCAGTTCAGTCCTATAAATTTCCTTTCTAAGAGTTATTTGTGTGATATTCAAATTCACCAAGAAGAATGTTTGTGTTATTGATTCGAGTCCTGAGTTAAAAACTGTTGTTATGTTTCAGAGCAAGATAAAATTATGGCAGAAGATGTAGATGCCCTGGATGCTTACATGTCAGCCATTAAATCGGGAGTCATGGACACGAAGACCAAAATGAGCCTCAAAAGACGTTTGATAGAACTGAAACAAGAACAGGCTAAATTAACAAAAATGGCAAATATTGCTAAGCCAGCAAATATGCCTGAAGTTAAAAAGTATGTTGGTATAATATTTATGTCAGTATTTATTCAAATTTGAAAGATAAATGTAGAATTGATTTATATTTTTCAAAGTTGTACATAGTACAGCACACAAATACATAGATGGAAGTGTTGTGTTGTTTTTTAGGTTTCACTACTATTACTACTCCTTTTTAGTTACAGTAAAAATATAATACAATTTTCTTGTAAAGCATATTATGTTGATATTGTGGTAAATCCTTTTTTTAATATGTTGCCTTTGGCTAATAGATTACTTCCTTTGAAGGGAAATTGATTTTGAGAAAATTATTATAAATCAATTGTTGGTTTTTGCATAATGATTACTCTAATACTAATAAAAAATTTGTGTAAATGTTATCTCATAAATTCACATACCATTAGGTCTGTAGTGGTCCCTAAACCAGACCAGCCTCCTCCAAAAATGACCATGCCCATGTTTGGGAAGAGGAAAGCTACCCCAGTGCCTACATCACTAAAGCCTCCACCACCTAAGGTAATAAGAATGAATAGAGATGTTTGGGTAGGTAGTGTGTATACATATTTGAGATATGCTATATGTTCTGGATGCCATTGAATCTGTTTCTTTCACTATGTTTGTTTTGTGTTTGTCTGGTTATAACCTTGTAACAGTTAAATATTAATACCATATCTGGGTGGCATTGTATTTATCTTCAGAACAGAGAAAATATACTCTAAAGCACTGGCGATTGATACAGTTTATAAATTGAACACTTCTAATATTTATTCTTGATAAACATATGCATCGTTATAATAACCCTACCTTTGATGGGGTTATCTAGGGGTAAATAATATATCAATTTAATCAATATTAAGGGCGAAGTATAACTGTAATGATTTCAAGCAGTATTGGTATTTAAAGTATGTATGCACCTTCTCACTCTGTTTTTATTTTCTGTAGAGCAATACAACTTTTTCTGTGGAGAACTCATTTATAATTGGTTTAAACAGTATTTTGGTCAAATGTGATAATTTAAAATCATATTGGTTTCTCAAGTAAGTACCTTGATTTAATCATTGTGCTTTTTATTTTCTGCAGATCAGTGCACCAAACGGTTTAATTAATAGTATGGTCCAATTTGATCATTTAGTCATCTTGGTTTGCTAAATATGCACCTCTGTTTAATCAGTCTGTTTTATTTTCTGCAGAGCAATGCACCACCAAAAATATCAGAAAAAGTGTCTGATGACACTGAGGAAGTAGAGGAGGAGGAGGAGGAGGAGGAAGAAGAAGAGGTTGCAAGAGATTCAGATGCAAAAGCAGAAATTACAGATGAGAAAACTTTAATGCCAACTGAGAATGCAATGGATCTTAAGGAGACAGTGGAAAAAGAGCAGATGTTAAATGGTAAATTTGAGAATAGACCTGTTTTGCTGCTCTCGAGATTTGAACTCAGTTTTTGTGCTTTCATATGGAACTTTAGCAGGTATAAGATGTATTAGAGACATAGTGTTTATATATGTCAACTTATAGTGCAAATTTTATACATGTCAGCTTATAGTCCAAACTTTTCAACCCAGTCTCTTTTTTGACTGTAAAACAAATTTTCTCCAATTTTAGCAAGGACTTCAAATGATGAAGAAACAAACCAGCAACCTTCACCAGAAATTAAAGCACAAGCTGTGAAAAGAAAAACAGAGGAGAAAAGAAGACAGGTAATAATAAACTCTCCACTGATTTTGGTTGTAAATACTGGATTGACAATGTGAAAGTATTGTTATTGAATAAATAATTCTTAATTTCTAGATTTGTTGTATTGATGCATCAGAATTAATTTGATTTTTAAATTTAAAAAAAATGGCTCATTGCCTCTTTTTTTTAACATTTCAGTATATTGTTTTGTGACCAAATATATGTATATAATTTGTCCTTATTAATCCTATTTGAATTAAATGTTGAGTACTTTTCAGTAAATTCTTCATGCATTCTTATTAAATATTAATTCTGTTCATCTTATGATTATATTTGTATGTTTTTTAGAGACCCAAAAAGCCCAGAGGCAGTGAGGATAAATCCTCTTATCCTGAAGATGATCCTGATTTCCAAGTATGGCTGCCCCCATCTGGTTAGTTTTATTAACTTTCTCTCTTCCTCTGATAGTCACAACTCCTTTCCTTGGTTTGCTGTCCAAGATATAATATTTAATTATTTAACTTGATTAATTATATTTATATGAATATATCCATGAGTCTGTAGTCTTAATCCATGTTCCATTTACTAAAATTGATTTTTGGTGTTCACCAAAATATGTAATAAGTTTATTGTAGGGCCTGAAATTAGTCCCCATTTTACAATGGTTGATCAAATTTTTTATTAATTGGAAATAACTTTTCTTCTCTTTTACAAATATGGAGATCTTTAATATTATAATAGTCTGCACTGCTTTTATTAGATCATTCATTATTAACTGACATCAATATATCTATGGCAAGGACTTTTTGGATTTATTTCTAATACTTGCAAAATTCAAAATATATATTATCACCTGAAATGCAAACTGTAAAGGCATGATTACTTTATTTCACCAAAAAATCATGTTAAGAAGTATCTATATTCATGTGTACTTACTGCTTTTTACAGATCAGTCAGGAGATGGAAAGACCCATTTGAATGCAAAGTATGGATACTAGAGGCACTGTGATGCCCCCCCTCTCTCCCCTTCCTGGCACTCCCAGAGAGATGGGGACCATGTCAACTTCAGCCATGAGCTCATTGTAGAGGACCTCTAACTGGGGATAAAACATTTGTTACACAGGACGATGTGGTGCAGATTAGGAAGGAAAAAGAGGACAGTGATAAATTGTTTCATCCACTGACCCTCTCTTATGGTTTATTTGTCAGAAGTGAACAGTGCTTGTTTAGCATTTCGTCTGGTCGCTCAACTTTTTCTTCTGTTTTAAGAGAGAAGCTGCTAATGCTAATGATGCAATTCAATAAATGTGAACCATTATTGCAGATATTTCATTGTAAATAAATAGATAATGTTGAAGTAAGTGGATCAAACAGTTAACTAATTGACTTTTCTTTTGTAGTTTTTTTTTGCCTGCTCTCTTAAAGACACTTGGTAACTCTGCCAACCACCTGTGCCTTTCTTCCCTCATAGCTGACAAGCCTCTGTCATATGTGGCAACTTTATCATTTTAGGGGCAAAGGTGGCATTGAATTGGTGCAAACTATATATAATATAACAAAGATAAAATTTTCAAAATTTACTAATGTTAAAGGTACTTTAAACAGGACTTTTCCTTCAGAAAAAAAAATTTAATTCCCCAGATTTGTGAATCATTTCTTGACCCATCCCTGCAATCAGATTCATACACTTACAACTACATACAGTCATTTAAATGTATTCATACTAGATAAAACATAAAAAGAGAGGTTGAAAGTAGCAAATTAGTTTTATTTTTTTAGTTAAAATTTGTACATGGAGGCAAAGCAACACATTTTGCACTGTATGAAAAAAAATATCGAGTATTTCTGGATTACATTTTACAAGTGACCAAATGATTGGAGACATATACACTTATTTGGCACATCTGACAACCAAAAATGGGACTTCTTTAGGTTAGATTTTTCAAATCATGCTGATTTAAGTTTGGGAACATGAATTAAAGATAAAGGTGTTTCACTCTTTACTCCTATCATTACTGAACAGTAAAAATTCAGTTATCATTTCCATAAGAAAAGGGGAACAAATAGAGATTAAATAATTTTCAAACATTTAATGGACACATTTTTATTTATTATCTATTTTTTTATCATTTAAGTAAAGTACAAGACTTCTTTGCAACACAAAACATCTATGCACCATAAAAATGAAATACAAAAGTTAATCACGGCTTATAATAAAGGTATAAAAAGCAGTCTCAAAAAAATCTAAGCTCTCATTAGTTTAATAATACTGAATCAAGAAGCCAAAATATCTTGAAACCATCACCTATGAGATGAAGTTCTCTTAAAGATGTATAAAACTGAATGTTTCTTAACACAATGATAGAAGACACAAAGCATGTTAGACTTTTATACAGTAAAACATTTTTCTAAGAATTTAAGCAATTTTTTCTTTATAACAGTCTCTATCAACCTTGTTTTGAGCTTCTTATTTCTGATTTTTACTGTCCTGGGTGTTAATGAACAGTCCTCTATTTCCATTTTGAGGGTGGCTTCATTGGAAATTTCAATTTTCACTATAATAGCACAATGTTAGGCAAGTGATTTTAATCGCTCTTTGTCTGTGTCCCCTGGGAGAACTGAGCCGGTCTCTTGACACGGGCGTATGGACCAATGTCAGGGTCAGTGATGAAGTCCCATATGACTTTAGACCAGGAGTGGTGACAGGGTAGATTGTTGTAGTACTCTGGTGCTATCTCTTTGACCTGAAATGAGAGAACAATGTCAGATATCAACATGGTTATCCTACACATTACACAGAACATGTCTCCTCCTTATCACTTTTTTAAGAGAGAGAGAGAGAGAGAATGTTTTAAACATTTTTTTCTGGTGTGAATAATGAAGAAAGTTTTTTTTCCAAAATTTTGTCAACAGCTTGTTAAAGCTGAAGGCTGCATGGGGTTATTACTCTTAACTTTTAAATATATCTATTCTTTTTTTAGGATAAATCGATATTTCGGAACATGAAAAAAAATTCAGATTTGCGTTATAAGGAACATTGAAAAGTTTTGTTTTGGGAATACTAAACTAAACTGATTTATTCTGTTCAAATTTAGAGATAATTACTGTGACTTATATCTCAAAATCTTTTGCTGGCTTGAGGAGAATGCTAACAAGATTAAATCACTATAAAATTGCACTTGGCAGTGCAGAAATGCACACACTAGTATTCATTCAGTGCCTGATCTGCAGATTTAATTTGTCTGGCTCAAACAAACAAATCACGCTGCAGTGAGCAGAGTACAGGTAAAGCATGTTTATCATCATGCAGGGAATACGTGTTTGAGCTCACAACACCTGACACGCCTGCTTTTACTCATGCTCTGATAGCAAAGTTGTCTCCTTCCTCCCATTTGTTTAGAAATTAATCATAAAATAATGACTTGGAGACTGGAATGTTGTTTAGGGAAAAACATTTACTTAGATCATTAAAAACTATTTTTTTTAGTTTAATGTCACATGGTGTGAATATGTAATGACTTCCAAACAGTCGTTAAGTTGCAAAATAATAATTGTTCAAACTAGATCAAGAAAACTTAAATAAAAATCAACCAGTAAAAGGAAGAAATGTATTTTGTACAGAGACAAAAATGTCAATGAGTGATTTCTAAGCTGATTAAATCTTTATATTTGTCTGAAAGAGCACACTATTTAAAGAGAATCTTTAACAAAAAGATCTTACCTTGGGTAGATTACAACCAGGCACATTAGGGAAGTCATGATGCTCGTTATGGTAACCCACGTTGAAAGTGATGCAGTTCAGGATGCCATAGTAGGAGTAGGTCTCGTACCCCTTCTTAAACATATAGTGCTCAGATATAAAATGCCCAGCAACTGGGTGAAGACCCATGGCAAGAAAAGTGCCACAAACCAAGTAAGCCAGTGAACGCCAGCCAAAGAAATAGTAGATAAGAACATCAAATACAAGCTGCATAAGGAAGTTTATAACTTCCAACATTTCTATCTTCTTTGGTCTCAAGAACAATGGGCGCAGTGCATAAAAGAAAGGCTGTAGGAGCACCCATATGAACTTAGTAAATGTCGAATGGAAAAGTCTGCCTTCAAGTTTGGTGGGGATATCAACATCAAGTTCATCATCTCCTTGGTATCTGTGGTGCTCTAGATGATATTTCTTAAAAGAGATGGAGTATGGAATCCCAAGGGGAAGATTTCCAAACATTCCTAGAAAACGATTCCACAGTGGCTTGGAGTGTCCAAAAGCAAGATTATGTGATATCTCATGAATGGCTAAAGTCATGGAGTGGTTTATTACACCACCCCAGCAATAACCCACTAGTAGTATGAGTCCCCATGATGCATCTCTCATGAAATAAGCTGTTACCACTTGGGCTAACACCATAGCTGTGACTATATACTTTAGTTTGGGGTCAATCCCCATCAGCTGTTTTACCTCAGGATACTTTGCTGGAAGAAAATAAGAAAAAATAGTGTAAAATGACAAGTTACAGTGAAAAAAACAAATTAAATAATCTAAAATAAAGGCAGATAAATGCCACCTGACTTGTAATATTGGACCTAACATACGATAAAGCATGTGTGCCACACCCACTTCAGTAGGGAGAAAGAAAATCATCAATTTCAGATTATGTGATGAAGGCATTTCACAAAACATACCTCTAGTAAGTTAGATTGAAAGTAATTTAGATCTGACTTGGGTATATTCATTAAATTATTAAGTTTATAGGGCAAGTGCATCCAATTAAACCATTTCCATCTAATACCAGTAACTTATCAACCATATACATGGCAAATATTTTAACAAAAAAGTGTATAGGAGGGCTTCTATTACATTGACCAATGCTTTGGAATTGATTTTAGAATTTTGCTACTTAGATGCTTGCTTAAAGACAATTTTATATGCTTCTTCAGAATCATCTTTAAACTTGACAAAAGCTTCATTGATTATGAAATTGCCCTTACGTAAGTTACGCGTCCAGAGAATGATCCCATCCCACCTTACACAACATTAACAGTTGGGTTTCACATTTTCAAGTTATGAAACTATATCAATATCACTATATAATATCTAAAACAAAGAGTGCATGTAGCACATTTATATAATCAAGAGAAGTTCGGCTCAATATCAAGTTTAAATTCTTGCATATCGTTAAGGACCCTAGTTTAATCAGTTAGATATATTTAAATCTCCCTTGTAAACCTTCTTACCAAGTATTTCTTTTCGCCTTGTCGCATGGGGTTCTTGTGTATACACCCATTCGAAATCTGTCCTGGTACACTGGGCACCCATCTTCTTTACTTGCGGTTGTACTGTGTATAGTGAATTTACGTGACAACCGCCTTTTCACACGGTGAATCACGTCAGCCGATGGCCTGATCCAAATGACCTTAGAAATCTCGTGACCTAACGAAATTTATCGCAAAGAATCATTCGAAACTCACGTGACAGCACGCTTTACCCCCAGCAAAGAATCCCGCCATCCTCAGCTTCCAAGATGGCGTCGACTGATGGGGTCGAGGAATTCCAAGTACAGGAGGTCGAAATCGAGTCGATTCCTGTAGAAATGCCAATTGAAACTGTAGAAACAAGCGAAGAGACCATTGAGGTACAACCTATGATTGCTCTACAGCCTCTACCAGAAGCATCACACGAGGAAATTGTCCTCCAAACACGCGAAGAAGTTGTCGGTGATCCAAATTTAGTGTACGTAGATAGCATACCAGTGCCTGCGCCAGAAATTGAAATATCCACAGAAGAAATAGCTCCAATAATAAAGAAAGGTCGAGGAGGAAAGAAAAAGGGTGGGAAAAATAGAGGAGGTGTTCAAGTCGTTACTTCACTTGGAAGCGAGCTTGGTTTAGATCATACTTCGAGCACCAGGAAATGGGAACAAAAGCAGGTTCAAATCAAGACTTTGGAAGGCGAATTTTCCGTTACCATGTGGGCATCAGGTACGTTAAAATGACAACAAACGATAAGTTTTATTGTTTCAAGTTGAATAAGACGTGTAACTCATTTTGACAGTTGAAGTCTTTCGACGTTTTTGTGAACGAGGGACGAAAAACGCAAAAGAGCGAAAACGCAAGCTGGTGCCTTTGTTGTGACGTAATTGAACGGGCTGGCTAGGTGGGGCATGGTTGTGTTTAGGATCGAGGCGGGTCAAAATCTTGGTCCGTTCCCGTATTGTAGCTGTTAACATGAATTTCAGTGAATGTTTTGATTCTGTCGTCGGCCATCATGTGTCCATGGGCGCCGCCATAGTGAAGATGGCGGAAAGAATCATCATGGCGGGTGGCAGCCATTTTTGCGAGCCTCGTAGCTCCAACTTTACACTTATCACTCACACTTTTATGTATTTTTCAAATCTATTGTTAAAGTATTGTGAAATAATGCATTCAAGGTAAGATTTCTCTTAGTTTATTTCGAAAAAATGTCATCTGAATTGACGTCTTTTAAAACGGAAAAATACCATCTTGGTAGTCATCTTGTCCGCCCGGAAAACGACATGTCACACACATGGCACATCTAGAAGTTGAACTGATATTTACAGCTCGTTTGTTATAGCAGTTTTATGCAATGTTTTACCAGGTGGCGATAAAACTGGACTGGAAGGAGAGGAAATAGTGACTACAAGTGTCAGTGACCACGATGCCGACTACACAGAATACATGACTGGGAAAAAGATCCCACCAGGCGGGATACCAGGAGTTGACCTCAGTGATCCCAAACAACTAGCAGAGTTTGCAAAGTAAGTAGAAATGTCTTTAACACTTTGTTATAGAGAGTCAAATACACCTCCACATGCTTGTCAGTGATGATCAAGGATTATGGAGAAAATATTTCACATTAGTTCTTGTCTTAAACTTATTTTGAAAAAAAAATTTTAGGCACAGCATAATTGACATTGTTGCAGGTCATTTGACTTGTGAGCTTTTACTGACCACATGCACCTATTACCACATTTCAGCCTTGATCATCACTGTAGACCTCTCTCTGTGCATTCCAGGATGAAGCCTAGGAAACAGAGTGATGATGTTGCTAGGACAGTGCCATGCCCACACAAGGTAAGAGAAAGTTTTTGTTTCAGTTTGTGCAAAGGCGCTTTTTCCTTTAAGAGACTTAATATTTGCTGATCGCTTTCTTTATATAGTGTAAAGTAGAAATGCATTTTGGGAAGCGTTAGTACGTATGTGTTGATGCTTGCTAACCAAGAAATATCCTATAAATTTTAAAAGATGTCGGATGATGCCAATTTGTTGTTACATGACTAAAAGCACAATGTAGAACAGCATAATTTTAGAGTATTAGTTGCCCTAAGGTATTTTGATGGATAAAAAGATTTTTGAAGAAATAGTGTAGACTTTCTATTTAGAGATGTATCAAAGTAAACATCAGGTAACAATGTTTATGTGTTTTGTTACTTAACTTTTAGTTGACTTAGGATGTTTTGGAATTTGTATTTTTATATATTTTCAGGGTTGTAATAAAATGTTCAGGGATAACTCTGCTATGAGAAAACACTTACATACTCATGGTCCAAGAGTACACGTGTGTGCAGAATGTGGGAAAGCATTTGTGGAGAGCTCAAAATTAAAACGCCACCAACTGGTCCACACAGGAGAGAAACCTTTTCAGGTAATGTCAATTTTTGCTTTTTAGGGATGTCACATTGTGATAGTAGCTCAATGGCTCTATGTTAGACTATGGGAATTATTTACAGCATGTTTTAATTTACTCTGACGGGATAGAGAAGCCTTATAGTAAGATACAATATTTTGTTTCTTTTCAGTGTACCTTTGAAGGATGTGGGAAAAGATTTTCTTTGGACTTTAACCTCAGAACGCATGTGCGGATACACACTGGTGACCGCCCCTATGTTTGCCCATTTGATGGGTGTAATAAAAAATTTGCCCAGAGCACCAATCTCAAGTCACATATATTAACTCATGCGAAGGCAAAGTAAGTAGAGTTTTAAAACCCACTTTTGCAAGTTGAAATTATTGATGTTCAGTTTACTTTGTCTGTCAGTGAACAGTTGGTTTATGTTTATACATTTTAGATCATAATGCTGAAGTAAACAAATTGTTTTTCAGATTTGTTTGTCAGATAAAAGTGCTAAATAATTTTTTAATTTTAATTTCAGAAACCAGCCGACCTACACTTTCCCTCCAGTCTCTTCTACAAGTCTTCAGATGTAATTTCACCACAAGAAATAGGTCCCATTATTTACAATTAGATGTCATTGGAACACACATCACAATCAGCAGTTGGTTGGCAACTCGCAGTTGTCTAGTTTTTTATTTTTATTATTATTTTTTTGTGTGTGTGTTTCACAACCTCTGACAATTTTAGTATTTATATTGCCAGCAGCCCTCTGGTGTAGTATCAGGAATAGACTGTAGTGTACATAGTCAAATGGTTTGACATTGTGATAGGTGATACCTTTTTCTGCTGGTTATCTTGACCATTCAAGAGACTTCAGTATAGCAGGCTTTGGAGTATAAAACAGACTGTGAAGTTTAGATTGTAATCATATATCGTAACCTATTTATTTTAAAGTCTGTGAGCATTTGTCAGTTACCTGCCAATAATAGGGCAAGGGGGGTCATCTTCAAACTAAGACTTAGAATTGTATAAAATGTTGTAAATATTTACTGTCACTGGGGTAATTGTGACTGGAGTTTGTCATGATTGAAGCAGCTTTCCTATTATTTAATGCTGTTTGCCAGCTTGTTTGATTTTAACAAGGGTACAATAGACACCTTTTCTAAATATGGCAGGGGAAACAACACATTTTATGACAGCAGCTGGTTATTGGCAAACTGACAAAAAATATTTCATAGGTTAGAAAATGTAAAATTGATGGTTTGTTGAGTGCAGGTTTGTACATAAATGATTAATGTGTTACCAGAACTTTATATGCACAAGATATCAATTCACCTGAAAGTGAACATGTCTACATATATGTAATGTTTTTCTATATTATAATGGTGGCTGCAAAGTGTTTGCCACAAAATTATATCTTGTTTTTAAAATGTGAAAAATGAGTTTGTTAATTTACTTTTACTCTCACAACACTTAATTTGAAGTTACTTTGAGACTTATTCCTTTCACTAAACTTTCACATTTAATGCCTAGAGTTTTAGAGATTTAAAGGAGCTTCCCTAATTATTGTCAGTGTTTAATCTCAAATTATGAAAGGCAGGCACATTTGTAGTAGTATTTGTTTGCCGAAACTGGACATGGCAGATACATGCTGTTAATACATAGTTAAGTTTTTAGGGAGTGCAAAAACAAAAGAAACTAAAATATCTGTCTTTGCTGCAGTAGTTGAAATGGGATGTCTGCATTCACAATTGAAACAGAAAAGATGAAATTACTTATTATAAATAATTTATTTCCATCTAATTAGTAACCATCCATATATAAATAGTAAAATTGCCTAAATTTTAATCACAGCCATCAAATTTAATCATGCACAGTATACTTCTGTTTTAGTATTCTCGGATATGACATGAGGAATGACAAAGTCCTGTTAACATGAAAAACTATTTCACTTGATATAAACATGATGACACAATGAATCAAACTTGATTACAAAATAAAATTTAAAAAAATTCTTACACATCCAGAACTTTATTACAGAACACTCGTGTTAAACAAATTGTTTCAGATCTAACTCTGGAATATAATGTTAAAATTGATTAGTGGGAAATAAATGTGTCTAATAAACAGCCAAATTAAATACCCTCCCCCCTATTTCACAAAAAAACAATCACTTAGATGTACAGCGAATCTTTATGGAACACTTTTGTTAAACCAAAGAGGGGTCAGATCTGGTCTTGGAACAATGGAATGATTACAGAGCAAAGAGCTGTACAAATTGATGTCTTAAAAACTACTGGATTTCTAATAACAGATCCTGATAAATGCATGTGCTCAATATACTGCAGTGCACTGTACGCATCTTAAAGGCCATTGTAAAATCACTAAAAATGAGTCACATTGTTGCTTTTATTCAGTTCACTAATAAAACTGTTCACGAAGGAATTAACTAAACTGCTCTGTGTCTAAAAATGCAATGAGAATTAATGTTTGAACAATAAATGCAATTTAAAATTGTGGTATACTATCTGGGGATTTGCCATAAAACTATCAGTCCTTTGGATAAAAATATAGCCATAAGTGAAACAGATATGAAGTTGATTAAAAATGCACATATTATAAAATACTCAAAATTTAACATAGAGACAAAAAATCCAATTAAATGAAAAGCATGAAGATCTGGTAAATATTGAAATGCACTTCCCATATTTTGGTTGCATAGCACATGGCAATTTACATAGTTTTCATTGATCCAGTTTACATAAAAGTAATAGTTAAAATCATGGACATGTTTAACTTCTCCAGAGCTAATGGTGACAGAAATTGGATGGTATGGAATCACTGTTTATACTCTAGAGGCTGCCAATCCACTTACTCCACCTTCTTGCATGCTTTCTCCATGGCACTTATGATAGTTTCTTGTGGTACATTTTCCTGGCAAAGGTTTACTAGGACGTAAAGGTGGCGTAGGGCATATTCATTCTGTAATGTTATCAAGAAGATCTGGCATCAACAAATAACACTTCACATATCACACTTTATAAGTTTTCAAATTACAAATGTAAGATTTAAGTCATTTTCAAATCACATATATTTTTGAAACAAAGTCAAGTTTGGAACCAGTGTAACTTACCTCACTGACTTTGAAGCATTCACTGAGGAAATGTCTTGCCACAGGTTCATAGCAGTCGTGTTTGATTAAAGGAAGTTGTGACTGCAGGACTCTGGCCGCCTGAACATGATCTTTAGTTGCATAACCTGCTATGTGTTTCATAGTTATCATGACTTTATCCTTATTCTGAAATATTTGCAATATAGAATCTGTTACTACAAGATATGAGCGCGCATGCGTGCGTGCACACACACACACACACAAATGCAATACAAAAGTCATTAAGACAGCAACTTTTTGTTTTTTTTCTGAATAATCTACTTTGTTTCAAGTATACTTCTCAATTTTATGAGTGACAGTTAAATTTCTGTGAAGACCTACTAGTTGTATTTTTTCCATCTCTTGTCTAATTTCTTCTCTCTGTTCCTCAGTTTTGGCAGCCTCCAGTCTGTGGTACAGAATAGCCATGGGAACATCAGGGGAAGGCACTGCGTCCAGCTAAAAGGAAAACAGATGTAAAATACAGTTTTCTTTTGTTGGTACATCAGCCTTAAGTCATTGGGCTGAAAATTAATTTTGTTCAAAAAAAGGCGAAAAAATAGAATTTTCTTCTGCTGATATTGCAAAAAATTATACTACAAGGCTAAAATATTTAGACTATTATCATTTCAGGGTTATTATTTTTATGACCTCAAAACAGCTTAAAAGAACAACAGTGTAACTTTCATTTCATTTCATTTACAAAAATCTAAATAAAAGCCAGCTTTGAGGAAAGCACAGACACTGCTTAATCTTGTCTTTGAAAAGCAGAAGTCTTGTTCACACTTACAGGGACTGGGGGATACTCCTTAGGTGGCGTTGCCTTGCCTCCCTGGAACTCTGCCACAGTTGATTCCGCTATAGACTGGAAAAAACAATGCAGTGTAAAGATACCTTTTGATAGTGCATTACCGTATGTGCTTCAGGCCAATAGAGCCTATACTTAATATTATAGATAGACCAGGTGACTTTGGACCACCAGATCAGAACTAAAAATGTTTGTTAAACATAGCTAAAATGTCCCTACTCAAGTTTTTATGAAAAATAAACCGTATTACTTGTGGCCCATGACAGCCAGCTTGATTCATCATCAGGGACGAGACTTTCTGACAGCTAAACAAGAAGACCCATCCCCATCCCAGATTTTCTAACAAAATGAAAAAAGAGGAAAAAGATTTAATTAGGCTGACAAAAAAAAAAAAAAAAAAAAAAAAAAAAAAAAAAAAAAAACAGCTAAAGACATTCTGAATGTTCTAAAGCCAAACTCACTCTCTTACCAGATCTCCATATTCCATAACATGACTCGTGTTTGTTTCTTCTTTCACAATACGAAATTGCTTCTTAAGGGTTTCTTTTTGGAGATTTTCCTAAAATCAAATTTGAAGGCATTAAATATGATGATAACAATTTCTTAAAATTAAAGTTTATGTGTTGGTTTGCTAAATAATTGTTCTTAACAGAAAAAAAATTTTTTTTAGTACGTTTGATTAAATATAAAGTAAATACAGTCTGACAAAGCTCAACTTTACATTCTTACTTTATCAGAATCTTCCATCCATTTGACACTGTAGACATCCCCCAAGTATGTCTCTCTTTCCTTGTCATAAAAACAGGCATAGGAGGATTCCTTGGGGTTGGAAGCAGTAGTTGCATACACTGAAACAACCAAAATTACAATAAGCCTGACATATTTAGACTGCAGTGAAAAATGCTATTCACACACACACAAAGTATATCATGTTGTACATGTCCCATTTCTTTTTAATTACGACAACAATTGAAAGCAATTTGGTGCATTTTATGAATTTCGTACCATTAATATTCTTTGGCAGGAGGTTAGCCACCATTGACCCAGATTCACAAGCTTCTATGTACAGCACCATCTGTGAAAAGAAAATTTTAATTTTTAAATATTCAACACAATAAAGAAACAGTGTTGATAAACATTTGCTTTGTTTGGCTTAATATACTTTTATATTTTTGTATGGTTTTATATAAATACAAATGAAAATGATGCAACAAACAATGTTTTAGTAATCTGAAGACCATCCCTCCATCTAAATCCTATCTTAAAAATATTATGTATGTTAATTTTTTCTTCTTAACCCAATGTAAAGGAACAATGCATTAGGTAACTTTTATCTTATATCTGTTGACACTTTGTTGACGTGGTGACCCTTAAGAAGACATTAATTTTTAAAAACTTCTTATGGACCTTTCTGTGTGCCTTTTATTTCATGAATAACCCTTCAGGTAAAAATCATCTTACCTTTGCAAATTTCTTTTTATCATACATGTCTTTCAAAGCTTTGTTCAAAGCTTTGGCATGAAGCTAAAATAAAGAGAACATTAATTTAAATATTATTCACATTCACATAAAAGAAAAATAAATGGTGCATTTTAATGTGACAAAAATGAAATAACAAACTGTGTGAGCACAAAAAATGCAGGTTGCTTATCTCCTAACTCTAAATAATGATATCTATTTTTTTCAATGGCATCAATAATTCCCTCTAATATCTTTAGAGTGATTCCATGATATTTTAATCAATTAATATCAATTATTATACCTCCCCACGAGGAAATGCCAGCACCCCTGGTCCACCATGGTCCACAAAATTGACAAATATGTGGTCATTGGGCCCACTGAAAAGTATTCATATTCTTAACACATTGATACTGTAATAATGATAAAATAATTCTTTCCAATAAACTCCATAGTGAAAACTTTATGGTATGTTGGAGAGTCATTCTAATGACACTAGTTATGTATCAAAAGTTAAAATGCAAAATGTGTTTACTAACCAAGTTTACCAAGGTTTCTCTCTAAAGTACCTACCTGTTAATCACCTTCCCACTGCCCAGATTGCCGAGAGCCTTCTTGTTACCTTGCAATACACTCAGGAAGTTTTCTGGAGTCACTGTCTGTAAATATATTCAGTAAAAACAATTAAAAACCAATGAAGTTAAAATTGCAAATGACATGTTGTGTAATAGCAAAATTATAAGAAAGTAGGTATTCAACTTTAAATATTTAATTGGTCCCCATTTGCTCCATTTGTGATATTGAGAAATATTTTTGAAAATTTTATTTTTTCAAAAATTGGAAGGTTTCTGGGAATAAAGTTATTATAAAACCTTTATCTTCAATGTCTCCCTTTAATAAACTCTGAAGTTATGACTATATATAGGAGGGGCATTAAATGAATGCTTTTGTTCAGTTGTCATTGCCATTGGTAGGAGTAATTTGTACCTATGAAACCCTCCCCATCAACACACACACAACACGTGCCCCCCCCCCCCCTCCCCCCTGAGATATTGACCATAATGACACTCCAGACTATGCAAACACAAGTGCACTCCACATGTCAATATCTCAAGTACTTGGTGAACACACAGGTGACAGAGACCTGGCTAAAGTGTGCTAAAGCACATGATGCTCTGACACAGGAGACCTTCAAATGGAAAGATATTGTATCTGCATTACTTCAGTACATGATAATTCCTACATAAGTGTACATAGTCTAACCTCGATCACACACATGACGATGATGATTTCGAACAAAACATTTCTGAGCACACAAAGCGCTCTGCTAAAAAAAAAAATACTGCTTTCAGTTTCGATTCTTTTCAATACTTGGCAATTTGCCTCATTACACATAAAAATTTGATATCTTGTTTCGTTCCACTTTGACTTGCTACCTTAAGTTACTAACATCACAAGGTTGTACTGGCAATATTCATTCAAAGGCAAAAAATCTATACATCATGAAGAAAGATCAAAAAGTACATTCCTGCAAACCAACTGTATCTCATTCACTTGGGTTAAAATTTAATCAGGTTGCAGTATATTTACAAGTCAAACTAGTGCCAACTGTAAAACATTAACCAAACTCTCTCTCAGACTCTGTCAGTAAATATGGACATAGCATTTTAATGTTCTACTAGTTATAAATCTGGATTTATCTGGCTACATAGGGCACTAAGTGACCAATACAGCTGTATCCAGGATCTTAAAGGGGGGTGGGGTCTTAACTCCACTGCCGAAGCAACAAAATCCAACTGCATTATTTATGAAAAAGCCCAGTAAGAAATTATCAGGCTTTTAATAAGACGAGGTTTATTTTGGCAAAACCTCTTAACTTCCAATGAATTACTACAGGTGTCTGAAATAAACTTATACTTTCAGTCATGCTAACTTTAATCATAAATTTATTATTTGTCTCAGAAACTGCATCAAAAGACAATCCAGGTGGTCTCGACTACCTAGCTGCACTTGTTACTGGTAAAACTTTGGCAAATGTATATCTTATGCCAAGTCACAACCTCAACAGACTAATTTCCATAAATACAGAGGAAGTTAATGCACGCTTTACAACGGACTTATCCCAACAACTCACCGAAGTAAAACCAACAAGTCAACAAGGCAGCAAAGNGCCAAAAGGTAAAATTGTTTTCCACTTATCGTGTTATCGGTGCTGCATACATGCTGAAAAAAGGGAAAAAACAGCATAAATTCCCTAAAAGTGACCCGATCATGCTGTTTTTCGAACTTGACCTGGGTATTATGAATATTCATCAGTTCTGCAAGTTTCAAGTCAAAAGGTAAAATGGTTTTCCACTTATCGTGTTATCCGTAAAAGTGCACGGCGACGGCGACGGCGACGGCGACGACGACAGCGACGACAGACGCAGATGATGGCTATATGTACAGACACATCTGTGTCTGTACATAAAAAGTGAAAAAACAGCATAAATTCCCTAAGAGTGACCCGATCATGCTGATTTTCGAACTTGACCTGCGTATTATGAATATTCATCAGTTCTGCAAGTTTCAAATCAAAAGGCAAAATGGCTTTCCACTTATCGTGTTATCGGTAAAAGTGCACGGCGACGGCGACGGCGACGACGGCGACAGCGACGGCGACGACAGACGCAGATGATGGCTATATGTACAGACACATCTGTGTCTGTACATAAAAAGCTGACTTTGCTTTTTTATAATCATAACCTTAAAACTATAATTTTCTACATTATCTTTCCATATCTATCCCCTTTACAAAGAAAGGTCATAACAGCTAGGGAGCTCACTATTTCCTTTCCCACAAATCCTACAAATGAATGTTGTTTGATGCTAAAGATAGAATAAGAACATTGTGGTTTGTGTTTCTGTTAAATTACACAAAACCAAGACAGAAAGAAATTGCATTAATTAGCTAATTGCCAGCAGAATTGCCAGGTGCTTAATCTGTGCCTTTATTTGCACATAATAAAACTGTGTAACAGCATGCTGAGTAATACCACTCAACACAGCTATTAACAAAGAGCATACAAACCACCCCTTTTCTTTATCTTGAATAATATAAAAATTTATTGCTACCCAAGACTGGTACTACCACTACCTAATTTCACACAGTAGTTTATTATTTAACAACATATCTTTTTATCTTCTTTTTTTCTTTTTTTGTACCTGCAATAAGTATCAGGATCCTAACTTTGCATCAGGTGATATTTTTTCAAGATCCAGTCAATATCATGTGACTCAAAGTCATGACCAAATTAAAATACAATGATCTATGTCCACATTGTTTCCCAATGTGGAAAAGTTGAGTATATTGACACAACTTCTCATGCAGATGCTACTTTATATTTATTCAGGGTTGCCAAGGTTGCAATTATGCATTTAAGTATAGATTCTTATTGTCTTCAACTGTTAATCAGATGTTTGATAACAGATCTACGTACAAATTTTAAGTACTTTGGTGTTGGCCAGAACTGCTAAATAATATTTAAAATGAATATATAATAAAACAATAATGATTCCTATACCTTTCCTATATAGTCCTTGGGCACCCCTTTGTACACATCTGGACCATTTGGTCTGTTGATAATTTTGCCTGGGGTGGGATTTCTGGAAAAAAGAAAAAAAAAGGAAAAAATTATTTCAATCAGACATTCTGAAGAGAAAGTAATCCTGAGGTCCTTTACATAGAACTCTATATGCACAATGAATAGTTACATCATCCTTCATTAGTGTTTTTATTATCCCAAAGAGATGCAAAATATATATTTAAAATACCAGAGTATTAAAAAAAGTAAATTATCAAAAATCCTCTCTAAAAATGTACAAAAACTATGTAAATTGATGTAATCCAATACCAACAATTAAAAAAGCAGAAAATGCAATTGCAATCACCTTCTATTTTGAGCGATATCATCGTACATCATGACAACAATTCTCTCATCTGGAATTCCATGGCTGTGGAGAACATGGTAAGCATGGCAAACATCTGCCTAATTAGAAAAAGAAATAAAACTTAAATTATTATTAAGAAAAATATCTTAAAATTATCCTTAAATTCAATTGTTGATCTCTTGTTACTTATAAGGGTGTGAATAAACTGAGATACAGTATCTATATCAATTAGTGAAATTCTGCTTTGTCACATAATTTGGTTTTTCCAAAATTTTGCTTTAAAGGAAAATATCCTGGTACCTCTATCGCTATTGAATACGATAACAAAGATAAACTTGTGCCTTAGTACACAAACTTCGATTACCTGGTGCCTGTAGTTGAACCAACCACTCGATCCTGCTACGATTAATGCCCAGTGTTTTCCCGTTGTAGCACCCTTAATAAATTGCTCAATCTCATTGTCTAGTATGCTGCATTTAACAGCTGATATTAGCAAGACCGCCAGCAGCAGGGATGCTACTCTCTCCATCTTGTTTACGTTCTGTTACTGGCACGTGATTCTCACCTCTACAGGGTAATTCCTTGGGCAAGTCCAAAATGGAGGGGGGGGGGGCAGGTTGTTGTGTAGCTATTTCACGCCCAATACAAGAAAAACAGATAGTTTGATACCGGATATCATTTTTCAAATAATATACGTATTGAGTTGCTCATTGGTTTATAATATATATATATATATCTGATAATCAACTCTGAATAATTTGTTATTACCTTTTGAGTGTGTCAAATTTTATTTGAGGAAGTTAATTTTGGACTGATCTGACACAACAAAAATGGCAGCCACCAGATCGAGGAAGGTAAGATATGCAACTGGGTTGTTTAAGAAGTGAAATCGACTGATAGCTACCACAACCACTTCTGCAACTGATTTTGTTTGTTATCTGATTAAGAACATATTTATTGATCTTTAAAAAACTTTGAGTTGAGGGTCATCTGATGGCAGATTCTGACTGCCATTTATATATTTTTTCTGCAACACGTCTGCAACATTTTAAGTTTTAATACCTGTAAGGAAAGCCAAGATGAATAAGGACATTGGTTTTAAATAAAATGTTTGATTGTGCAAGATGAATAAGGACATTGATTTTTAATGACATGTTCGATTGTGCAAAAGAAAAAAAAAACACTTACAATAAACGATCACACAAAACTGAACACTTCAATTATTTTAATAAAAATCATGCTAGCAGACCGTCTACCTTTGTATGTCAGCTGTTACTCCAGCAAAGTGTAATGATAAATAAGTACTTGGTTTCTTAATATTTTTGTAGTCTGTCATTTTTGTTTCCAGAGTTTCGACGAACAAGCAAATGAAGAATTCTGGGCATCATCATCCATTAAAAAGCAGGCCAACTTGTTTGGAGATGATGTTAGTAATGCAGTTAAACTGTTTGATTTGACAACAGATTTACCTTTAAATTTAATTATTCAGCTCCAGGCTTTAATTTATTTATTTAATATTTAGAACACTAGTGCCATCATCGAAATGGCTCTGCTGCCTGCACTTGCCATCCTCAATGAAATGCCAAGATAAGATTTTAAAAAAGAAAAAAAAACAAACTTTGAACTGATTGTCATGCATTATTTAAATCAGTTACAAAAGAAAAGAATAAAGTACTCAATTTGCATTGACATATGTTTCTATTTGGATTAAACTACTTTTGTCCCTAACGCACCTGTAGGTGCATAAACAGTGAAGCAATTAAAGATATTATAAATAAGCTTTACAGTAATTGCAGTGAAATCTTATTGAAAATATCACAACAATGCTTTTTACTATCAGGATGCTTTGGTCACTGCCAAAAGGACACTTGGGGGTTTGAACTCAATATTTGATGATGAAGAAGATGAGGATGTCATCAATTTTGATGGAACACCAGCAACACCAGCAAAGCCATCTGTTGGTATGTTTCAACATTATAAATGTATTTATGATTGAAATGAGTGCTGATATGATGGTTTTTGAAATTATTTGAGAATATTTGATCATTTCAAGTAAAATATTTTTTTGGTTTGCTTTAAGCTCCCTTTTCCTGTACTTAACTTTATAACCTATACATTTTAGATAAATTTGATTATCTTACTTTGATATTCAGGTTTCAGCATGTCAGCGCGCTACAAGCCTCCAGAGCGCAGCACCAGTAGCAATCTCGCTGGCTCAAGTAGTCTTACCACTGGGCGATCTGTGCCTGGCCTCTCTTCTGCCAGCCCATCATCATCGTTGAGCAGCGGATTGACACATTCCAGGTCGGCAAGTCTGACTGTAGGTGAGTGATAGGATTGTGGAATGGGGCTTAATAATATGTAACCTACAAGGTGTGTTTAAAATACTTTAACCTTCTTTGGACTGGGAATTCAAACCAACTTCTGACATTACATGGTTTGGCATGTTCAGGCAAAAAATACTTTGGGTTTGAAATTGGGTCTAGCTTTTGTCAAAAGAGGGACAGTTGAATGAAAAGGTCTGCTCAGGCAAACAAACTTTTGGTTAATTATTATTGACTTGTCTTTTTATCATGTAACTGAAATGTGGCTTAAAGGATACTGTTCTTTTAACTGACCATGATAATATATTTTTTTCAACTATAAATAATATTTACTAGTAGATATGCTAAATTTAGTGTTGCTGAATAAATATGTAATTTGAGGTAAGCCAAACATTTGATCAGGAAACAAATTGAAAGGAGTTTGATATTGTTTCAGGCAGTTCTGCAGGAACCTCAGGCTTGAGTATAGATGAAAGTAAGTGCAACATATTTGTAGAGTTTAAACTGAAAGCAGTTGAAGTATGAGTGGTCACAGTTAAATTGTTGAACATATTAATGATGCTCAACAGTAACCAGTCAATGCTGATCCCCAGGACACATTGATTCAGGGAAAAAAATGAATGTATTTTTATCCTTGCTATCACTACTTGATTTAAAACTGTTTAGCAGTCAACGGCTACTCATCTGAAAGTTATTTTACAGCTCTTTAGCCTCTTGATTATTGTATTTATTGTTTTTATTGTTACATATGATTAAAATGCCAACTTCTCACTATAGTGGTATCACAATCAAAACCAAAGCCAAAAGTGCCTTCAGCAGCAGAGCTTGCCAAGAAGGAAGCAGAAATCAACTTTCTCAAGAGATCAGTTCAGGTATGCACCATAAATCATTAGCTCTTTTATTATTCATACGCTTTCAAATCTAGATTGATATATGGTAAATGCTCATGAAATTCTTACAGAATGTATTGATAATGTTTATTTTACAGAACAGCATTTTGTTTTTAAGACTTTATATGCTCATTCAAAAGGTTTGAAAAGCTGCTTGACTTTGTGTCAGAAAGTACATATTTTTGGGTAACTAAAAATAAAAATGTTGCAAAAGAAAGAAATAATTCAACTAGATTACAAAGGAAAAAATACATAGAGCACTATTTCACTTTGCTGTCAGGTGTGCCTATAGAGTATATGATCTCCGTATTACTAGTTTCTTTTATTTCTGTATAGAAGACTGTATAACTTGAACTCTTAAAGACAGGAACATTTGTTATGCTGTGTTCATATTACTTTCACCTAAAAACCACAGAAAACCCCATTCCATAAGGTTTGTTCAAGATAAATAATGATTAGGTCATAATATGACAAGATTATATATACGTAGTGTTTTCTATTTCTTATTTCATGCTCTATTTGATACAGTCTGCTAAGCGAGAAAGGTGGGCGCTGTTACCTGTTAAAGAAACAGTTAGAAGAATGCTGATGGGAGAGGTAAGAGGAACAATAAATCAAAAATCCCATTGCTTTTTTTTTTTTTTTTTTTTTTTTTTTTTTTTTTTGTTTTTTTTTTTTTTTTTTTTTTGCAGCTCCACAAAATTAATGAATTAATTAACATTTAACTGATTATTGTAAAATCTTGTTCATGACAGTCAATCATTCAGGCCAATATTTGATTTCTTCATCAATTACTTATCATTGCAAAATATTGTTTGATTATTCAGTATAGTTTCCATATAATGATATTGATTATTTGATATTGTTTCAATATTACAGAAAAAGATAATTTCAATTTTGTTTCCAAATTGATTTCAGTCCTATAACCTTGAGATGTACAGATCCAGAGAAGACAAGTTGGCACTGTTAGATGAAGCCATTGAAAGCTGTGATGGAAATGCTATCATAGCAGTAAGTTAGCAATAATATAACTGCAAATTCTCAAAAAGATACTTATAATGCTTAAAAGTGTTCTTCACTAGAAAATGGAAGGTTTACAAAGTTATGGATCTAAAAATGTACAGATCTGTCATTTATTATGTTAATTGCAGTGAAATATTTAAAATGGGTAAAGTATGTTTAATTGTGTGGTTACTGTGATTAAGAACATACATTTTGATGTGTCATATCTCAGGCCCTAAATGGTTATCTGATTTGTTCTAATATGTTTCAATTTGTGGACTAATTAAATCTTCTGCAGTCTGCTCCAAATGTGTGTTGAACTTAGTGTGCTGTTCTGTTTCTATTGTAAATAATTCATCCTGCATTTCTTATATTAACATGTTGTGGGCAGTTTTGTTTCTCGTTAAGACTCTTTGTCACGGGAGATTCAAGTTTCCTTTTATCATATATTTCAGGCTGTCCTGTTTCTTAAGTCCACTCTAAAGAGTTCATTGTTTCACCAAGAGTTACGCAGCAGACCGACTGCCATCAGTCAATATCTGAACTATCTTAGGGAGGCCTATGAACTTGAGGACCTAATTGATATGTTAGGGTAAGAACTATCTTAGGGCGTATTCCCAGAGCTTTTAGATCGATCTATCCCCGCGGGGAGTCTCACTAGATTACTGTCAGATAATCAGGCTTAAATGTCCGTCCCACCTACTACAAGCTGTAAGGGGGTAATTAACTTTCGTGCCGGCTCGGCTGACAGCTATTTAGCGTGAACCCCCAGGGAGTTAGGTCGATCTAAAGTAGATCGATCTAATCTCTGGGAATGGGGTCTTAGGGAGGCCTATGAACTTGAGGACCTCATTGACATGTTAGCGTAAGAACTATCTTAGGGAGGCCTATGAACTTGAGGACTTCATTGACATGTTAGGGTAAGAACTATCTTGAGGAAATTTTTAATATGTTAGGGTAAGAACTATCTTGAAGAAACTTTTGATATGTTAGGGTAAGAACTTTCTTAGGGAAACCTCTGAACTTGAGGACCTTTCTATATAAAGCTAAGAATTGTGAATCAGTTTTTACTGTAAAACAAATTTGGGTCAATTATCACTTTCATAATATGCTGTGAATGTTTTTTTTTTCAAAGGAAGCTGTGATTCAAAGAAATATTTGGTTGAGACTTTACATTTTAAGAAGTTTTATAGAGTACTTGTTTTGTAATTGCCAATGTGATGTTTACAATCAACCTTATTAATTTGAAATTTAGTAATCTACAGTTTAAGGGATTAGATGTTATGTTTTATATTTTTCAGAGTATTAAATCGAGGGGAAGAGGCAGCAGTAAGTCAAAAAGTTGTTTTATCTTTAAAGTGCCATATCATGCCTGTTGTAGATTAGCAATGGAAGAGAAAGGATGAATATAAATTGGTTTTCTATTATAAACTTACATTCATTTAATGCCAATAATGTTTTAAAAATTTCAATTAGTCATAATTTTGCACGAACAAAATAAAAGGAATTTGAATTACAAAAATAAGTCAAAGATGGAGCATTGATGAACATTTAGGACACACAAAACTGTTGTGACATTTTTTCACCAAAATTAGAGTTGTCTTTATTTTTATCAGCCACATTCATCTTTTTCTAGATGTTAAAATATAAACAAGCCATATCCACTAGAAGACCTGAAACTAAGGTTAAAAATTTACAGCAGTGCTACAGGTAAGTTTTCAGTCCATTTCTACAGGGATTGCTTGATTGCATTCCATTGTAATATGTTATATGAAGTCATTTTCACAAATTAATTAAGATTATAAGTAGGCCAATTGACCTCACTTCTTCATTGTTTTACCGATCTGCTTTCTTCATTGACATTGTGTATGTCTGGTTCATGAGTTTATTCTTTTCTTTCAGGACTCACTTTGAGATGAACCCAGATCTAGCCCATGACGCAAGCCATGTACAGGAGCAGATATCTCTCCTTGAAAGACAGATGCCAATAGATGTAAGTGCAGGGTAGAGCTTAAGTTTGTGGGATTCATTTGTAGAAGACTCTGCATTTTATATGTTGAATAATGTGCTGACAGTGGATGCAGAGTTGACTACTTTGAATATTAGCTAGACTGGATTTTTTTCTTTCCTTATTTTTTGCAGAAAGCAGATGCCTTAGCACAGCAAGAGCAAAAATCAAGAATATTTTATGATTTTCCACGGAAAGCGTCTCTCATTAACATGTCTGTCCTTACCACCCTGTATTACTGCTGTTTTTATCATTATGAATTAGCAGAGGTATAGTATCTCATTTTTTATTTATTTTTTAACACACACACACACACACACACACACACACACACATTCGTTCCCATACAAAAGTAGAAAACTATTTAAAGTTGGTACAGTATGCTATATTTATTGTAATATTAAATATGTTTCACACGAAATAGTTCCAACTTCAACCCTTCTTTTAAGGTTCTTGGTAACATGACTGACTTTTATGCAAGATAAAAAAGAATCTAGTTTTATTAATTCAAATCATGCAGTTTAATTTTCATTTAGTTTCTACAAAAGGTTTTTGATTTTACAACATAGACTTCACAGATTTACTTATGTCCTAAAAATTTTCAGAATTCACTAGCTAGTCCTCAGGCCATTAAGAAAGCTTATCATCTGACAGAGAAAGAGTTCCTGTGGACGGCCCTCAGAGCTCTGGCCAAACGAAAACTGTGGATAGCTTTGGAAACGTTATTTCAATCTAAGGTGGGTGGAGCCATTTTTGATAATAATTTTTTTTTGCAAGAAATTCACTTAAGAAATTATTTTGTACAGCAAAGACTTGATCTTTTCAATGAAGAAAAATTATCATATTTTAAATAGATGATTTTAGAAATATTATAATATATTTGTGTGGCATTTGTGGTGCTTTTACTGTACTGAATAGAACAACAAAGGAGCCCGCTTTTCAGTTATGTTGCTACCACTCAAAATAGGAATGTTCTAAAAATTTATTACTTAAAATGGCTTTTGAAAAATTCACATTTGTCCTCATTAAAAAGATAGAGCCATTACAAAACAAATATGGATCTTTGCTTATAGTGAGAAGCAGAACAGAGGAGCAAGCACCCGATTAATTTTTTTGTCTCAAAACATGCTAAAATGACTGAAGAGTCAGATGATTGAAATTAGTTGAAAGTATAGCAATATAATGTGCAAATGTTTAAGAAGAGATGTACCTAATCTAAAAGTTTTATTTTAATTTTTACCATTATTTGTATTCTAGAGCTGGTTTGGGAAAGTGTCTATGAAAAGTGAAGTTGGCTTTGAAAAAGTGGTCCAAGTTTTAGAACAATGTGGGGCTCCAAATGATGTAAGTGTCTGGAAATATAGAGAGGTTTTTACAACCCGTCTGATTGATTTAAAAGAATCCGTCACATTATATTATATCATATGAATTGTACTAACAATAAAAAATTATTTTCCTTAAAATAATATGCTGTTTTTGAATTTGAATTTGAAGTTTATCCAGCTCATGATTAACCCTTTTAAACTTTGTGTTTCAGATTTTAAGTAAATATCTTCAGTTGGTGGATGACCCAGAGAAGAGGTTGGCATTGGGGAAGAAATTTGGATGCCACCAAGTTGTCATAGATGTAAGTGTCACTTGAGATTATAGCTGACTGGAATAATAGCTTATCCAAAATCTAGGCCAAAGTAGTGGAGGCATACTTTATATATGACCTAACATCCTTCATTACTTTAATATCAAAAGGGAATTCATAGTATTGATTAAATGTTCTGTTAACCATACAGAACTTTTTCATGAGGTAACAATGCATTAACAAGAAGTTGGGGTGAACAAAATCAAAAATAAAAAAATTGCTTTGACACCATCAAGAAGTGAAAATAAATAAATAAATGAACGAATAAGTAAGCCATTAGACAGATGATGGAAAAAATAATAATTTAATTTACTAAATAATGGCGATGATTATGATAATCATTATGAATAAATGGTTATGATAAATAAATGAAATAGTTATGAGTATTCATGTGTATTAAGTCTATGTGGCATGCCACTAGGTGTTTAAGCAGAGTCCAGAAACTGGGTCTGGTCCTCTACAGGTTAAACTAGTTCAGCCAAAAGGAGCTAGGAAGTATAACGTAGATGTGGCATAGGTGTGAGATTATTATTTTTTGCATGGTGTTTTTGGAACAGTGTTGGAAAAAACGATTTGGAAATGGTATCAGGCTGGGAAAATGTTGAATTTGGTAGATGAGGGTTGATACTGAATAGTAAGGGAAATGGAGAAAAAAGAATGCACTGTTGTAACTACAGTTTTAAAGATCAAGCAGATTATAAATGTTTTTTTTTTCTTTGTTCAGGTACAATTGAAGCATTTGAAATTTTACTCACTTACAAATCTTAATTGAACTCATTACAGTAAAAGAAAATAGATGATTGTGTCATTTGGTAATCAGATAATAATGTCAATCGTCACATCAGCAAAATCATTCCAAACAATTTATTAGTTCATCTCTAGACTTCATTAATGTGCACACCAAAGAATTCATTTATATATATTAAAAAATATGCACCTTTTCAAGTGTCACTGAAAAATGATAAATTTTAACATTTCAAATGATGGTCACTTTTTCAATCTCCAGACCCTAGTAGCCCATAAGGACAGGCAGCAGCTTCAGGCATATGGTCAGACATTAACTCCACATACCAAAGAAATGTATTATGCTCAAGATGCTTTGAGGCATTCTGTAAGTATTAGCCATGCCAGCAATGAAAACCTCTATTATTCATGAACAGAAAAATGATAATGAGTTTAAATAATATCCAGGCTGAACTGGCTTTTGTGACCATGTTTCAGCATAAGTAGTTCAGTCAAATTAAAAACATTGCTCATGACAAATGTAATGTTTAAGACGGGTTGAAGAGGCATCTTTAGGCCTTTTTGTACATATTAGGATATTTGGCGTGAGGACGTAAGGGAAGCCCAGTAATTTGGTGTAATACTATGCATTTATTTTCCAGTTGAGCACTTTTCAAGAAAAAGCTCACAACAGCGGCACTGATAATTTTGAGTTTGCTTCTTATCAATACTTTTGTGCATGCAAAATTATGTTTTGAATCATCTTTATCCATACTTGGGTGTCCTATTTTTTTCAGAACGTTAAGTGGAAAAATTGATGTCCATTGAGTGAAGCTGTCTCACAAATGGAAGCCAGTCCTGCGGAACTTAATGACAGTATATGGTGTCCCAAGTTTTCACCAAAACTAAGTGCAATATTGTGATATTTAATTGCATAAAGCATTCCTATTTTGTCTATCAATGGAGGGGGTTGTCTTCAGTATGCATTTATTTTTCATTTATATACAAGACAAAAAAATGTTAACTTAATAATTGCATATGCTATTCATTAACCTACTATGTTATAGGTGTAAGGATGAAGCATACATTTAAATGTTTTTTGGAATTGAGTGAGACATTTAAGGGGGAAGATAAAATTTTTGATTCCGTCTTATTCACCCTTCCACAGATAATGATGCGAATACACTGTTGACCCATTTCTGCTGGTTACGCTTGCATACCTACTTCCTGTAGGAAGACGTGTAGATGTGTCAATATGTCACCTACTTGGCAGTGCAACTATCTAGACCAGAATACAACACAAGATAGTTGGTGCACATGTGTATCATTATCTGTGGTAAGGTGGATCAACAGAGATGCCAATCCTAGCTTCTGTGAAAAAATAAATCATATACTAACATGCAAAGTTTACGTTTTTATTATTTTGTATCCTCCTGTTCAAAATAAAAAACACTATAGTGGATAAGCATAAAGAGTGAGTATATTAAATTAAGAAAAGCAAGGAGAAAATCCTGGATTAGATTCATTTAAAATACTCCACATGGACAATTAACTCAACTTGAAAATGTATATTTTGCTTCATTTATTAACCTGAATAAAACTATTTTAGTACATTAAAAATTTACATAATTATTTGCATCACTGTTTGAATTCCATAAATTGCTTCCCTTTTCTACAATTAAATAGCACCATGTTATCTTATCAAAAAGTTCACTTATTACATTTTGCATGATTATACATATGCAAAGGAGATCAAATGAGACAATTCTTATTTTTATGGTACAAAAATAATTTCTTCAATATATTTATATTAAAAAGCATTTGTTAGAAACAAAGTCACTGTGGTTTATCAACAATAAAACAAATAATTAAGAATTCAGCAGAGGTGTCATTTTCCCTTTGAATGTAAATAGCACCTATTGAGCAACCTTTCCAAGCTGAGCAACCTTTCCAAACTTGTTCAAAAGTTAGACTGAGAAACATCCATGACCTTCCAGCAGGAAAGAAAAGTGGGATCTCTAAGAAAAATGAAAAGAAAGGAATTGTGTTACGTAGCAAAGGTACATTCATGTTTTCTAAACATTTGTATTTTATCACAATCAAAATGCTGAATATCCTAGTCTAAGTGATAGATACAATACGAGTCGATGAGCTGTACGTGAAATATTACGAGTGTATTGGCGAGCCGCAGGCGAGACAATACACGAGTAATTTTCACGTACAGCTCGGCAACGAGTGATGTAACTGGCTTAAACCACGGCCTCTGATTGGCTATTACACTAGTAGTGCAACAGACCTTGGAACGCACTCGTACATGACGTGCTTGTATGTCGAATACAGCACGGCCGAGTCTTTTGTTCTACGCGCTAGCCGTGGTTTAAGGTTTAAAACATTCTAAGAAGAAAGTAATTTGCTCTGTGAGCAATGTGGGAGCTGTTTCTTAAAAAGATGGCAATATAACTATTAAGTTACCTTGCTTATGGAAATGTACTGGTCCTGTATATGTTGAAGCACTGGTACTTCATGCTGCTGACACAGCTCTAGCAGCAGGTCCACGTATATTAAACTGGTGCTCAAAGCAGTGAAGATCTTACGCTGGGAAACGAGGCTGAATATGTCACTTTCTATAATAGAAAAACCAATCAATTTAAGACAACGGACAATAGTGTTTTTCTTTGCAATTTTCTTTACAGAGAAATAAGAGTGGTTATGTATAAATGTGTGTGAGTGTAAAAGGGAGAGAAACAGAGATAAATGACATCATATTGAATTGAGACGTTATACAGCAATGCCCATGGTGAGCTTCTAATGTAATCTGTAAAAGAGAAATTACACTAAATTAAATAGTGTGTGATAGGTTCTAGAAGTGTGTTTGTGTGCGAGAGAGAGAGAGAGAGAATGAGAAGACAAGGGGTGTTTTGAGTAAACAGAAAGAGAAACTCTGGGAAATACCTGCAGAGTTTTCCATCAGTAAAGCTAGTGCATTCTGCAGTTCCCCTGAGACTGCTATGACTTGGCTGCTCACCCATTGCCTGTCTATATTTCTCATAGATTGAACAGATGCCTAGGAAAAAAACACACATCGTGTGTTAATTTAAAACTGAATTATTCCTTGAAAGATCCCTACTGGAGATAGCATTTTAATTAACCAATATACATTGAAAAAAACCTTGATATGAACTCCTCAACACCAACAAATTTTGCCTTTTTCAGAAATTTTCAAACTTCTTTAAAAAAAAAAAAAAGATCATACTGTTTTCCTGATGTACACACACCTTCAAGCATTTCTGTAATAACTTGCAAGTGATAACTTCTTCTGCATAAATGTTTGCCTCTTCCTGCTCAAAGAGTCCAGTCTTTGCAGTGTCCAGTGAAGCTAAGGCCTCTGTAAGTTGACCAGGTGAGTAGACAAGGGAGCAGAGGAACTGAAGGGCTGCGGAACTGTTCAAGAAAGTCTTGCACATGTACTGACACAACAGCTGGAAAGTCGACAATATATTTGTAAGATATCTGTTCCTTGTGTGTGTGTGTGTGTGCACATGTTGGTTTGTGTTTATTTACTAAAATATAAACAACACTGCCTAGTATATTGAGGAAAAATTAATGGCTGTTTGTTTGTAGATGTGTATATAATAGGATGTAAAAAAACTTACTTCAGACCAAATATTGGAAAAACTTTCTTCATGAGAAGATGAGATTTCAAAACTACCCAGTCACGACTCGTATATTAAAATCTCCCTTTACTGACCAATTTCTGTGACAGGACCTGATTTCACAAGTTTTTCCTTCAATATTGGGTCTAAAATAGACTTTGTTTGCACAAAACTCCAGTTAAAGCAATTTACTAACCCCTCTTGCTTGGTTGCAGTTGAGACAGGATGTCTGAAAAGAAGAAATATCATACAAACTTAGTGAAAATAAGCTTCAAAGTAAAAGTCAATTAAACGAAATTGTTTGATTAATTTTTCTCACAAATGTGCGGTCTTGTTACCACCATGATAATGTTACTAATGAAATTCATAAAATCAATATGATGTACAGGTTTTATACAAACTGCCTAACGTAATATACACTTATTCATAAAAATGTCAACACCAACAGACTGTAACAAAACAAACCTCTTTACATAAAATAGGTAAACAAACAAGTACTGACATCTGAAACCTTTTCCTACCTGAAATTTCTGTCCACAGAGTGTAAAGATATGTGATATCTGACCCACCATCTTGGAAACAGTCCATCTAATGTCTGTTTGCTCATCCTCCAGCAGATTTAAAATGGTCTTGAACAGTCTGAAATATAAATTCTACATGTTGAAATATTCAGGCTTTTGCAAAAGCAACATTTTCCCATCAAACCAATCAGGTACAGTATAACTGTACAATGTCTGATTTTATCTTTTTTTTATAAAAAATTTAATACCAGAGCATAATACAACTTTGAAATATATTTCACAAATCAATAGGAAGATGATACTTTAAACCTTGAAATACATTTTAAAACAATATAAGCAACTATGTAGGTTAATGACCAACTCACTTTGAAACACAAGTAAAATATTCATCTTCAGCTGCATTATAAACACCTGATCCAAACACTCTTGGTGCTGCTATATGTAAAGCTTTGGCTACTTCCATTCTGAAGTCTTCATTCTGTGTTGGTTGACTGTAGTCAAGCAGCATGTCTGTGAAGTCTTTTAAAATGCTGGAAATGCAGTGATCAAATTGTTCTTTATTCTAGAGAATGATAACAATGATATTGAAACCTAAAACTGACGTTTTCATTAATGTCTTTTAGATGAAAAACTGCTCTGGCACTTCTTAAAAGAATAACTAATGAAAGTAAGTTACACTTCAATTCTACCAACAACTAAAACAACTTGTATGCCTTGGAAAATGACCAAAATTCCAAAGGAAGGTTTAAATTATGCTCAATGAACCCATCAAAATATCAATAAACTACCATGCACCTTAGTGCCAATTCTTTGATTTCTATCTAAAACAAACAAGTTCACCTTCAGATCAAATGGATACCTTAAATTTTCTGTTTCCAGTCCCTGTACAACAATAATAGCCACCACTGGCAGCAGTTTTGCTCTGACAGTTGTCCCATATTTCTGTAATTGGACCAGTCTCTCCACTGTCCCCCCAGTATCCAGGACAGGCAGGGGTATGTGGTATGTACTATACAGGGAATGCAAGAGGTCCAGCAATATGGAAAGATTGGGCTGGTATCTTTCAACAAATAGCTGAGAGAATAGCAAACTCTGAAAAGTATGAAATCAAATTCATGATTAAGTCTATTAGATGAATTTCGTCCCATATAATTTTTTATATAATAAAATTAAATAAGGTGTGACACTGAAATTTCGTGAAGAGTGAAGAAGTCAATAATAATACTGGCAGTATAGAGACCATCAACTCTTAAAAACTAATGTGAGTATAGTAGATAAAAAGCTTGCATTAATCAACAAAGTTTGGCATATATCAATACTTTCTGATTACTGTTCATAATACCTGTATTTCAGACAGCAATGGCAAATCCAGACAACCAGTCTTTAACTCTTCTTGTAGCCACTCCAGGCTGGACCTTCTGATTTCCTGCTGCTGGCTACAAACACAATGTTGTATGCAGGTAAGAAGCTCTGTGAAGGTTTTCCTTGCTGCAGTGCACAGACTGAATCTCGTGGACACTTTTTCATACTGACCATGGCCAATCTAAAAAAAACATTGTAAATGGAATGACATGGAATTGTTCTTTCAATTCCATAACTTATATTGGTAAAATTCTGCACTTCACAGGCACTAAATTTTAAGAATCATCATATGTTAGGAAATAGGGTGTATTATATATGGGGTGCATTATTAAATGACATAACTAAAATATCTAAAAAGGAAAATAGTTCTTAATCATCATGATATATGTTGCCAAAAAGGAAAAACTGAAAAATTATATCATGCCACTTGTTAATAAATTATATTAAATTATTGATTAAAAATAGGACATTTCATTTAACCACCTGTAATATTACCTTGACCGGTCCACCTGTGTCCAACTCTCTGACCACATCAATGTCCACTGGTGTCTGCAGAAGCATCAAGATCTCCACATACTTAGCTTTGACTAGATCACATTGGTTTGACTGATCAAGTATCCATGATTTCTGTAGTAACTGTGTATTTAGTCTGGCTTTATCTTCAGGTCTGAAAATATTATTAAAGACACACAATAATTGTTTTTTACTTAGCAAAAATTTTACTGGAAATTTCAACACTTTTTTCTGTAACCACCATATCCAAATCCATTGACAAATTAAATCTACAAATCTTTTTTTGATTCTGCATTGTCAGCTTACCTAATTTCTGATCCACATGAAAGAAGCAGCTTCTCCATTAAAGTCAAACATCCATGCAATTGATTAAATTTACACTGGCCAATGTGTGCTGGGATATCTTGTATCAACACTTCCACTTGTTCCATCACTTCCTTTCTATCCACTAGTGGTATCATTGCCATAGCAACTAGTTTCCTCACAGCAAGTATGGGGTTCCCAAGTAACATACCAAGGGGGGCCCTGAGCTGCGACATGAATCTGAAACAGAGACAACAGATGTGGAGCATTTTTATATAATAAAAAAATTCCTAAGCCCACAGTTTATTCCTCAGCCCACAGATTCCTTATAGAACCACAGCCTTTTAATTCTTTCAGTTTCTTTCTTAATTCATGTTTTTTAAAGTCAAAATATAAAAGAACAGCAAAAAAGAACTTTTCTGATTAGAAATATTGTACATTTGCAAGTGAACCTCCAATCACCTTCTCTCTTCCTTTCCAACACTGGGACCCAGTTTAGCCAATATGGCCAACACGGGAAACAAACCAGGGTGAAGATGCAGACGATGTTGCTGTTGCCCTGTCACTGCAGCTTGAATCTGGTCCAAGAAGAACTGCCTCAGCTGTGGATACAGCGCAAAGAACTCCACCACAGATGTTGAGCTGGCAAAGGATGTGTTATTTTGAGATACCTTCTGTCCCATCATCCTTAGCACCAAATCACCTTAAAAAAGAGAGTAACAATTCAAAATGTAAAAATATTTAAAAGCTTAGATATATAACTATAAAAAATTTAAATCTAAAATAAATCTATTCTAAACATGCCATAAAATATCGTACTTCAACACCCATTTAATGTAAAAATTTTTGATGAATGCCTACTAGAAAAAATTTAATCTAAAATAAATCAATTCTAAACATGCCACAAAATATCATATTCCAACACCGATTTTCGGCTTTTTCAAAGTAAAACTTACTAAACAGCAGAGTGGCAGCATTTCTCACAGCCCAAGCAGGGGACGCCAGGGCTTCCACTGCCAGCATTAAGGCTCTACAGGCATATGACAACATGGTGGCGGCAAGGCCAGCATCCCTGAACAGAGCCTTCATGATATTCATGGCGTGGACTTGGGCCAGGTCCAGGCACTGGTCATAGTCTCCTGGAACCTCCTGACCAGCTATCTCCAGTAGTTTTATCATGGTGGAATGCAACATTGTGTCCTGATGGGAAAAATTCAAGACATCAAATAATTCCAGATTTTTTTTCACATAAGCTGAAAATTATTGTTTAAATTTTTGTGTTACTTGAGCCAATGTTTGGGCCCCAGAGTGTGAGAGTTATGCAGAGTTTACTGTATTTTAATGTAGATTATTAGTATGATTGATGATTAGCATTCAGCAAGAGTCCCCAAAGAGTTGGAGCAATCCACCTAGTATGAAAGTTTCATTTGGAACACACTCTTTTTCATCCTGATCAAATGTTTGCTTACCTTTCTCAGCTTGCTCTCAGCGGCCAGTATACACTGCACCAGACCAGGTAACCCTGCAGACTGTCTGCTCACTGAGGACGCCAATGTTCTGTTGCTACACACTGGCTTCAATGCCTTAGCAAAAAAAATGAAGGCTATATAATGGAGAAGATTTCCTTACACATGAAGCTTTGTGACTGTAGTATAAATTGACCTGCTTAACACACACAACTGCATAAATCAAATGTATTTAAATAGGAATTAGAACATGCAGATTTGTTATCCATCCATAGGTGGATTTACATTCCATTTGAATTTTCATGAAATTCATTCATACTTAATAGCTCACCTCTTGCAGATGTTGGTTAGGGATTTGATTCAGAGTAATGTCATCACAGCTCATTAGCTTCTGACAATACTTTGAAAATCCTAAAAGGCAGGATTCAATAGCTCCCTGAAATAGATGAAGTAAAAAGCAAAATTGTCAGGACAGGAACTACAATTAATCCCTGTTACAAAAAGGCATACTTCTTGAAAATATTTGATAAGGTAGTTTGATGATGCAAGTTGGGCAATTTTCTATGCTTAAATAATCCTTCTCTGAACACATCCATAAATGTTTATTAAGTTCATAAGTAGAATTGTTTGTTCTTTGATCTCACTAATGTAATAATGTTAGTTTTAAAGGACATGTTCTTCATCGTATTGTGCTACATGATATCTGAAAATGTCTATACTCAAGAATAAAGTTAACATCCTTTAAAATGTAATTTTACCCATGGATAACACCTACCTTGTGTCGACACCTGGTGAGTACTTTCAGAAAGAGGTCGCCAATGATATGGACATCCTTTACAGTCAATACCCCACTAGTGCCATCTATATCAACATGGAAAACTTCCATTAACTTTCCACAAAGGACACAGCATTCCTAAAAGAAACCATCAATTCATATTTGTTTCTAAATCTAATTTTTTCTTCCAGATTTTAAACCTTGAACTGATCTTTTATATAGTTTTTCATTACCTCACGGCTTGTTAAAAACTATCTAATCCAATTCTATTAAAAACAACAAAAAATTATCACAACATACAAAGGGTCATACATAGGAAAACTTTCAAATTAGAGTTCTTTCTAAATCTGACCTTAATATTTAGCCAACACCAGGCTAGTATTATTTGGTGCTCAGCAGACAGAGCAGGATCTTCCTCTCCACCATCCTCTGTGCCTGCTGCTTTCTCTATAGCAGTTCCCATTTCAGCAAAAGAGGGAGCCACATCTGCAAAACAAAACAAAAAGGTGAAATACTTCAAATAAAAGTCAATTATTTGCAGAAAAGTGCAAAAAAGCTAATGAAAATATTTGTCCAATAACAATAAAAGTAAAATAAAGGTATGTTAGTCCGTTAATTTTATTGCACTCAGCAAGAGTCCCCATGAAGTGCAGTACCTAGATTCATTGTGAATGCACCCTATCCTATATAAAATAAGGATGTAATAAGCATCTCCTACCTTCATTTTGGGTGTCCCCAGAGAGCACCTGTAACATCCTCTGTACCAGGTCTGCACACAGCACTATCACTTTCTCTGCCAGTACATGTATCATGGCAGTGTCACCCTCATACAGGTTCTCTGTCTCTGTGATACACCTACCCAGGGCATGGACCAACCCTGCAAAATTATCAAATATATATCATAACATAAATAAAACAGTTGATAAAATGCTGAGATAATTCTTAAAAGTTATTACTACTATTATTATCTGCTTTAAAGCCTCTTAAAGATACAAAGTAACATGCTTCTCTAATTTTTTATTTGTCATTGTAAAATAATGGATATTACACTTTGTAACCAAGTGATAAATAAAAAAAAATTAATAAAAAAACTTACAAAATACCAGTTACAGCCAGTGAACATCTGAGAAAAATTGCACATTTAGTACCTCTTAAAACTTAGCCACCTGAGCATATGCATGTTTCAGATTTCACAAATAAAACATCAAATTGGTAATTTATTTCTACTCTAATTAGTCCATACCATGTGCGGGGAAGTCCTTGGCTGCTTGCAGGACATCTCTCCTTTCAACATCCATGCAGTGTTTTATCTTCTCCATCAACAAGTTCAAGAAGAACATGGCTGCCTCCGTGGCTCCCCTGGCTTCTGTGATATCTGCTACGCCACTCAAATCCTTCACATGGTAGACTTTCCTCTGACTAAGGACAAAACTGTGAGGAAAGGAATAAAGCAAAAAGAAAGGCCAATGACCTGAAATTTCTCACATGAATTACTTATTCATATTCAGTAACATTGGTAACATTTTGAGTACCACCAACTTCTGTGTCCATGCATGTATCCTACTGCAGTGATATAAATATATGTATAAATACTTTGGAACAAAATCTTCACACCAAGCCATTAAATACCTGAATTACAGTCTTTTAAATTCAGTACTTACTTTTGGAATACAATCTTTATATAAAGTGCTCCACTCTCAGAGTCAGAAGCTTTAGGGCTATTGCACAATACTAGTGCATGGTCAAGTATCTGTCCACCCATGTCCAATTTCTCTGTATCCTGCAGTCTATCTCTGTGGGTAAAATACCTGTGGACAAGTGAGGCTGCAAGTTCTCTGATCTACAAGGAGAAAAAAATCACTAGTTTTTTTACATTTCTATGCATATTTCAGTCACTTGATGGATTTTTTGCTCTGACTCATAATCCTTTATTTTCAAGAAAGTGTTGTAAAATATCTTAATTGTTAATTCAGCAAATATTTAAGATATTACTTGTCCCTGCATTTCAAATTTTATTAAGTATTCCTTTATTTGCTTTTGAAAAAATTTTCCTTGGGGATTCCAAATCTCTACATTTTATTTACCTCATTGCTGCCATCTTCAATACACTGGAGGATGGCACAGTGACTTTCTCTTGTGAACCACTGCCATTTTTGCTGCCTGTTTGCTGCCTGGAGCAGCTTCACAGTTCCCTCTGGAGGAAATAAGGAGGAAACACAATGAATTTAGTACTATGAATCCACCATGAATCATATCATCCTTTTTAATTGCTTTTATTAAAGCACTTTTAAACAGTACACTTTTATCTTCTCTGACAATACTGATACTTCTAAAGAAAGTAGACTTCCATGTAAATTTGACCATTTTTAATATTCATTTTAAAAGTCTGATCAGACTTCCATATGTTTTGGCCGCAATTAATCTATTTACAAGATAATCTTCTAGTCCTTACTTTGCTGTTCCTTTTAAATAATTAAATATTTTATGTAAACTAGGAACAATATAACACAGTGCAAGAAATATCAATACATTCAGAAGTACCTGGGATAAGTCCTTTTCTTCTATTTGATGTTGCACCAGAAACCAAGGTCTCAAAGACAACCCTGATTAGCTGTAGAGCAGTCACCCTTCTCTGGTAGCAGGAGGCTGGAAACAGTGATGAAACACAGAGCACCACCACCCAGTCCACAAAGTCTGAATTAATGAAAACACAGAAAAACAATCAAGTTAAAGGAAAATAGCATTAAAAAGAATGAACAATAGTTATTAATGAGTTTGGGTCATTTTTTTTCTGTTTGTGCTAAGTACTGGGAATAACACAACTCATGTTTCTGATATGCTTCTCTAAACAAACTATTAGCAGTAATAATAATAATGATGATGATGATGATGATGATGATGATAAAAATAAAATATAACCAGCGAGGAAAACAGATTCTAGACACCCAAAACAATTTTATAAATGGAAACAAAAAATACTGGTATTTTGAAACATTATATCAAAAAATGAGTGCGCAAAGTGTACAACAATTATATGAAGAAAGTTATAACATAGAACTGTTGAAAGGAAAAACATTAAAAAAACTCCCTCTTCAGAATTAATATGCAAGGTTACCTATGAGTGCGGTAAGTTCTGGAGATAATTGTCCAGTCTTGACCATACCAATAGCACTATCTCTCACTCTGACCATTAAATGGCGAAACTGTGTGATAAAACTTTGACGAAAAGATGGGGAATCCACATTCATGTTGCACAGTAAGAATCTCTGCAGTAGACATACATCAGACACAGAAGGTGAATCTTAAAATAAAAATAAAATTTCATGGTTATGCTATGTTCCCAGCTGATATTTTTATAATGTATCCGTCTTCTACAAACATTTCAATGATAATATGCCACAGTTATGGTACAAAAATGTAAATGCAGCAAATTTAAAGATAAATTTTTTTTCTAAAATACAGGACAGAACAAGGACATATAATTGCAAGAAACAACTAAATCAGTCATCAAAATTCAAAGACCTATTGATATGAATAGTCACACTAGTAAAAGTGGGCGTCACTAGTAAAACTTGTGTAGAATACACGTTATTGTGCCAAGTTGGTAACCTTTGAAATAGGGCTAAATGTGTACCTGCTTTCTTCTGTGAAGTGCACAAAAAACTCATTGCTTCTGCCCTTATGTCATCATCTAGATGGTGCAGACAGGCGACAAGAAGTGACTGGTCCTAAAGAAATGATATTTTATTTAGTTAGTTTAATTTTAATATTTATGATCTTATTGAAATATGTTTGTTTCATTCAATGAAATTAAAACAATGTAATGACATAACTTGCAGCCAAATTTTAATACAGATCAATTCATTGCAACATATTTTTTAAACAAAATAAAAATATCAATTTTGCATGCAATGACATAAAGTGGAAAATTGCCAAGTATTATTCAATATAAAGTCAGTAATATTCCCAGGTCAATACCAATTTCCTTCAAAGTAACATTTTGCTCAAAAATTTTCACCCCATGCAGAGTGCTGAACCCCCCACCGTCAAAATGAGGTCAAATTTTGATTGTTCATTTGACCTTCAAAAAAAGCCATCAACTATTGTAGCTCACAGTTTATAAAGCCAAAATTAAATTGACTGAAATATATATGCATGTTATCATCATCATTATGTAGTATCAATTTCATAATGAAGGCATTGTTGACTTAAGTAAAATTCTTACGTAGCATGGTTTAAGATCCAATGCTTTAGCAGTCTTTAGGATGGCTATCCATGCAAAAAGAAGCTCGCTTTTTCCATCATCAGGTACGTGTCTAATTTTTTGCTCAAAGTCCCCAAGGAGCAGTGTCAGAGAGGACGGGAGAATCAATAAGGTGTCTTTCAACCAGTAGTGCATTGTATTCAATCTCAAAGTCCTGAAAGATTGTGACAAAGAATTAACAAGTTAATGTTTATGCACACTGGGGAAAATACTAATGTCAACAATTTATGTGCAAGTAAAATATTAAATTCAATCACTACAGACATCAATATTATTTATTTCATTGGACAATGTATATCATAAATATGAAAAAATTTAGAATAGTACTTGGAAGTTATATTCTTACAAAAACGATGCAACATGTGACGGTGGACTTAACATTAGAAACCTAAAGCAAATGTATAAAACAATTAAAAAATACATTTGATAAAGACTTTAACAAAACATATTTCTTGTTTTTTAATCTACTGATCAGGGATAACATGTAATGTCATATTCTTTACTGCAGTTTAATAAATGATTGTGTCCATTCAAAATATGTTTTATAAAACATTTTGAAACCCCATTTTTATTTTGCCCAGTATATATAGACTATACTTACGAGTTGCTGCTCTCCAGTCCATTCATCAGTGTTTTTTGTAGTCCTTTTGACCACCACGTCACCATGGCAGCCTCTGGCATCTCTTTCCTAAAAAAAGTTTTCTAAATAACAACACATCTCATTTCTGTTTAAAGCAACATGTCTAAGATGGTAAAACAACAATATCACATTTTTTTTATCAGCAAGTTAACAACAAAGAAAATAGCAAATTTTATCTTTGTTTAAAAGCAACTTGTTTAAGAATATGAAACACCAATACCATACTATTTCTAAGAATAATATTTTGTTTAACTCATTTTCTTTTTAGAAACTGGGTTATCAGGTAAACCTTTTTAAACATAGGCACTACATCAAACCCACAATATAACAATGAAAATGAAGATATCTTCCTTAGACTAATATACCAATTGTGTACACTTACTTTGCTTGCTGTATAAGTTGTCTATAGGTTTCTCCACAGGCAGAGGCATAGTAATTACTGTGAAGAGCACTCAGTAGATGATGAGGTAAAGCAGGGTGCTCTTTTAGGGTCTACAAAAACAAATAAAACAACATATTCATAATTAGAAAAACAATCAGAGAGAACACACCTCAGCCAAGACAAATTATTAACTAGCAATTAACCATTAATTAATTAAGGGGTCACCACCAAAGTCTAATCACATTCTGACTGACCTATTCTGAAAATTTCATCCATGATGTTAATAGACAATTGGAGGAGAAAACATAATCTTCTTAACTTAATAAATAATAGCCTTCAAGAACTGACTAAATATGAAAGGGTGTAAATACATTTGGCATTTAATGAATCAAATTGCTTTTTCAAATGATTAATTGCAGCAATGTTATAGATGTTTGGAGTTTTTGTTGTAAAGTCACAAATACATTTTGCCTTAAAAAATCACCTGTTCGTATAATCAAATTGTGTATTTTAGATATTGCATTGCAATAAAACAAATCACTAAAAGGGTACCATTACCTTTCCTGCTCCATAATACTGAATGAGGCTGGACAAAAGCCTATATTTTCCCTTCATTTGCCATGACATTTCCATAAGCTGGGACAGCATCTTTGACAAAAACACAGAGTCATCTTCATCATGGTAACGACACTCACTGACATGAAGCTGAATCATGGTGGAAAACACAGCAGATGCTCTCTCGCTAACGCCATCTACAGGACTATCCCAGTGTTTCCATATGAGATCTAAAGTCTTTTGAACAACTTGTGACTCCTCAGCGAAAAGTCTGACGTGTAACTCACTGCCATGCTTGGCAAGCAGTCTGAAGGCCACACTATACCAGACATTCAGCACTTGGAATAGATGGTATAAATTCTGACCCTCTGACATTCCACATAACTGTACAAACAGGTACTCTATAAAGATGTATCTTTTGTGGCCCACCAGTTTATCACATGTTGGTTCTGCAAGTAGTTGGAGTTTTGCTGACTGAAGTATACCACTTAAGAAAGCAATGTGTCCAAAAGAGAAGTTATATACATTTTGGCTTTCAGTATCCCGATTTGTTTGACTACCAGACATTTCCTTGAATGTACCACATGTCCCCAAGTCCAGCTGGTTTACAGCAGCTAAAATATATGAGAAATAGCACTTGTTGGGAAAATATTAAAGATATACTATCTGAATTTGAAATAGTCCCAAAGTGATAATTTCTATGTCTACATGTCCTGCAAAGCTACTTATCTTTCCCCAATTCATACTTTAAAAAAATAGGCAAAATTGCTATTATTTGGAAAATCTGATTCAGCAGGAAAATCCCATAAGGGTAACTTTTAAGAAGAAAAAAGATCCCTAACTACGGGTCTGATATGAAAATATATATTGTAATTAAGCACAGTTTAAAAAGGAATGCCTCAAAACATGACAGTTATTAGTAGAAATGCCCTTACTCATGTTTTCCAGTACATTTTTTATTGTTTCCACTGTGTTGTCTGCCACAAATGTAGTAAAAAACTTGGCCAGTGCTATACCTGCTAGTAATGTGCAGTCCGCATTAAGATTCTGAAATAATAACAATAAATATATATTGATCTGGTCACCAAATTTTTCTGTAAATCAACAAACGAAATCTGCATAGAAGTCACATTAAAAACCTTAACTTAACTCTTTGTGTTGCAAATGAAAAGTTTTAACCTGAGAAATGATATGCATTTTTGGTTTCACTAAGATGAACACTTGTCAGATATTTTAACACCAAAAGGTTAGGAAAAAATTCCATTGAATTTAATCAAAGTTGCTCTCTTTTCCATCCATATCTATACAAGAAATAAACAACAAACAAACCTTATTTAACAATAAGCTGACTAAAGTTGAGAGAATTGACTGCAGTACAGATGTGTCTGCTGTAGTAACATACTTCAACACAGCGTTTGGCATGAATTGAAAAATCTGCAAAGTCACCTGAAATACAAAAGCAACTGTCATTTTTTTATTTCTATATCACAAGGCTAGTACTTTACAACTAAATGTCATTGGTGTATGATACTTAACTGCACCAAATACAAATGTTAGATCACAATGGGTCTATTATTTATATCCTTGAACAGATGCATGAATTTTTGCTTGATTTTTATCTGGATATCAAACTTGATGCTGACTGTCTGAGTCCAATAAGCATGCACAAGTTAAGGTTTGAAAATGAATAAACATCAGGCCTGAAGATCAGAGTATAATTACCATAACATTAAACAAAAACAGTATTATAAATTTATAATTAAATAATATAAAAATAAATATAGAATTAAACCTATTTACTATATATAAAAAAATTCTAGGCAAGTATACCTTTACTCCACTATGAATAAGGTCTTGATCCAAGTCATTAGTGCCTTCTTTTATACTGGAATCAGCACTGGGTCCTAATGTCCCTCTTACAGCCACAAGAAGCTGTACAAATTGCACATCGAAAACATTTCTGACTCCAGCACAGTGTTCTATAAGACTTGACACTGAAATAAAAAAAAAAAACCTAGAGGACAGTTGGAGGGGACATATATGTGTCAAGAACATGTAAGCAATTTTGAAAATAGACTGACAAGTTTAACAGCAAGTGAAAGAGAAAGGGAGTGGAGGAGAAGATTGTAACTTACATTTCAAAAGATCTGCTTTCCCTAGGGGTTTCTGGAGAAATATTGATGCAATATCAACCAGATCACCCAGTGGCACACTCTTACTTTCTGATGAGGATTGACTGTCAAACTCCTTGAAAATCTACAAACAAAATTATCCAATAAAGTTCAATAAATCATTTCACTAGCATTTTTTTTTCTTTCAAGATGTGGTCATTTCAATACTGATCAAAACCATGAAAGTTATTTTTTGAAAAAACATAACAATTCTACATTACAAGGCAACAACAGATAAAATATCTTTAAAAAGAAATAATTCAATCTCATAACCTCACAGTAAAGTTATACATGAATATGCAAAAAAAAAGTTTTACAATAAAACCAAGGAAATGTTTCAAACACCTCTCACCTTCTCCCACTTCTTGTTGATCCTTGAATTGTAAGAGACTTTAAAATATGTCTGAACAACTTGATACAAAAGGTCCCTGTTTACTCTCTGCCTGAGAAGTCTGCTTAGATCATCAAGCAATTTTCCAATGGTCTTTTCACTAGTAAGAAAAAACTCAGACATAAATCCAATCTAAAGTTAAAGTTAATATTTCATCTTTGTTAATTTATCAGTTATTCTTTCAAATTCAATAGAAGATGTCGAGGTTAACTCTTAAGTTCAACGTAAACCCTATATGCTTGAGCCTGATTATTGTTATCCTGGTCCTGAATCTTATCTGTCTACTCTTTATTAGTTTTACATAAAGTGCACTGCTTTCTCGGTGAAGACGTGAGCACTACCTGCCAAGGAGACTATCGGTTAACTGTTCCCAGTGAAGATACCTCCCCCCCCCCCCCAATCAGGGGGACATGTTCAAACACAAACACAGTAAAGATTACCTAAATTTGGATTCAGAAGTGTGCAAAATTTCCTCCAGAAGAACATGTACATTATCACATGTACGTGGATTCTCTAGGATGTTCATCGTAACACTATCACCAAATCAAGACGGCACTAAAGTCTATTTTTTTCATCACACTGACGAAAGACTTTAGTCAACTGGGCGCATCCATGTTTGAACTTTCCCGGATGTATGCTGATCTATATCCGCTATTCTTATTTCAAAAATATCAAAACTTTGGATAAATAGATATAATTCATAACTAATTTTATATAATAATTATAGAAAATATATTTATTTGCTTTTGATTGTGTCAAAATGAATATAAATTCTGCCTTGAGTAAACTTAATCCATATTAAATATATTGTATGTGTTAGAGGTTAGGGCAGAGTGTAGCCTAGTTTCAAAGCGAGGCTACGCGACTTGTGTTCTGTATTGAGGTTGGAATTTCAAGAATTTCAGTGGATTTTATCTACACCGTAGTCATAAATTTGGATGTAACAGACGATATTAGAAGATCTGAACATAGGAAGGGTAGTTCCAAGGGTAAGTGTATATTTGTCGTGCTTCAATATTGTGTTTAATAGAGAAAAATGTCTTAGAGTTTTCAAAAGTCACTCACAAGTCGGCTTCTGCTTCATTGAAATATGAGACACTTGCTCTAGTCGCTGTGCAAAATTTAGTATCGAAGTTTGAGTAGTTATGTTTCTCGTCTTTGTTTTAAAACGCGTGAAATTTATTTGTTAATGGTAGGGTATTGGCAGGTGTTTTTATAAGGAACGAAAGTGGAAAATGACTTCAAATTTACCATTGACGCTGTTGACGCGCAGTCTTCTTTGTGAAGTGTTGCCAACAAATTCACTGATGCATTTAATCAGCCGTGCGTTTGTCATTGGCTTTGTTTAAACATGATCATGTTTGGTCTTTTAAAATGGTCATTGCAATATTTTGGTCATGACATTGAAAAGTGTTAATGATATAATTTGATGTGTAATATTTTTATGTGTCGAAATGTGCTGCATGTTTGTTGGATTATTTATTAAATACTATTTGAACTATTTGTATATACAAATACAATCATTTCTCATTTATTTTGATTCATGAACCTTACTTTAGTATTACAAATAATGCATATTGGAAATCTGTTCCGCATACCATGTCATTCCTATGAGTGACATTGAAATGGTAATAACATTAGTCATAAATTGACATATCCTCAACAATAGTTGAATGCCTATGAGATTGAGTTTGTATCCTTTCATAGTTGAACTAAGTCTTACTGAGAACATATATGAACTTAAAAAACACAGGCTAGGTAAGAGATAATTCAGTTCTTGAAAAAGAAGTTGCCTTCTTCCTGTTCGTAAATCTGATTCCCTGGGCAAAAGCATACCAGCCGCCCACGTGAAACAGCAAACAAAGCCCCCGCAAGCATTATATCAAAATACTGAATTGATCAGGTCAAGCTTAAGACATTGAATGGTGGCTCATTCCTCTTTCTTAAACCATTGGTATGGCTCACTGAAACTGGCTAATGTAAACAAATAATGGTAACAAATGTAGGCTTACTCCTTAGTAAAATATGTTTTCACTATGACACTGCGGCTAATACAGTTGGTGGTAATATATATATACCACAGAAATAACTGGGCGATGTGTCATATGAAGATTGAGCTGTTAAAATTATTTGGTTTGGAGTTTTTTCTGGACATGTGGCTGGTTATCCAGCTGAGTGGATGATAAATTTGGATAATTTGCCCTGCTTTTTGACAAGTCGGAAAAAATTACATATGATATAGCTGGATTTATAAACTTTCATTGTAATCATATCTTTTGTTCCTTTAAAAAGGCAAAGAGACTAATACTATATTCAGGTTTTATATTCCACTTGATTTAGTGAGAAAATAATTACCATCATAAGTATATCCATCAGATATTGAAAAAGAAAATCTTTAACTTAAAAAGTTTTTTTTATTCAGTCGTCATGCAGTATTAGGTCTCTCCACACAATTTTGACGGTGCATATTTCTTGAACTTGATTTGTTTCAAATAAATTCTTTAAAACATTGAATTTAGCACAAAAAGTTTCTTTAACATGACAAATTAAAGATGGACATTTCACACGTGTCCTTTAAAATGTTAAAATGCCAGGTGACATTATAACACACTCAGACGGTCTGATTAACCCTTTAACCACAGGAATGAAGTAATAACTTAATACAATAATATACTCAGCCATTTAATATGTATATAGCATATGTAAAAGATTATTTATCAAGATAGTCTTATCTTCAACCTTAAGTGTTGGTGTCTGGCTTATGAAAACAGGTGTCAGCTTGAATCATAACACGAGAACTTTTCATATTTTTACATTTATATATATTATAATTGAGTGGTCCATTTATATGTTTATAGTGGGTGAGATACCTGCACTGCATTCCACAGTGTTAAGGAAGTGCCTCATTTCTTGTACAGATCGGTTTAGGAAGAAGAATGTCAGTGGTTGACCTGGTCAATCCAATTAGGCATATACTTGCTGTTTGGACAGTGCAGTTTATCTGTCACAAAGAAAAAGGGTGGACAAAAGATGTCAGTGGACACCAGGCAAGGGGCTAACAAATAATTGAAAATGATATGGACATGAAATACCATGATGTGTCTGACCGAATGACAGAGAAAAAAAATCCGAATGCTTATTTTTAAAGTACTTAAAAGTAAATCATTGTGACATATTGACCTGATTTAATTTTATTTAAGCTGCCCCTACACCAGCACTCCCTTTTTTTCAGAATAAATTCTTGACCTTTTCTACTAGGAACCACGGAGGATTGCACTCTGGGTTTGTACAGTTGGAACGGTATCTACATTGTGTAAAACAAAAGGATTATATATCAAATCTCTGTCCTTTGAACTTTATTACCAATGTGTTAACCCTCTGTATTGTATGGTCTTCAGGAACAGAAATGAATGGAGAGAACCTGTGATCATGGGCTGAGTACACAGGCAAGAGGAAGAGGAAAGCCTATGGAAGAGAAAGTTTAAGGAGAGAAGTAAGCATCTCTCTCTCTCTCTCTCCCTCTCTCTCTCTCATCTCTTCTAAGTTTCTGTTATTCTGTTTAGACATTACTTCTCAATGATAACATATTAAGTATTATAGATATCCATATTGTTTTTTAGTTGGAGGAAAAGGAGTTGTAGAGCATAGGTTTGTTTCATAAATTGCAGAGTTACAACATTTCATATTAATTCTGCTGCTTTAGACACTGAATGTATTACCCCTATTTTAATTAATTGTAAAACTTGAAATGTTTTTAAATTTGTTTTTAATGCCTGTGTGATTATAGAAAGGGAGTGACTTGGGTTCTCCCTAGTAATGTTGCTGCAGTGACTTTTTGAAATCTAAGACAAATGAAGAAAGTACTAGTACATGTTATGCAGAACGAAGTACCCTTTTTTCCTTTAAAAAAACGGGCACAGTTCTTCATGTGGGACATATCTTACAGGCCATTAGAGTTGACATAAGTGCACTTAGTGTGTGTATTAACACAAGGCAATGAAGGCCAAGAATAATGAAGTGAACTTGGGAGGCAAATGTTTGATAAATACTCAGGAATTTCAGGAACCTGGAAGGATGTTGGTCAGGACGTAATTACACTATTTAAAACACCCATGTTTCCTATCTCATAATAGTGATAAAGAACTTAGGGTCAATGATGGGCAGTAGAGATAGCAAGCATTCCATTGTCCGATAATTACTCATTTCTCTTCTAGATGGATGATAAGATGAGTGGAATAGCCACTGGGTCAGTTTGATGGGTGGACAGGCCCATTTTACTGCCCATCTCAGCATCACTACAGCTATAATTTAGGTATTCTTTTAACATACTCCATCAACTTAAACAGATTTTTTCATTTAAGAAACACTGTCACATGTGGTAACCTGCAGCAGTGTTACTGGGTTAGTGTTAGTGGTAGTGCTGAAATAGTGTTTATGATTCTGCATGACTAGGAGGAGTGTATGTAGCCCAGTGAATGAGGCTGTCTTAACTGGCTAGACTAAACATTAAAGAAAGACCTTGGTTGGTTTTCATTCAGAACAGTTTTTATCCATACTGTTTTAGTTCATAGTGTAGAATGGATACATTGTATTGTTCTGCCTCTTCCCCCCCCCCCCCATAAGCCCCCTCCCTTGCTCACTTGTAAATATTAGTAATTACTTTCATCCACTATTCATGTTTTGGACTACTTTATTCTAAAATATTAGATTGCAATCAAGTGATTGCTTCATACAAGTTTTCTTTTAATCTCCAGCCTGAAAAGCACTTTATAGAATTTGTTAAGTATGAAGGTATGTGCTATAAGCTGAGTGTTTGTGTTGTTTACTACATGTTTCTGACCAGAATGACAACATCAGGCGTGACAAATGGATTAAGGCAAGGAGTTCTATGTTGGCTGATAGCTCCCGATTTTATCTCTCGCCATTTGTCAGAATTTGTATTTTAAGACAACTGTTTCCTTTATAGTCAAATACAACCTCAAGATGTGTGATAAATTGGGAAGAAGATGCTATTTATGTTTAGCTGAAAAATTAGTGTCTGAACACATAAACATGATTGTTTTCTGAAATGTAAGTCTTGATTGGAGGGCATAAGGGCAAATGAAAACTGTTTGAAGTCATGATTTTCTGTAAAAAGAAAAAAATGACCATAAAAAGAGAACATATTTTATGTGGTTGAAAAATTTAGCATAAATGTTCAGATTGACTTTTCATGGAGGAATAAGTGGATTAAATTTTAGGTAACTTGTATAAAAAGCATTTGAAGCTGATAAAAAGATGTCTGTTTGTATCTTATTCAATACAGATTTGTTTTAGAGAAAAATCTTTGCTGTAGTTTTTTTTTTTCAATTGGAGATGCATGAACGGAATTTATAGCTCTTTTCTCAATTGAAGAGATGAAAGAGTCAAGCCATTAGTGAATCTGGCTACTGGGCAAAAAGAAAAAAAACTTCTTAGTTAAGGCAGCTAAGCTATAAGCAGGAAAACTTTTTTTCTATCCTGACATTTGGCTTGGATGAAAGTTAAGCTGGCATGATGTGCCCTAATCACATTCTCCGAATTTACAACTGTAGCTTAACCCATGAAGAATTGAGGGCATTTGGTAGAATTGCAAGTAAAAACAACCAACTGCCACCTGTAATTTCCAACAGAAGTGGGTGTCTTTCACAGAACCAGACACTATGGAGTTTACCCCAGTTAAGAGTGCAGTTCAGTTGAAGTTTATTACTTCTGTGAATTACAGTTATGTGAATTGCTGCTGTAGGTTTTAAGCTTTTATCATTGAATAATACTTCTACAGTTGTTGTGTAGTCAAATAAAAGTTAGGCGTCTTGATATACTTTTAGCGTCCTGATAAAAGTTTATATTAATAGCTTTTACTTACCAGGGGGACCAGTTTCACAGAAGAAACTAAACTGAAAGTTGGTCTCATCTCAACCAAAATGGCAATTATTCTACTTACAGGGACTAACTCTTGGGTCTAGAACATTAGCCATTTTTGCTCTGTATAATGAAACAATCATGATATTTCATTTAATGAAACCTCCACTAGATTATCATGGGTTCATTTAAGTTTGAAAGTTTTCGTCAATTTTCCTTGTCTAGTTCTTTTTGAAAGTAGCCGAAAGGAGAGCATGTGGCTTGGCTGAGACTCAGTTGAAAGCAACATGCGGCGCTTGTTCATGTTTTAGGTTACACAATAACATTTCAAGTGTGTACTCATGCCCGTAGGATGAAATTCTTCTTCTTCATTTTTATGACTGTTTTATGGACATTTATGGAAAATTGTTTTTGTAACCTGTTTAAAGAGCAAGCTGTGGTTCAGCTGAGAGTGACTGAGCAATGTAGCCCCCAAATTCCACATTTTGATATAGCTTTTGATCAAAGCAAGCTTTATAAATTGTGTTATGTTTGTGATCAATATATTTGTTTAAGAGATGAGGGAAATTAAAAGTTTATTTGAATTTTATAGTCACACAAGTAATATATAACAGAAGAATTAGAAGATATCTGATCATAGACATCTGACAAATACACCGCTGAAGCAGTGATAAAATACATGAAATATCTGCACTTGGTAACACATCCTATCTGCCCTCCTAATGTTATAAAGTTCCTGATTTCATTTAAGAAAAATTGGTCATCTGCTGTATGGCATATTTCATTGTCCAGAGCCTCGTCTAAGAGAGTAGCAGGAGTGTGTAAGAGAGTACCAGGAGTGTGCCTCAAGTCAGAGTGAACAAAGACGATTCATCTGCCACCTGCCCCATAGATTAACTGCCTAATCAAACAATTAATCCAGGATCAGGGGCTGTAAATCCACAATTACATAATGTTACACAGCTACATTGTAAAGTACATTCCTAGGATAGAAAGGGAGAGACATGGCCTATGTATATTTGCTGTTTCATGTAAATTCAGTAGAATGTATTTAGAGTAGAGCTTTATGACAGGGGGGCAGACAGGTCCTAAGTCATTGTGTATGTGTGGAGGAGTCAGCTGTTCTTGATGGGCCATCTGTTCTTTGCATACCAGACAGTGGGGGCGAGGATAGGGGAATAACAGTGTAATATAAAGAGTGTTCTTGGCTAGCCTATCTGGACTCCTCATTATGAGAAATCTGTTGCCATTTTTAGATTCTTAGTGGATTTTGATGTAGAGAAGGCTTTTGGATTTAGATTTTATTTTGCTGTAAAACATAATGTAAGGAGTGCTTTTTATAGGAGAAATGATCAGTCTCATGTTAATAATTTTATTGCCCTTTTTGGAATCTTTGTTTTATTTTGTAAATATAAGAATTTTGACATTTTAGCTTTTTCTTCCTGACAAAATAACTCCCGTAAAGAGCATAAAGAACTCTCGTCTTGACTTCTCATTATAATAAATATATGGCCCATTTTTAGAGGCTTTGTAGGTTTTCAAGCGAAGAAAACTTTTAGTGTCCTATTTAACTCTTCATCATGACGACATTAAGCCTATTGGGCTTTTAAATGTTATGTTTAAGTGGTCCTGATAAAAGACAGACATATGACAGTTCCAGCTCAGACCATTTATCAGATAGGTATCCATCCACTTTGAATGGAATTGTATTCATTGACTCTCTGTGTTACATGTTGTACAAAAGGTGTGTGCCTTAAGTCCTTTGGTCCATGTCCGTCCTTGGGCGGTTTATTCAGGTGCGTGTTTTACCGTCTTAAGATGTAGACATGTCTGCGTTAATTTTTTTAAAAACAACCACTGCATTTTTGTGTTTTTTTAATTCAAGGTTGTGATTTAAATTTATGAAGTTATCAAAATAGGGTAGTTGTTTTGCACTTGTTCTATATAGAAGCCTATATATTAAAGTGCATTGTGTAATATTATATGCAAACTATTTTTAGGTTGCCCACATAAAGTGGTCCTTGAAAGCACTTTTGTCTTATAGGAATTCTATGCTAATACCAACATTCTTTCTATTTATAATAAACTCTTAAAATAACCAAAAGATAAGGTTATCCGGGGTTATTTGCACGTGAATACACGTTAGTCATTTTTCAATGGAGCACATCGAAGAAAGAGGAAAGGTTATTGACTGTTACACTGCCTGGTGTTTACCAGGTCTGTGTACAGGGTCACATTCTTAACATAACTTTGGTCCAAGGGATGGTCACTTTAACTCACTGAAGAATGGTCTACCTATATTAACTGGGAAAAGGACACGTTGGTAGTTGTCTTGAATAACAGTTTGCTTCTTTTGTACGATCACAGTATTTCTCTCTACAAAGATTGTTTGACATTTGCGGTATTGTTGAGAAATACTTAGAGTTATAGATGAATGTAGGGGGAACAAAGTCAGGTTGGTAATGTAGATGTGTATCAGGGTGGCCATTGCGGGTTGTAATTGCTGGAAACATGAATGGGTCAAATACTTGAATAGTTCTCCCTGCATGTTGTCATCAGAAGAGTCACGGCATTGGACCTATTTTAGGAATATGACTGTATTGAATTTTTATGGAAAAATATGAAGTTTTCCTTCAAGCTCCCCCCCCCCCCTGCAACTGTCTAAATAATAAAATAAAATACTTGTTCAGAATAGAACTATAGTAAATGTTATGTACTAGTATTATATAAGAAGTGTTTAATTGAAGTATTTAATTTCAATGTGATAAACATTTTTGTGTCCATTGTCTTAAACTGTGAAATCATAGTAGAAGTTATGTTTAAAGACCAATAGATATCTGTGACATTGATATTGGAGTTTTATGTAAGAAGTGCTAAATTACTACTGGAAGGCAATTTTTGAACCTCAAAAGATGAGAGGAGTGGCTTGTCAAATTTTTGGTATAGACAGCTGGCAAAATCCATTCCATAATGTTAACAGTATGTCACATGTATTATCAAATGCATCATATGACTTAATGTCTCACATAATTGGCATAATTAAAACCTGGGCCCTGAAATTCCTCAGTCAACCCTTCCTTTATTACACACCAGCTTGGGAAGTCAGAGGGGGCTGGGATAGGTGTACATGCCTTATGGCAAGCCCCCATGTGGACCGGCACATACCCACACATATACAGGGCCCTGTTGGGTAGTCTATAATGTGCATATGGAACAGCATCTTATCTGTTTGCGGCATCTAAGAGTGGACGCTTAACATTCCGTGACCATTGGAGCAAAAAGACGGGCAGGTTGGCAAGGTGTGTTGTCATGAAATGTGGGCGGTCACATGACTCTTCAGGAGAGAGGGACGGCAAATGGGGTATTAAGGTATATAATTATTTAGAGGAAAAACAGGAAGACCTTGATCATTTAATATGAGAGGACTTAATGAGGTACCGACAGATAAGACTATCGCTGCCTAATGTCTTAATGGTTTTAGGAAAGGAGAAAATACTGATTTCAAAGGAGAAAGACTGGAATATTAAACCCTGAAGAAATGATGAGATCAAATGAAATGATAATGAAAAGAATTTACAGATATGGTCAGCCCCTTTTCAGCACTCTTGTTGTCCCTGTTTGTTGGAATTAATTCAAAAGATTTGCTGTTTATGTCCACGCTGATACTATCACAAAGCAATCATGAACTGAACGGAGGTTTTATCTGAAGGTGGCTTTGAAATGTGAGAATATTTGAAATTTTAGTGAGGGGAAACAGTTATACAGAGATAAGGGGTAGGAGTGATTGGTCCACGGTTTTCCTTTTGTACCTTCTGCTGTAGCACATGCCACGGCCCAAATGAAGTGGAAATGTTGTAAAGTAATAATCAGATTAGTATCTTACTTCAAGAACTTCAGAAGCGATGGATTATTTCCAACAGTCCATACCAATATCTAAGAGATTTTAAGATTTGAGAAATTGTGTTGATTGAAATCTCATTCTGCTTCAGCCTGTGAAATAGATTGGACTTTAATACAATTTACTAAATTAAGGGAAAAAAAAGAGACTAAGTTCCTATTTTTGTGCAGTTTGAAAATTAGGTTGAAATGAATCAGTTTGTTATTTCATCTTTGGACTAGATGCTAACAATCATTTGTTTAAGGCATGTTTATGTGTATTTTAATTATCAGCCCCGCAGGAGAGTTTTATTTGGGCTAGAAGAATATTTTATGGGGTTTGAAATGACAAATAGCATTCCAGGCGTCCACTAGTGCAGGGAATATTGAAAAGATGGAGATTGCTCACATTTGAAAAGCAACAAGGATAACTGTCAGGCTAATAATTAGATATGTGTAATTTGGATCGCCACAGCTGTGTGATTGAACAGGGGGAACAAAGACTTTTCAAATACTGGAGGAGAATTTGGGTATTGCATTTCACCAGCCCGTGGAAAGTGTAGCGCAAGTTGGCATGTGTCATTGATTTAAAAATCAGGTCAACACATACACTGGAGTACTGATACTTGTGCTATGGCTTACATGTTTGCTGGGTTTTTTTTTGTTTTTTTTAGGGGGGGATGGGAAAATTCAGCCTCTTTCATTATTATTCCCATTCAATAGCAGAAATGGGTAGAATTTGATATCTAGGATTTGTTTGAGATCAGACCATGCAGACAGGTGCTTGAAAGGTTGATCAGTAGTATTGGACTTTTTCCAGATTTTTTTTTTCTTCATTTTTTGCAGTGATGTATTTAAGAGGAATTTTATGCATCAGTTATTGTGGAGTTCCTTGGCTTTTGTTACATAGATGTTTTTTATGTTAAGATTGATCAAAAATTTTGTCAGAAGTTTTGAAAAGATTATTGTATGTATGCTGTTATAAGTTGGGAATATCTTTCCCAAGTTCAAAACTTTATTTCTCAAAAGGTTTTTAATTTCTTGATAATAAGTTTTCAAAAGTGAGTTTTATTGAATGTTTTCCTTATCATGTTTTGTGTTCAAAAAAACTTTAATGAAATGAAATTACAAAACTTTATATTTTGATGTTGAAATTTTTCAGATCTTCCTGTCACGGTGTTGGTGTTGGAGATAATGAGGCAATCATTTCGCACCAACCAGAGCAGCGGGCCTGGGGCTGGGAAGAAGGTGGTCAATGTGGTGCTATTAAATAAAGAAGAATTAGAAATATATGTCGAGGTATGATTTGGATTTAATAATTTGATAATTGTGTGAAATTTAGTGCAGAAAATTCCACTTCATCCTCACAATAAATAAATTATTAAACATGGTGCTATTAAATAAAGAAGAATTAGAAATTTATGCTGAGGTATGATTTAGATTTAATAATTCAATTGAAATTTAGTACAAAAAGTTCCACTTTATCCCATTAAAAGGATAAATGTATGCTGAGGTAGATTTATAAGTGCATGAAATTTGGAGGGGGGATTCCATTTGATTTTTCTTCTTGATGTATTAAAATGATAAAAAAGAAATTTTGATTGTATAATTTTTTTAAATCTCGTAAATGATTTTATCACTGAATATTTATTTGCTTTTGATATTTTTTAGCTGTTTTGTGATAATTTCTTTTTTTCTTTATTTATTAATATTTTTAGAATTATGGCAATTCAGTTCCATTTACACATTTAAATACTCGTCTTTTTTTTCCAGCCTAAGGGTAAAGTGCAAGATGTCTTCAACCAAGTTTGTGAGTACCTCAGTCTAAGAGAAAATGAATACTTTGGATTGGCTCAACTAATAGGTGGGTTTCCACTTGCCAGCGTTATCTCTGCTGTTTTTGCACGTGGGCGGCCCTTTGCGACTGCTGCCATATAATTTGTGAGGTGGCATATTTTTATAAGTAGCAGGGGCCTCATGGGCAGGAATCTGAGATGTTGGAATTGTAACTTGGATATTTATACTGGATTATACTTAAACTTGGTTGCGTTCACAGCTGGATTAACTTAGCCTAGGAATAGATTTTTTGCCATTACTGGACAAGTTGATTTCTTAATATAGAAATTTGTAAATTTGGTCAGTGTTATAAGTGAGCCTCCAACTGGTTTAAATTATTCCTTTTGTGAACACACCTGATGAGCAGAGAGCTAAGGTCCAGATTTTCATCTTGAATTGGTTATGATAGTATGATTTTTTTTTATTTTTTGCATGCTTAAAGGGATAATAACTCTTCGTATGAGATCTATATTTCACAATAAAATCATTGTGAATAACTCATAGATATATAATATATTCTGTTTTACCACAAAAACGGCAGTTATAGCTATTTTACTGATATCTGAGCTTGACTTTAGACCACGTGACCTCCACTGATGGCTATACTCTGTTAAAATCTCTTAAGAGATTTTAACAAAAAACCAAACTTTTTAGAAAAAAACCAGGGACTAACTTTGAATGTAAAAATGGATTCATTAACCATTGGTAAGTATGGGAAAATTGTTGGTTACTCCAGGAAAATTCATTTTTTGGCTAAAACGAAGAGTTATTATCCCTTTAATATTGAGACCATATACTGATCTATCCTTGAAGGAAGCTAACATACAGAATTTAAGTACCAAGTTAAAAACTTCGATCAATGCCAAATACAAAAAGTATGTTGTTAAAGATACTTGGCGCTATAAGAATTTTTTTTTTTTTTTTGCATGAAATTGAGCGTGTTGTAATTAAATTTGCTGCAATTACTTTTTTCTCCACATTTGTAAAGATGACCTGCAGTAGTGGTGGTCCAGTGACTTGTTATGTAGAGCTTGTAGTTATAGTTAAGAAAGGTATCGAGTGCATTTGTGAATTAAATGCCATGTGAAAAAAGTTTGTAAATCAAGTCATTTTCTATTTTCCAGATGGGGAATTTCATTTCTTAGACCCCGAGTGCAAATTAACCAAATATACTCCAAAATGCTGGAAGTCTGGGAATGTGAGTATTTAGTTTCCTTTTGGTTTTGGTGAGATATTGCTCAGTGTTTTATTGGCAGAACAGTAAATAACCCTGTATTATTGGTTACAGGAAAGCAAAGGTTAACTCCACAGGAAGACAAAACTTCTGGAACAGTCTTGGCTCAAAGTGTTCTGTTTCAGCAGAACAATGGCAGGTTGATTAGATTACATGTTGCACTGCCATCTCAGGGGTTCTCTAGTTAAAGTCAAACTTGACCTAGGATGTTGGGTGCTGTGGAGATATTTCATTGTTAAGAGTGGAAGTTTCCTGCCCATTTTTGATAAATGTTAATGTCATTTTTGCTGTAGCAGCTACATCATTTACTGATTCAGCAAGGCAGCTGATAATTTTTCTTTCCTAATGCATGGCATTTTTTTATGTAAGATCACTGTAAACTCTAGATTTATTGAAAAATGAATCTTGTTTTCAACCTGAGGTCTCTAAAATGCAAAATGAGCCCCAGTATCAATTGAGAAAATGATTCAGAAAGTTTAACTTCTACTTTGACAGAGTCTCAGTTTAATCAAGCTGAAATGGATGTAATATCGTTTTTCTCTCAACTCCCCCAGTATCCTTTAGATACAATCAGATCAGTGTATGTTTTCATTAAGAGTTGAATAGAAATATTGAAACTGATCTCACAGCCTCTCCTGCCGAGCATTAAACGTGGGTTTGTTAAGGGCCACTGGGTTCGAAAGAGTTTGTATTTATACAAGAGATACCCATTCTTTCACGGGCTTGTCTGAAACTGAGAAGAAGGCATCGCATACTGCCAGCTTTGAAAAAGGAGAAAAATTGGTTTTGTAAATTGGAAAATATTTTGCCCCTCTTTCTTTCTATAGTGAATAGCATACCGCAATGCTATCTTTGACATTATTTGTTACTTGACAGACCTTCAAATCCAACCTGGGCAAATTTGTGTGTTTAAGCTGGGTTGGATTTTTCTTTTAGCTTGAAAGTGTTGTTTGTAGGAGTAGATGGGTTTTTTAATGCTGTAATTTGTATAGTAAAAATCGTTAAATGTGGCATGCTATTTGCCAAAGGCTGTGAAAGTAAATGGAATTTCCATAACATGACAACTTCTTTCTGGTCACTATTAGATTTTTTCCTTTTGTAATATAAAGTTAACTTGACTTACTTTTATCAGTTTGGACACATTTAGGGGGAGTAATTATACTTCACTTGTAATTGATTTTTCTTCTGTTTGAATTCTTTTTTATGAAAATTTTCTTTCTCAGGGCTGTGACAGCAGCGGCAAGCCAGCATTCACACTGTATTTCAAAGTGCAATTCTATGTAGATCATGAACTTTTACTAAGGTAGGTGTTTGATTATTTAGTCCTTTATACCAAATATTAAAAAGTATATGATATGTGGATTGAATGTATTCTTTGTACCTTGTATTTTCTTTTCTTTCACTGGCAAAGGGTATATTGTCATCTCTTATACCTTCCACACTGTAGTACAAAAATCTATCATGTGTTTTAATTATTTTTCACAGGGAAAGGATATGTCGTCATCACTACTATCTTCAGCTTAGAGAAAACTTCAACCACTACTGCCAGCTATGTACAGAGGAGCGGTGCTTTCTTCTTGCCTCGTACGCTCTGCAGGCCGATCTTGGGAACTTTCTGGGACGTAAACACAGTGGACAGTATTTTGACCCGAGGGCATATTTTCCTGCGTGGGTCAGTATTTGATTTGCTCTGATAGAGAAAGATGATGATATTAACTGTTTTGTAAAATGTTGTGTTGTTGTTGATGATGATATTATAACCTGCATCCAAGTAATGCTAATCTACATAACAATAAAAAAACATAAATTTTACCTCGTATGTAGATTAGTGTTAACTCCTTCGTAATTAACTAAAACATTTCTATATTCATGTTATTCTTATCCCTTTAATTTTATAAACTCAGACTCTTAAATTAATTATTCTGCATTTGCTCACAGGTCTTGGATAAAAGGGGTTTAGAGTATATAGTAGAACACATGCCATCAATCCATCGAGACCTGCGAGGGATGACCAAGTCCGAAGCTCAGCTGCACTTTGTCAAAGAATCCTCCGTATCACCCGCAGCACACAATTTACACTTTTATCGACTGAAAAAAAGAAAAAATGAAGATCCAGGTTCGATTTGGCTTGGTATCTGTGCAAAAGGGATTGAAATTTATGAGGTAGGTGATCATGTGTAATTTGCATGCTGTACTATGAGAATTATAGAATAATTTTTGAAATGGTGAAGAAATTTTCTGCGTGTCACCATGACATTTGGTGTAAAATGGTTAATAGTTGTCTTTTGTTGCACTAACTCTGAATAGACCTTCTTGAGATTGAATTTATTGAATGCAAGAGTAATAAAATTTTGATTGGTGTTTTTAAGTTTTTGATTTCTTAAGTCATCTTTTTTAAAATGAATAGGCTGTTTTTATCTCAAAGAAACATGAGACAAATAGTAACAGTTTGTATTTTATATTTACAGGAAGATGAAAAGGGTCTAAAAAGCATGTTAACAAGTTTTCAGTGGCCTAATATTGGGAAACTTTATTTTGAGGTGAGTCTCATTGAAATGTTACTTTTGATATTAATCTATGTTTTCAAGTAAAGGGACATATTTGTACTAAAAAAGTCTGTCTTTGAAATTTTAAAAAGCATACAATGTTAATGTTAATGAGATGTTCATGAGAATGACATGGCTTACCAGGCAGAGGTGTTTGAAAAACATTTTCTTTTCACACTTTTCATTTTGATTTGTGAGGTTCAGTTGCTTTTTTTTTT